CATTGGAAGTCAAATTGAATAATTTTTCGGTTGAGACCTTAAAAACCGAAGCCCCTCTAGATCCGCGCAAGCCGTGAATAAGCGGGTAATGATTCATGTCACATCGTCAAATAAAATAAGATTAAGAAGATAAAATAAAATTGGAACATATAAACAATAAGTTAGCATTAAAATTAAATAAGAAATTCAAATGAAAATATTAATATAAAATTGGAAGTTAGAATAAAAAAGAAATAAAATCTAAATAATTTATTTCAGTTGGAAAAAGAAGAAGTTAGAATAAAAATTAAAAAGGAAAAAATGTGGCACTGATGCCCCTCCATAGTTTCTCATAATCAAAATTCGACAATCATTGCTAGCGCTCTCGAGCGCTAGCAACTACGTTAGTCTATATTTCTGGAATACGCATGCTCGACTTCACGGTCGGGCATTCTGGGAAAACTACTGAAGATAGACTGTACGATGATAATTTCGTTTTATAATTAAAAATTTATATGATCCGAATTCTGAATTTCTTAATCTATTGTCTAACCTATGATTAAAAGTACAAGAAAATTTGGGTCATATAATGCCAAAATTGTAGAGATCAACTGGTAAAACCTAGCTTTCCTTAAAGCTAACCATGGATACTACCTTCCTAGATAATTCCGGCAAGCTCAGAAAAAAAACCCAGGAAATCTTTCAGAGTTTGTCGGAAAGACACGAGAAGCGATTGATACAATGCAGTAGCACTGGTATAATTATAATTCTTTAATTTTTCATTTTTCCTTTTTTGACGGAAAAGCCCGAGTAATGATCCGAGCTCTCGAGCTCTCTTCCTGGATCTTTCCGGCAAGCTCGGAATAACAACCTCGGATATGTTTTCCGAGCTTGCCGGAAAGGCCCGAAAGGATGCGATTGCTACAAAACTGTAGCACACTGGAATATTTTTAAACAAGGTGTTCATTGGTTCTATACTTATCTCTTATTTTTCATTTCAAAATTGAAATTACAGTAAATTACAGAATGCTTAAAGCACAGTTAATGATTCATGCCATTGCCAATGTGAAAACACACTCTGGATATCCCGAATTTAATCCAACAATAGCCTTTTTTATAAATAGTCTGATGAATATTCTGTATTAAACACTGAATAGCTGATACATTCACCATTCTGAATTAACACACATCCCCCCAACATTACCTCCAGTGTACCACTGTGTCTTCCTAAAAATAATTAGGGACGACCGTTTGATTCTGAAAGGGGGGGGAGGCTGGAAGATTTTGGAAATAAATAATGTCCTCAAAAAAGTTGAAAATAAATAACTGTATTTCCACGACCGGCAAGAAAATAAATAATCTGTCATTGACTATTGCTACTTAACCCCCCCCCCCCCCATCCGGCCCCTCTTTGAACTTTTTTTGTTATTTTTTTTTTTTTGTCAAACTTTTTCAGTGAAGAAGAAAATAAATAACCTGTCCTTGATCATCTTGAAAATAAATAATCTGTCCTTGACTGGCATGAAAATAAATAATCTGACTCGAAAGATTTTGCCAGACCCCCCACCCGACCCCCCTCCTCAGAATCAAATGGTCGTCCCCTTAATCCATTCAGCAAATTAATCCAATAATTCAAATATCTAATTCTGTGGTTTATGATAGCTACAGCGCTAGCTCACCTATCTTTTTAAAAGATAAGCTTGTGTAGACTTTACATTTGTAGACTTGTCAATTGTCTTTGTGTTTTATTCAGAGCGCGGAAATATAAATTCCGGAAAACAAAGTTGACAACATCAAAAATACACACATTCATAGTATAAACTCAAAGTCAACACAGTTGTATGTTCGGAACTGCATACTAGGATGACGGAATTACCTACTTACATGTACATATGTAGACTATGAAACTGATACGATTACAAGTTTGGATTTACAAACTTACAAGTTTGGATTTACAAACTTACAAGTCTGGATTTTTGAACACGATTACCCTCCATAGAAAAACGGTTCTATAGGATATTATTGAATGACATTTTAATTTGTAATTTGAATATTCAATACTAACAGTGGATTGAAGAAGTTTATCATGAGCTCCATAAACATTTATATAAAACATTATTAAAATCTGTTCTAAACATTAAACAAGAATTGATGCAAATTAAAATTCATCTTAAATTGAAATAAAACCACTGAAATATTAAAGTAGAAAATGTTTAATTGTACGACAAAGGTTCATTATATCTGTTGCTTATTCAGTTCAAGGTAAAATAATCATTTTGGAAATGATCTAAAATACATGACACCGATAAGATCAGTTTTATTCTTTTATTCTTTCATCAATAATTAGCTGGAGAAAAGAAAATAAATCAATTATTCTGTGGACTAATAATGTCCTCTACCAAATTTAGAATTTTACTAAATTTTAAATTTGAATTGTCACATACAAATTTAAATTGATTTAAATTCTAAATTTGGCAGAGGACAATAATAAACTTCGTACAGCACTTACAATCAATTTTAGATGCATCTATTTTTCTTTTTTTTTACAAAATGTCATTGATAAGACAGCGAATCGTATCTTAACATCTTCAATAGCTTAATTGAGATGGAAATTTAGAACTGATTATACATGTGTAGTATAATTACAAATGCATGATCGACTACTCGCGTATTCTGCAAGGCATACGAGGTTATGTTTCTTAGTGAGAAAGAGTAGAAATTATCGCATTTTATACCCAATTTCGGCATCCAGTACGTGTACACAAATGCAATTTATCAATTATCTCAGAACGCCATTGACGTAATATTTTATATTAGAAATATAGAATGAAGTACCAGAAAATTAGGAACTGCAGAATTTTCCAGTTGAAAAGACCTGTTTTTTCCCAAAAGAATTTGAAGTTCTTAAGTCTTAATATAAATGTAGCTTACTGTGTCAACGGGTGCTCAAAGTAAGATGATTTTGTACAGACTATGGTGTGTCAGGCATGCATTTTGGTAAATTACAAATCTAAATCACAGGCTAGTTAGTTCACCTGAGCCAAAGACTCGTGAGCTTTTCTGATCAAAATTTGTCTGTTGTCTGTCGTCGTTGTTGCTGTTGTATACTTTTCACAATTTCATCCTCTTCTCCATAACCACTGGGCCAATTTCAACCAAACTTGTCAGAAAGCATCCTTGAATGAAGGGGATTCAAGTTTGATTCTTTTTTTTCTTTCAAGGGGAGGTAATCAAGAATTTGTGAAAATTTAATGGCACCTTTTAAAAATCTTCTCCAGAACCACTATGCCTGAAAAAAAAAAAATGAAATTTATGTGAAAGCTTCAATTTTACAGTGAAGATCCAAGTTTGTTCATATCATGACCCCCGGGCATAGGGCAGGGACACAACAGGAGATCTAAGTTATACACTGTACACAGGAATATATAGCCTAGGAATTATTTTTAAAATTCTGCCTTTTATGTCCAGCAAAGCCAGAATTAGTGATATTAATACAGAAGCATCCTCAGGTAGTGCAGTGAAGTTTATTCAAATCATCACCCCCCCCCCCCCCGGGGGGGGGGGTAGGGGGCCACGACAGGGGACCAAAGTTATACACAGGAATATATAGGAAATATCTTTAAAAATCTTCTTCTCACGACCAGCAAAGCCGGGATAAGTCATATTAAATGTAGAAGCATTCTCAGATAGTGTAGATTCAAGCTTTTTCGAATCATGACTCCTAGGGGTAGGGTAGGGCCAAAACAGGGGATCAAAATTATACATAGGAAGATGTAGGAAAAAACTTCTCCTCAAGAACAGCAAATCCATGATTAGTCATATTTATAAATTGAAAGCATCCTCATGTACTGTATATTCAAGATTGTTCAAATCATGACACCCTGAGATGATCAAAGTTTTACATAAGAGTATATAGGAAAAATCTCCTCAAGAGCAGCAAAGCCATGACTAGTCTTATTAATATGTAAGCATCCTCAGTTAGAGTAGATTCAAGATTGTTAATATTATGAAACCCAGGGGTAGGAGGGATCTACAATAGAACAATTTTTTACACAGGAAAAATAGGGAAAAATCTGTAAAAATCATAACTTGTATAGCCTGGAGCAGTTAGGGGATTAAACTTTTCATTTTAAAGGGGTATGCAAGGTGAAAAGTTTTTTTCTCCATACATCAAAGGCAGATTCGGGATTCTTGAAAAGGGGCCAAAGAGGCCTGGGTCAGGGGCCGCCTTAAGGCCCCCAGTTAATCAAGGGCAAAGCCTTGGGGGTGGGTGGTTCCAGGGGTTAAAGCCCCCTGAAGCTCCCAGGTTTTGGGTCTTCTTATAACAGTCTCTCATAAATCCTACAATATAACATGCCTAAACGAAGACTGTGCATGTTCTCAGCAACTACTCATCGCATGTTCATCGCAAAGACTCGCATGTTCTCAGCAACTACTCATCGCAGATGCTTGACATTTTATCTCAAGCATCTGCGATGAGTAGTTGCTGAGAACATGCGACGGAAATTTTGTACGGACAGACACACTGGCGGACGTACAGCTAGACGGACACACTAGAGTAAAACAGCCTCTCTTTCGGAGCAGGGGTATAAAAATTGATTTATTCATTTTTGTTCACAAAAGGGGTGGGGTCGGGGAGGGATTTGAGGCGTTACCCCCACTAAACAACTACTGTAGATTATGCAGACGTGCAAGGTTAAAAGTATATATGACTTTCAAAATGCTAGATGCATCTTAAATGTAAATATGCCATCGTACAAATTTTGTGCAATCCTGGGATAGCTTGAAACTTTTTTAGATTTAGTAACTATCAAAGGTAAAATTCTGTATTCTTAGTATTGTCATCTTCTGAAACTCTACATGGAATATATGTGTAAAATGGTGATGATGGACTTCATATAATAATCGTATTATAATTATTTCAGTTATTAACAGTGAAATTATAAGTGACAGTAAAGGAAAATACAAATTTTATTATATAGGATGCACATTTTGTGTACCAAATTAATGAATGGATAAATACATGTATAGGTAGAAAAGAGACTAGGTAATTTGATGAGCTATAATATAATTATCTTGATATAATAGATCTGAATATCAATCATGTTATAAAATGAACCATGTCTTGTGATGGAATTGATCAGAAAAGACCAATCTTGGTAAAAATAAAATTGAACATTATATAAGAGGTATGATAAGAGTATTTTGGCCATACGATCAATTTTGATTTCATTTTGTTGGAAAACGTGCAAATAGCGTTATTAGCTTACAATATTCATGAATTCTGGTTAAACATTTTGCAGTATGAGTCTTTAAGTCTCTAACGTTTGTAGAGAAACCGTTACTTCTGAAAAACAATCCTCTCTTGTATAGTGTTGATGTCGCTATCGCCGACTTTAATCACATGGAATTCATGCTGTTCTATCGTCTCCTTCCGACGCTCATAACCCCACCCCACCCCGTGTCCCTCACCGGTAGGACCCGAAAGGCTCATAGGAAGACATGAAAAAAGACTAAATGGTAAAAATAACTGTGATTTTTTATCATTCGCCTGATTTTTGTGATAAGAAGATATAGGCGGATCAAAAGCCGCGGCGTAACCATCTGACCGTAGAACACGCTTTACTTCCGCCAAAAGGTCATCCACTCCCGGAGCGTCATGGAGGACGTCATTTATTACGACGAAATCAAACTTTTCTGTCCAGTCACTTGGCAGTTGTCCTCCTATGGTGCACACGAACTGAACGTTCTTTAATCCCTCCTTATTTAACTCTGAGTTAGCTCTGTCTATGGATTTCTGATCCATGTCGACGCCATACACGTTACTCTGGGGATACAGGTGAGCTATCTTTCTAGCGTGTGCTCCGTATCCACAACCCAAATCTAACAGTGTAAACTCGTTACCTGTGTAAACAGATCCACAGATTAATAGCATTTTAAATTAATCCAGCTGTCTAGTTATAAACTTTAACCAATTATGCATAGTCTGTTCGACATGAGCACTTCTCGCTTATTTTTGGCGATAGCAAATAAATTTTGAATTATCCTGAAAGAAGGTTTTCAATAATTTAAGGATCTACTGATCGAACTTGTGTGATGATTATGTATTTTGAGATATTATGCAAAAAGTGATGACGTGGTTCACAGGGGAAGACTATTGGCTTTGTTATTTCTACCAAAGAAAAAAAATCTTTCATTTATGTGTTTATAAGATGTACAATACCTGGTTTCATTTCCAGCACTGGACGGAGAGAATTTTGAGTCCAGTTTTGAACAGCTTCAGGTGTGCGAAATGCATCCACGAATTTAAGGAATGGTGCAGTATACGGGTAACCTAAGGAATGTGAAACATATGATCAATCTTCTACTTGTTTCGCTTCTGAACTTAAAAAAATCATCATTTTTGTACACAACGCAATGACAACTAGAAGTAAATTTTGTTTCTGGTTTACCGCAATGAAGGGTAATACAAAATGTAAATTAAGTAATCAGTTTAAATTCAATCACATAATGTTTATTCAGTAAACTTTTTTTTCGAACCTCTGGGTCCATCTTCAGGAACTGCTTTCTCAAGAAGAGGCATAGCTTCACAAAGTATCGGCAAGGCGCTGGCGTTACGGCCTTGTTCTCTCAATACCTTCTCCTCATATGGAAGAGAATACCTGCCGTCGTCATGGACTTGTACAATACCTGCTGCTGCTAGGCAACCCAGCCACTCTTGTATGTATCTGTTGTGTAATTTAGAGCTTGATTATTATATATTTTAATGACTGGTTCGAGCAAAACGTGTTTTGTCGGACCCAAGAACCAAACTGTATGCTAAGGACGATTGGCCGAAGGCAAACGATTTGGTTCGAGGGGTCAACAAAATGCATTTTGCCCGAGAACACAATCAATAAATGTTTTGTTATACCTTTTACTTTTTATTTTGACAATCTTTCTCTAGCTTCCATGTTTGCGATAATTGATAAGGTATAGCTGATCCCGCCTAAAGTGTGATGTAAAAACGTCATAGCGGTCCAATATCTGATCACATCAACAGGTCCAATATCTCATTCAGCGGTCCAATATTATAGGAATTAATTTTTAAAGGTATAATATCTGTATAAAATAGCATCCTTGATGATTACGTATACCGCACGTATACCATTAGGAAATATCTTTAGTAAATGGGTTAGACATAAGATAGGAAACTTTAAGAAAAAAAATGGGAGGGGGGGGGCACAATCCTCGCTTATCTTTTAAGTACATGAATATAATGTCATTCGATTTTGGTAAGTAAATAAACGGATAAACCAACGCATCGCAGTATGCAAAGGTGTGGTTGAATTTTTCTGGCATGAAAAACATATTGCAGAAGGAAATTCAAAACAATAAAAAATGAGTCGTGGTAAGGTTATAATAATGGAGTTAGAATGTATCTGCAGGTTGTAGAACTGTAGCTCCCTGGGATAATAAAAAAGTTCGGACAGATATGCCAGAAAGCTACAGTATAATTGTGAAGACATCCGATTTAAGGCAATCATTTTTGTTGCATTCTTAGGGTATTTCTGGTATTAATACATCTACATGTATAAGGATCTTTCCCCGTCTTTCAGTTCATAACTGACCAAAAACGGATGTCGGAATACGAGCTTGGAAATCGGCATTCTAAGGCCAAACAGAGCCCTTCGAACCGTTGAAGGATATATACATGTAAAGTAACAATATAGTAGGAGTACAATTAGTTTAAAATGGACTCCATTTATCAGGCGGGGAAATGCATTTATTTATAATATCAGAAATAATATACTCGATATGTGCGAAAAGAAGGTATCAGCTTTTATTCCCTGTGTAGCTTGTAACACGAGCTTTGATTGGTTACAAAGTTGGGTGTAAATTTCCGTACACCCAACTTGAGCCGGGGGTAAAAACCGTGACGTCACAATGCATATTTTCTCTATGAAAAAAAGCAAATAACACGATGCATTTTAGGACGTAGTAAAACTTATCGATAGCTTGAAACACATGCAGTTGATTGGGCTTGTTTAGAAAGTACATAGGAAATAAATTCGTTATCCAGGCCCAATCAAGGGTGTACGGGGATTAACTCCGGGTTGTATTCCATACACCCTTCGGCTTTCGGCCTCAGGGTGTATGGAATAAAACCCGGGGTAAATTTAATCTCCTTACACCCTTGATTGGACCTGGATAACTAATAAAATCAAAGGATTTTTCATTGATGGGTCTGTAACTCTCGGGTATGTCTGTTCGAATTTTCTGTCCAAAAAAAGCTACACTTCTGCAGCTATCCTTCCAATGACTTTTTAAGTTACTAGATTAGGTCACCTGAGTCACTCAGGTAAACTATTGCTATCTGTTTTTGTCCGTCGTCGTGCGTCGTTCGTCGAGCTTTAACATTTGAACATTTTCAGCTTTTTTTCTCTGGAACCGTTGAACCAATTTCAATCAATTTTGGCATATAGCATCTATGGGTGAAGGCGATCAAAAATTGTGAATTTCATGGTCCCAACCCCATCCCTTCCTGGGGACTGAGACGTGGTTCTAAAACCATCAAAATTATAGTGCAATCTTTAAAAATCTTCCTCTTTTCTCCTGGACATCAAGCAGTCAAACTGTTGGCATGATTATAATAAGCATCGAGCCCTCTACCAAAATCGTGAAATTCTTGACCCCTGGGTCAGGGGTTAGGGTTTGGCTCTATAGATCAAATAGTGAAAGTGCATTATTACTTTTAAAATCTTTTATGCTCCTGGGTTTTAAGCAAACAAGCTAAATGCTTTGTAATAATGAACATGGGTGCCTCTACCTAAATTTTGATTTTCATGGTCCCTATAATACTGTGAAAGTGACAAATTGGGGTAAGCATTTCTTACTGAGTATTAGACTAATTATTTTGTGATCTCTGATGATCCCATTTCTCTTGCTTTTGGGCATTATAGCTTCATCTATCAGTTTATTTTGTTTTATTCCTTTTTACTTCTATGGATCCTTGACAGTGTTGTTTTATACTCAGGTGAACGTTAAGGCCCTTGGGTCTCCTGTATATTACATGTACCTGCTTATCCGAATTTTTACTAAACGCTTTGAAGTTGAACTTTTCTTTTTCAAATCTACTGTTAAGAGAATCGAGCCATGTCGTTTCATTATAAAAATCCATCGTGCAGCGAGTCGCTGTGGTGAGGACACTTAGTACTATGTATCTATTGATACGAGATATTGTTTCTTTTCAAAAATATAAATATAAATTAAATCTATGCATTTAAATTTAGAGCGTCAATAACGTCTCACCTTATCTTCATCCCGGCTTGTTGGCTGAGTTCTTCTGCGGTACACGGCTGCTTGATCTTAATGAAGTGGTCAACGATCCCTACCTTGTATCCGAATCCAAACACTAATGTACTGAGTCCGTCCCGTACTATCTGCTCCAGATCCCGAGCTCCAGTTGAGGATGCCATTATCAATTTTAAAAACGAACAGCGGTGATCAACTACTACAGCATAATGTGTATATTAAGGGGGTTCATTAGGATCTTTAAATACACACACAAGCTATGTAATCTTCACCTTGGATCGTTTTAACCTTGTCGCGTGATATACATTTGTAAGTCACGTTCTCTGGCGGTCAATAAAAAAAAATAGAAGAAACGGAAAATTACTTTAAAGACAGATTTGTTGACTGAATATTACGTACTAAAACTATGGTGTCCGGATAGGGCCATTTGCAAAAGCTCAACAGCACGTTCAGAAAAACACGCCATCGTGCTAACACACAACAACACCATCACGCTATTACAATTATACAAAACCCGTCATCGCGCTTATACACAACACTCCGTCGCGCTAACACGCTTTCAAACAACACGCTGTTGCGCTAACACAACTTAACACAACACGCCGTCGCGCTGTCACACAACACGCCGTCGCGCTAAAGCAACTCTACTCAAAACGCTGTCACACAACTTGCAAACACAACTTTGTGATAGCGCGACGGCGTGTTGTGCGAACTTGTGTTTGCTTAACGGCGTGTTGTTCAATGATGTGTTAGTGCGATGGCGTGTTGTGTGTTAGCGTGACGGCGTGTTTTTCTGAACGCGCTGTTGAGCTTTGCAAATGGCCCTATCCGGACACCATATAAAACCTATATTATATGGCATATCAACCCGTGAGCCCAAGGGCTGATATGATATGTTATATGGATTTAAGTACGTAATATTCTACTTATCACACATTTAAAATATTTTTTATACGAGTTCAAATAAAGTATGTAGGCTAATACATAAACTTAGTAGTGAATACACTCATTCCGCACTGTGCGATACGAGTGACGTCACAATACCTCATATCAAAAACGGGTGCGAAAACCCATATCAGACCGGCGTGCAAAAATCCATATCAAACCGGTAGTAGCGTTTAAACAACGTTTAGATTTAAAATAACTCAATTTTATCGAAACACATATATGCAATACAATTCATGTACTTAAAAGTTTGTTGATTGATTTTAAAATTACCTAAAATTGGCTCTGTAAGTATTCAAAAAAGGCCTAAAGGCACGAATCATTTGTAAATGAATTTAAGTGGATTTTTAAATATATGAGAAATACACTGTAACTAAAAACTAAAATCCATATCATGGAGCCACTCAGGCTGAAATGACATATGATATGAATTTTAGTACTATTAGAATTTTCTGTTTAGTAACTCTCCTTCTTGGAGAGGACTTACATAGGCAACGCCTGATGTCCAATCCAATTATATAATTTGACTTCATAAGATACATTGTAATTGATTAAATTTCGTAGCTTGAAATTAAACAGTACTTGAGAATTTCTTGATAAAGTGTTTACACTGAAATCTCCTTTTGCCTTTTGTTGATTTAATATGTTTTGACCATTTGAGATAAATTAAAATAGTCACTATTTGTCAAATTTGTCGACAAGACCTCTGGGTAATTTTACTCCTCCGATGAAGCAACACAATCCTTAATTTAAAAGGCTATAAGAGAGAAAGAAGAATTATTGGCTTTGGTGATGTTGAGATTAAAGTTTCTTCCAAACCACAGGGCAAACGTTGACAAAATAATTTGGGTATGAAAAGCTGGTCGATATATTAATAAGGCAATGTTATTGATACAATAGTTGTATTTTCATTAAAAAAATGTCTATATAAAATTTCTAATGCCTCTGACCTATTATCTAATTACTAATGCCTCTGACCTATTATCTAATTTCTAATGCCTCTGACCTATAATCTAATTACTAATGCCTCTGACCTATTATCTAATTACTAATGCCTCTGACCTATTATCTAATTACTAATGCCTCTGACCTATAATCTAATTACTAATGCCTCTGACCTATAATCTAATTACTAATGCCTCTGACCTATTATCTAATTTCTAATGCCTCTGACCTATTATCTAATTTCTAATGCCTCTGACCTATTATCTAATTACTAATGCCTCTGACCTATTATCTAATTTCTAATGCCTCTGACCTATTATCTAATTTCTAATGCCTCTGACCTATTATCTAATTACTAATGCCTCTGACCTATTATCTAATTTCTAATGCCTCTGACCTATTATCTAATTACTAATGCCTCTGACCTATAATCTAATTACTAATGCCTCTGACCTATTATCTAATTACTAATGCCTCTGACCTATAATCTAATTACTAATGCCTCTGACCTATAATCTAATTTCTAATGCCTCTGACCTATTATCTAATTTCTAATGCCTCTGACCTATTATCTAATTTCTAATGCCTCTGACCTATTATCTAATTACTAATGCCTCTGACCTATTATCTAATTTCTAATGCCTCTGACCTATTATCTGATTACTAATGCCTCTGACCTATTATCTAATTACTAATGCCTCTGACCTATTATCTAATTACTAATGCCTCTGACCTATTATCTAATTACTAATGCCTCTGACCTATTATCTAATTACTAATGCCTCTGACCTATTATCTCAGATCTAATGTTTTAAGTTGGGTTTTAAAATATTGTAGAAAAAAATTTGTTATTTTATCAAATAAATATTAAATTACGTGTTGAAATATGGCTATACAAATGTTCCTATCGTAATTCCTGAGACAATAAATGTATTGGTTTAAAAATATATATTAATTTTTTTTATATACATGTATAACAAAATGTGGAATTGTATTTGCAAGGTATCGTTGACAAACACTAACCCTAAACTCCATCACTCCAAATTGATGTGATATACCAACTAGACATTTGTGATTTCAAATCTGTCCTTTGTTGGAGTCTAAACGTTTGTTCTTGGTGACATCAATTTTTGACGAACAAAATAAAACAGAAAAATAATATTTAGTAAATTTATTATGAATAATATTCAAACATTGCGTATATTAGTTCACATGACACGCAAGGTTTAAGAAACATGTCCAAATACAGTTGATATAGTTCTAGAGTTTCATTGTTAACCTGCTGCAAATATCGAAAGATATATATTATATCGAAATATAACATAAGATACATACATGTACATGTAAATACAACACTATTCAAAAACATCCAAAGATACTCCTACCCCCTTCTTCATAAAACGTTTTCGTTGTATAAAGACAATCATTGCATAAAAAATTTTCAACTAACCTGCTTCAATTGTCCTCAGTTTGTTTACTACTTTGTGGTTCTGTGTTTTGTGGAAATTAACATTATCATAGATTTTAATCAATAATTTAAAGAGAGAGAGAGAGAGAGAAGAAAAAAACCGTTGAAACCCTAATTATAATGTTGTCCTATTGTATAAAGTCCTATGGTATCACAACTTGAACAAATTTGATCTTCTTCTATATCCACGTGTAGTAAAGCTTGCACGATAATTTTGACTACTCGAGACTTTGTGGTTTTGGAGAAAACGGTATCTTGCAACTTTTTTAATATATTAATTTCTTCAAAGAAAATCTGGCATTCAAATTGAGATCCATCGCAGCCATTTAGGTAACAGAACAAAATTAAATCTTCTCCAATGTAAATCATATACGGTACCAATTTTGATGCACCAGATGCGCATTTCGACAAATTATGTCTTCAGTGATGCTCATGCCGAAACACTGGAAATCCAAAATTTTCAAACACAAAAGACTTTGAAGAGCTGGAAAAAAGATGCCAAAACTTGAGCCAAATAAAGAGACCTTTTTTAAACCTTTGAGATCTCATTTTAACTTAAACTGATAGATCTAAAAATAGAAACAAAGTGACATGTATGAAGTTTATAGTCAACAGACGGACTAGGGTTACTTTTTAAATGACAAGAATAGCTTACTCTGAAAAAGATGAACTAAAAAAAGTAACTTTTATAATTTGAATTTAGTTGAATATATTAAAATTACAAATCTCTGATATATAATCAGCATTTCCATTCATCATGATAGAAATACAGGGTTATTTTCGCACTGTGTTGTTTTCGCCCTTTCACATTTGCAAACAATTAAAATATGCCAAGAAACAGATTTGTTTAAGATATAATACTGTTTACTTTGAATTCACTCCGTTTTAAATTTGCCCACTTCAAACGAGGGCAAAAGAGGCGAAAATAAAACGGGGGCGAAAATTTCCTTGTAAACAGTATAAACTATTATTTCAGTTGAAGAAACATATCCCTTTTTATTCTTTACTGCAAGACATGCATATTGACTTTTGTACACCTTTGAAGTGTACAGGGTCATTGGAAAGAAAAATGCTTCATATGAAATGGACAACTGTCTCTCTACGCTTTTGATTCCCATCAACAATTTTCATACTTAAAAGCATATTTCCTTCTTTTCCTGTAGTGTAGTTCTCATGATAACCAGCTATGGCTTCCTCTGCGACTTCTGGGGCAGGATCCCTCATGCATGTCCATTTCTATCTTCTCCACCAATTCCTCGGGGAGTAAGAAAACCTTCTTCTCTACATTTTTCGTGTCATGCGGTGTGTCATCTATTAAAAAAATGCACCTTATTTTCAATTTATGTGATTTTGTGTACAATCATATGGTAAGTTTTATATATATACTACCTCGGTATATTGCCCTCCGTTATATTGCCACCCTCGCTTATTGCCAGGAATTCTCGAAGAACCGATTTCACCCTGTGTTAATACACCCGTTATATTGCCACCCCCGCTTATTGCCATCCGCCACTGGTTTTGGGAAACAAAAGGTCAAATTATGTAAGGAAAACCCTCGGTAACAATGCCAATTATCTAGCGCGTGTCGGTAATTTGGACACCACACCCGTGCTTTGACAGTGGTTGCGGTGAAGCGTGACTGCCTGGACAAGGAATTCAGCTAAATTAAAAATAATCGTTGTATTAAACTCAAAATTAGCAATGTCTTTGGCGTGTGTATTTAAGATAGAAGAATCATTTCATCACAGAAATGAAACGTACGTCAGACGAGAGAAAGCGTGCAAATTTAGATTACGAAAAAAAAAGATTGATCAACAATCGATCTATTTGATCGTAAATGGCCGATTATTGCTTATATTGGATAATGCACAAAACCATAATAAATGCAAAAATTCATTTGTGTCCCCTTAGATTAAGAAGCCATTCTATCGATCAAAAAGGAAACCCCATATCTATTTTTAGACTACCATAATTCCGCACGTGAAAATATTAAGGATTCCGTTAGCCCTGAAATTTTCTTTAATTGTCGGGCATTGTTTGATTGATAAATATCCAAACAGAATCGGAAGAGTACACAGGTACTAGCAAACATGAAAATACATGTTTAATATAAAGGGTTGACGTATTCTGACATGTGACTTACCATTCGTCAGTCATGATGCTTTACCAACCGAACTTTTTAACTGATTCAGAAATTTTTGAGACGGTGAAATAATCTACTTTCGATTCAGATGAAATTAATAATAATTCTCAAAAACTTTTTTATACCAAGAGGCTATAACGGCCACCGACATTTTTGGCATCCATTCTTAGAGTATGACGAAAGTAAATTGATGCGTTCAATATTCTGATATTTTATTTCTTTTTAGTCAAAATATTGTAAAAAAAATAAATAAATAAATAAAAAAAATAATAATAGTGACTTTTTTTCAACTGCCCTTATACACATGTGACATAAATAGATTGTAATTGAAATAAATTACGTAATCTATTTATTTTATTTTGATAACCCACTGAATTGTAATTTATAGCAGAATTCGTTATATTGCCACCCTCGCTTTAATGCCAAAATCTGTCTTGGACAAAAGTTGGCAATATACCGAGGTATCACTATATATATATATATATATATATATATATATATATATATATATATATATATATATATATATATATATATATATATATATATATATATATATATATATAATATTTCCACTTTTTTTCTTGAACAAGAAGAAAAGTTATAAAGTTATACGAGGGGTGATAAAAACTTCGCGAACTATCTCTATATTTACAAAACCACAATTCAGAGCAGAATGAAATTTGGCACACATATAGTCATACACATGTTCTATAAATAACAGGTGTTATGTGATGTTTTGCTCCATGTTTGTGACGTCACAATGTGAAAATGACGTCGTAGGTAGTGACTTGTAACAAAAAAATGGTTGACTCAGTCGTATTCGAGCTAAAAGTGAAGTTTAACGTATATCTCGGAAACTCCTTTGCAGTAGCAAATAATAATTTGTACAAGGTTTGTGAAGACAAAAGACTTGCCAGAAGTTTAATCATTAATTAGATTGATTGTTTTAGTGAAGAAAGGGAGATGGTTGCCCAGTGAAAGCAAGCTGGGAAAGAGATGTGTCTTCAGTTGACCAATTTGTTATGAAAGATCGCCAACTTACAGTTAGAAAAATAGTTGAATATCTTAACAATAATATAATTATTAAATCCTTAAAATATCATTTACTTTACACTTTAAACATATCAGATATGATAAAAAGAAGGAGCCCATACTTTATCCACATTGGATAAACGACGCCCCCAAGACAGAAGACTTGGGTTGTGATGGTCACCATGCTCATTCTGTGGAAGGATATCCTTATCCACCCATCCAATTGCCGAGATGTGGCCATTTTTGACAAATCGACTGTTCTTGTTATAAAAAATAACTTGCAAGGTAAGAAATATAAGACTCGAAAAAATCAGTTTTAAAGACACCATTCAAGATATTTTTATCAAACTTCATATCCTGACACATACTGATGAGAGCTATTCAAATGCATCAATATTTTTTTTAACCTTGATCTTACCTTTGACCTTGACCTCACTTTTCTTAAATTAGTGTTTAGCTCAGTTTTAAAGAAACTATTAAAGATATTTTTATCAAACTTCATATGCTGATACATACTTATGAAAGTTATTCAACTGCATCATCATTTTATTGTCCTTTCCTTTGACCTTGACCTCACTTATCTTAAATAAGTGTCAAACTTCATATGCTGATACATACTGATGTAAGCAATAAAACTGCATCAACGTTTTTGACCTTGGCCTTTCATTTTACCTTGACCTCACTTTTATCAATTTGTGTTTAACTCAGTTTTTAAGAAACCATTTATAATATTTTTATCAAATTTCATATGCATATATATACTGATGTAAGCTTTACAACTGCATCAACATTTTTTGACCTTGACCTTTCCTTTGACCTTAACTTCGTTTATTTTAAATTAGTGTTTAGCTCAGTTTTAAATAAACCATTCAAAATATTTTTATCAAACTTAATATGCTGATACGTATTTGTGAGAACTATTCAAATGCATCAAAAATGTTTGACCTTGAACTTTCCTGTGACCTTGATCTCACTTTTTTTTAAATTTGCATTTTGCTTAGTTTTAAAGAAACCATTTAAGATGTATTCATGTAAGCTTATACACTTATACATAATTTGGTGAGAATTTATCATCTATATATAGATTTCAATTTTAAAGAAACTATTCAAGATATTCTTATCAAATTTCATACACTAATACAAATTTTCATGTTGCATTACTAATACACCCTCGGCGGGGCATTCATGTCCTATGGACATATTTCTTGCTTTATTTCTTTTATGGAATTCAATTAGTCGCGAACTTTTTGATCACCCCTCGTATATACGGTATAGTATACCCATTCAGTATATTCTCTTTAAAACATCTGTCTCGTGCAATATTAATGGGACTTAGAGGAGCATATTGAGCAGGTATATACATAGTTTGAAATGTTAGTTCATTAACAGCTGGCAAAATAAGTATACCAAATATCTTCATATATATATATATTCATTTATATTAACGTATACTAGACACAAGGAGTCGAGATACAATGACTCCACCCCACGTTTCTTCTTTCTTACGAGAATGATGCAGCACATGACCGTTTTCGTCTGTAGAATACACAACGGCAAGCACATCCTCCATCTCGTTATCATCAGCAGCATTTCCGGTTCCTGAAGACGCTCCTCCCTGCTCATACACTACCAATAAGAATAAGACAGATCTTAGATTTTACTGAACATAATTAAACATTCCACAGACAAATTAAGCCTGCGTGGTGGGTAAGGTAATAAATCAGTTGGAGTAACCGTTATGGAACCGTTGAAAGGAAAATAAAGTATCAGGAATAGGAGTAAAGTATAAGGTTAATTATCCGATAACATTCTTAAAGCGGGGAAAAGCATAAAATACAAGAAATAATACTCAAAGTGAGCGACAAAAAAAAAAAAGTGGCGGCATATAGGCCTATTGAAGGTTTTTACGGCGCACTGACCTGTAGCTCTCTGCTTTAACTATTCGAATTTTCTCAAGCGGAGAACAACAGTTCTGCAGTGATAAATTCATTTGTCTTTGAAAAAATCAAATGTCTTTTTAAAAAATATGTTGGATTTAAATTAATTATGTAGGTACCATTTTTCTTCTTTTTCCGTTTGATCCAGACAAGTTTTCCGTCCCGTATCCCTGGCCTTCTCTGTAGATAACAGTAGTAGAGAACGGCACAGAAAGATATCACCACCGCACACACCGCAATGACAACCACCGCCACAGCACTGTCAAAACACGGTCATCAAGATTTATAGAAGTAAACAATCGTGACAAAGAGATTATAACATTAATGAATGGTAATTATACAAATTTTCAAAACTGGTCTATTTAAATTTATCAAAGATTCAGAAGTCTTCGGAAAATAAAAAAATAAAATAAAATGAATGAACTGAAATTGTAATTTTTATCAAGCAATGGTTGTGTGTTGTTTGAATGCAGGATATGATCAAGATATTTTATTTCGATGTGTTCAAGTTGAGAAATGTATCATTGATTTAAGATTTTATCATTTTTATAATGTTCTTCTGATTCAAATAACATTAAAATGATTATGAATTTTATTTTTTATTAAAGAAAAATCAAGAATACATATACACAATGTCATATATATTACAGAGTACTATTAGCTTATTATTGTCAACATACACAGTGCTATCGCTGCCTTTACTTTTCTTGACAATCTTTGGCCTACAACAGGTATTGTTACAGCAGTCTGTTAGTCCTTTGTCCTGGTCAGGAAGTGGACATGTAAAGTTCATGAATACTGAGCCATTTATGTTGACACCAGAGCTATCATAGCACAGCGTTGTTTCTGGAAGAGAAAAAAAAACAACAAAGAAATGAACTTTGAAATTCTTTGTAAACATCCTTTCAAACCAGATTTAGATAACGAACAGTTACCAAGCTCGAAAGTCCATTAAAACAATACAAATTGGTCGCCGAGCAAACACGGACCTCTAAGAACATCAGAGGTGGGATCAGGTGCCATGGAGGAGTAAGCATCCCCTGTCGACCCGTATTTCCAGCCGTGTGTGCCTTGTCATGATCGGGCAAACGGAAAAATCTTTAGATATTTCAGTGTAAACATAATGGTCTAACAATTTGTATGAAAAACGTCAGTTAACATTCAACTTATCGATAGATTGAATTTGCTGACAAGGTCATTATATCGACTGTAGAATTTGCAAACTGTTGACTTTAAAAGAGACTGTGTATAATCTTGTGTCATCATTTTATTTGTCAATAGCTTGCCCCGTTTTAGAAATTGTTCGTACGTAGAACAGGCTCTTGCATTTTGAATCATCCAGGAGATATAAACTCTCTTGAAGGAATAATTGTATATTGCTACATAAATAAGTGGAATTAACAGAAAGAAAAATTGTCATCACGTTTGTCATAAAGTTTTGTTGTAGGTAAGTTTTAAAAAAATCTTTATAACTTATTCTTTAAATAAAAAATGCATCTGATCTCATTATCCAGCAAATCTCGATTTTTTTTTATGTCTCTCAATTAATGTAATACAATGTATACTAATTGTTAAAAAAGGGAAGAAAACGAACTGTATTATTAATCTCATAAAACCTTTGAAAGATACGAAAATTGAACAGGGAAAACTAGACCTCTGGAAACACCAGAGGTAGAATCAGGCTCCAGGGCCATCAAACTTACTAGACGAGCTCACTTTTGATCTCAGTTTCACTTTTACTAAAGGAATATATAATGGAAAAGGGAGACTGAGATCAAAAGTGAGCTCGTCTTAGTCTTATGGCCCCAATGCCAGGGGTGTCTAAAAGTAAGCATCCCATGTCAACCAGTCACACCCTCTGTATAGATCAGTATTAACGTATGTCTAACAGTCACACCCTCTGTATAGATCAGTATTAACGTCTGTCTAACAGTCACACCCTCTGTATTGATTAGTATTAACGTCTGTCTAACAGTCACACCCTCTGTATAGATCAGTATTAACGTCTGTCTAACAGTCACACCCTCTGTATAGATCAGTATTAACGTCTGTATAACAGTCACACCCTCTGTATAGATCAGTTTTAACGTCTGTCTAACAGTCACACCCTCTGTATAGATCAGTATCAACGTCTGTCTAACAGTCACACTCTCTGTATTGATCAGTATTAACGTCTGTCTAACAGTCACACTCTCTGTATAGATCAGTATTAACGTCTGTCTAACAGTCACACCCTTTGTATTGATCAGTATTAACGTCTGTCTAACAGTCACACCCTCTGTATTGATCAGTTTTAACGTCTGTCTAACAGTTCACACCCTCTGTATTGATCAGTTTTAACGTCTGTCTAACAGTCACACCCTCTGTATAGATCAGTATTAACGTCTGTCTAACAGTCACACCCTCTGTATAGATCAGTAGTAACGTCTGTCTAACAGTCACACTCTCTGTATGGATCAGTTTTAACGTCTGTCTAACAGTCACACCCTCTTATAGATCAGTTTTAAAGTCTGTCTAACAGTCACACTTTCTTATAGATCAGTATTAACGTCAGTCTAACAGTTACACTCTCTGTATAGATCAGTATTAACGTCTGTCTAACAGTCACACCCTCTGTATTGATCAATTTTAACGTCTGTCTAACAGTCACACCCTCTGTATTGATCAGTATGAACGTCTGTCTAACAGTATTATCGTCTGTCTAACAGTCACACCCTCTGTATTGATCAGTATTAACGTCTGTCTAACAGACACACCCTCTGTATTGATCAGTATTAACGTCTGTCTAACAGTCACACTCTCTGTATTGATCAGTATTAACGTCTGCCTAACAGTATTAACGTCTGTCTAACAGTCACACCCTCTGTATAGATCAGTTTTAACGTCTGTCTAACAGTCACACCCTCTGTATTGATCAGTATTAACGTCTGTCTAACAGTTACACCCTCTGTATAGATCAGTATTAACGACTGTCTAACATTCACACTCTCTGTATAGATCAGTATTAACGTCTGTCTAACAGTCACACTCTCTGTATAGATCAGTTTTAAAGTCTGTCTTACAGTCACACCCTCTGTATTGATCAGTATTAACGTCTGTCTAACAGTCACACTCTCTGTATAGATCAGTATTAACGTCTGTCTAACAGTCACACCCTTTGTATTGATCAGTATTAACGTCTGTCTAACAGTCACACCCTCTGTATTGATCAGTTTTAACGTCTGTCTAACAGTTCACACCCTCTGTATTGATCAGTATTAACGTCTGTCTAACAGTCACACCCTCTGTATAGATCAGTAGTAACGTCTGTCTAACAGTCACACCCTCTGTATAGATCAGTAGTAACGTCTGTCTAACAGTCACACTCTCTGTATAGATCAGTATTAACGTCTGACTAACAGTCACACCCTCTTATAGATCAGTTTTAAAGTCTGTCTAACAGTCACACTATCTTATAGATCAGTATTAACGTCTGTCTAACAGTTACACTCTCTGTATAGATCAGTATTAACGTCTGTCTAACAGACACACCCTCTGTATAGATCAGTTTTAACGTCTGTCTAACAGTCACACTCTCTGTATAGATCAGTATTAATGTCTAACAGTCACACCCTCTGTATAGATCAGTTTTAAAGTCTGTCTAACAGTCACACTCTCTGTATAGATCAGTATTAACGTCTAACAGTCACACCCTCTGTATGGATCAGTTTTAAAGTCTGTCTAACAGTCACACCCTCTGTATAGATCAGTATTAATGTCTGTCTAACAGTCACACTCTCTGTATAGATCAGTATTAACGTCTGTCTAACAGTCACACCCTCTGTATAGATCAGTATTAACGTCTGTCTAACAGTCACACCCTCTGTATTGATCAGTATTAACGTCTGTCTAATAGTCACACCCTCTGTATTGATCAGGTCAATTGAGTAATCCGTTGTCAAATTTAGTTTAAACAATAGATAATAATTAGTATGAAACATGTCAGCCAATATAGGACCAAAGGATGTATTTTGCAATCAACATATTTCGACCATAGAATTTACAAAATGCCTTTTTTTTTTTTTATAAAACTGTAGAAGTCCAGCAGCATCATCTTATCTGCCAATAGCCTGTCTTGGTTTAAAAATTGATAACAACATCAATCTGGACATATCATTTCAGTGAGGATTATTTTTAATCTTGAATGGAATTTAAGCTTATACTCATATTTTGAAAAATTCAAAAGACGATGAAATAGAAAATTTAGTGTATGATGCGTATTTCCATTCTTTGGTCTATAGAATTTTCCACCACAAAATGCAATCCCTGAAGGTAACGTTGAGGTTGAAAAAAATATATTCTTTTGATAATAAGCACACAGTATTATAAAGTAAGCTTTGTCAAGTATTTGTTGGACAGTTAACTCTATAACTTATATTTTCTACAAGCTTTTGTACAAACCTTTCGTTGGGTACAATCTTTTAAATTCGTTGTAGCCATAAATTGAGTCGTACAGAGTAGCATTTTGCGTCCGTGTCTCTCGTTTAGAAGTATCATGATCACCAAATACGACCGACAATGATATAATACCTTAAAAAGAAGATAAATGTATCAAACGATTTGTTCCATTACAATTCCGGATTTTTTTTTAGTGTTTCACAATATATTAATGCTTTATACGCATTAACCAAACCTTAACATTTTTAATTCATTGAATCATTTCAGATGTGATAAATTCTTTCTTGAGGTAAAGGTGGCGGTGGACTTAAATGTGCTGATTTTTTCCCCTTAAAATAAGGATACAAACTATACATGACTTCAAAAAAGCATTTTGAACGATATTCACCTTACAGTTAGCACTAAATCCATACTTTTACAACTTTGTTTTGGTTGTTAGATTTTTTTGGCTATTTTGTTTGTGCGCCCCTCACTCTACCGATGCAAATTCTAGTCTGCTCCTGGAGTCCATGTATACTAGAATTTTCGATTGCTGGATATTAAATCTTATGATTTTTAATGGAGCTTTTAGCATAATGTGAAAGGATGATTACTTATTCAAAAGTTGTGTGAGATGAATTTGAGAATAAAAGACTGGTAGGAATTCGAACTCACTCATAATCGATAAACTATTATCTGTATGATCTTATCTTAAAACAATGTGCAGGAATCTAGGTCATCTGCGAGTTACGTTTTAAAAAAAATAACACGATCGATAACAGAAATAAGCCATTCAACGGTTTAATAAGCCTAGCTGTAATGTTTTTTAATGTTTCAAAAAATACCTTTTACGGAAACTTATGTAATTAATCCACGGGACAGCAAATGTTCTATACAAAAAACTTAAAACTTTACAGGTTAACAATTTTTGACAAAAATAAACAGTTTAACAAGTTTTAGACAAAACTTAAGAAAGTAGTAAAATAATCCACATTCTTATACAAAAACCATATGAAACCAAACAACTATATACATTACCTACTGGGTAAAACACAATGAAAAGTCCTTCTCGAAAGTTCATGGCTGAACTTTATAAAAACGCGGTTTGCGTTTCCTAACCATCACACACAATAACGTTCCGAGGCCATTGTTCCATTATCAACATTGTGAGCAACAAGTGATGCGTATTATTTAATATTGATGATCTAGTATAATGTAGAGAGCAGCGGCAAAACTCGACCAAAATCTCTGTCTACTCGGAATTCATAAACTGTTCATGAAATACTAAAAAGCGGGTTTTTGAAGCCGATAGCTTCTCGTGTAAAAACGTTTTGTTAAAGTTCTTCCGTAACATTAATTTCTTTGTTTCCTTTTTGTAAACACACGTCGATTTTTCCATTGCTTATACAACACTATTTCGTGTAAATCTACAGATTTTGATTTTATAATCCTGCTATTTTGTGTGAAAGTTCACATATATTTCATGGTTACAGTCAAACTGTTGTCCAGAGGTCAAACTATTGTCCAGAGGTACAAGTAGTGTAGTTGACCAAGGGCAACAGTTTCCCAGGTCTTCTGCACTATCGAGGGACAAAAGCTTGACTCTTCCATTAGTAGCAATTAATTGAGTGTTTTATCTCAAACCTACTTTTAATTTCTAGCAGGCAGTAACCTTATAACCCTAAAAATAACTGAGTGTTAAATTTTTAAGAACTGTTACAATATCAACAATACTATATACGTAGCATTGAGCGTAAACTTGAAGCAAAATTGAAAAAAGTTAAAAGAAATTTCTCACACAGTTTTACATCAAAACAGAAATACAAATGTGGTAAAATGATTTAATACCAAATGCACCATTTTTTAAAAATATTTTTATCAAGTATTTGATTTGTTTTTACAATTTTGTATGCATATAATAATATGTTCATTTTTTTAAAGTAACTAACTTCATACAAATGATGTATTGGACTATCGGTCAATAGTTGTAGTTCGACATTGCTCCTATACACTGTATATACTTAGATAGTTTTTTTTAACGTCTGATCAATCAATAGACCAGCCGTTGGCCTCGAAAAAATGGAACATGTTGAGCTGATACAAATAACAAAGGAAAACATTATAGGGTTATTGAACTTATATTTTTGAAAACTTGCACAAATTGGCTGTATATGATGCAAACGCAAGAGGTGGCAGGGGACATTTTTTTAATGCCAAACATGTACCATGGGGGGAACATATACAATACAATGTAAGTTATTGTAAGCAGATAAGTGGGGACAGTTTCTTTGGAGCTTTATAGTCGCACAATATATCATAGCTCAACAATATGCCAACATATAGAATGTAATATATATCAGGATTCACGTGTACCTAAAAATTAGAGCCAAAAATGCACTTGGGAATCCCAAGATAATAGCTTACTTTCCTAAGATTTTGGCCTCACTCGCACCCATAGAACTCGCCCTGGCCCAGGCGTGGAAGATAAAATACCCCCAAACTCTGTACATCAATGCATGTTTTCATGAAAATTCACCGATTAATCAGGGGCAAATAACCTTCCCCCTGATATACAGACCTTTTTAAGCCCTTTTGCACTGTCTCAGGTGACGATTGGTAAAGATGCCTTGCTAAAATACTAGTAAATAAAAAGGAACCAGGAAAAGAGGAAGACGAGTAAAGAAGCATGAAGACGAGAAAAAGATGAGTAGAGAATATGAAGAAGAGAGTAAGAATAGTAAAGAAGAATACGGAGAGGAGAGTAAGATGTATAGAAAAGAACCTGGAGAAGAGAGTAAGATGAGTAGAGAAGAAAGTGGAGAATAGAGTAAGATGAGTAGAGAAGAACATGGAGAAAAAAGTAAGATGAGTAGAGAAGAACATGGAGAAAAAAGTAAGATGAGTAGAGAAGAACCTGGAGAATAGAGTAAGATGAGTAAAGAAGAACATGGAGAAAAGAGTAAGATGAGTAGAGAAGAACATGGAGAATAGAGTAAGATGAGTAGAGAAGAACATGGAGAAAAGAGTAAGATGAGAAGAGAAGAACCTGGAGAATAGAGTAAGATGAGTAGAGAAGAACCTGGAGAAAAGAGTAAGATGAGTAGAGAAGAACCTGGAGAACAGAGTAAGATGAGTAGAGAAGAACATGGAGAAGAGTAAGATGAGTAGAGAAGAACATGGAGAAGAGAGTAAGAAGATTGGAGAAGAACACGGAGAAAAGAGTAAGATGAGTAGAGAAGAAAGAGGAGAAAAGAGTAAGATGAGTAGAGAAGCATGAAGAATAGAAAAAGATGAGTAGATAAGAATATGGAGAAGAAAGAAAGATGAGTAGAGAAGAACCTGAAGAAAAGAGTAAGATAAGTGTATAAGAAATTGGAGAAGAGAGTAAAATGAGTAGAGACGTATAAAGAATAGAAAAAGATGAGTAGAGAAGAACGTGGAGAAAAGAGTAAGATAAGTAGAGAAGAACATGGAGAAGAAAGAAAGATGAGTAGAGAAGAAAGTGGAGAAAAACGTAAGATGAGTAAAGAAAAACGTGGAGAAAAGAGAAGGATGAGTAGAGAAGAACATGGCGAAGAGAGTAAGATGAGTGGAGAAGAATGTCGAGAGGGGATTAAGATGAGTAGAGAGGAAAGTGGAGAAAAGAGTAAACTGAGTAGAGAAGAAAGTGGAGAAGATAGTAAGATGAGTAGAGGAGAAAATGGAGAAGAGAGTAAGATGGATAAAGATGAACATGGAGAAAAGAGTAAGATGCGTAAAGAAAAAAAGTAGAGAATAGAGTAAGATGAGTAGAGAGGAACGTGGAGAAGAGAATAAGATGAGTGGAGAAGAACAAGGAGAAGAGTAAGATGTAGAGAAGAAAGTTGAGAGGAGAGTTACTTAACAACCAAGTTCTTTAATTCCCATTAAACTCTTAGCATTGTTGTTTATGTTCTTATATTTACATTTGAGACTATGAATTTGAACAAAATATTACATTAACGACCCTTCAATGATCAAACGTGCCATAAGCTGTGATCTGAAAATGTTGCAAAGTTAGTTCCTTCAAAATTGTTTGAAATCTTATATAAAGGATGTAACTAGGGGTAATTTTATGCATTCAGCGTTTTTGTTGATTTTTAATGAAATCTAATGATTTTAAATGAAATTTATTTAGCAAAACTCTTTGGTTCTGCATGCCCTTTAGTAAACAGGCTATAAGGTTGACATTTATAATTATATGTTATGATTTCGAAAATGCTGAGTTTTTGACAAGAATCGTCTGATGCAGTTTACTAGCGGTCAAAAGCATTTCGGGTAAAAAAAGTAACAGATGGTTGATAAAACTATAATCATGACATGGAGCACACGATGGTTGTAACCGGTCGACAGGGGATGCTTACTCCTTCATGGCACCTGATCCACCTTTGATATTTTTAGAGATCCGTGTTTGCTCTGCTCCCGATTTGTATTGTTTCAATGAGCTTGATTACTGTTAGTTATATCATTTTCATTCAAGGAACCAAAAGATATTTAATTGCTATCTGTTTGATTGAAAAAATCCCGTATATCTCTTAATACATGTAGAATATCTATCTGCTCATGTAAAATATATCTATCTGTACATGCAAAATATATCTATAATGTGCATATGAAATATATCTATCTATGCATGTAAACTATATCTATCTGTTCTTATAAAATAGGACTATTGTACATGTAAAATATAACTATCTTAACATATATATATATATATATATATATATATATATATATATATATATATATATATATATATATATATATATATATATATATATATATATATATATATATATATATATTCGTTACATGTGAAATGAATCTATTTGCACACGTAGACATATCAGGCTATTCATGAGAAATATATCTATCTGATTATGTAAAAATATATTTTTGTTTAAAATATAGCTACCTGTACCTGTTACTAATTACATTGGAAATATATCAGTCTACATGTATATATACAAATGAAATGTATATCTATCTGTACATATAATATATGCTTTATGCAAATTACTTTTTAAGTGTCAGTATAAATAATTTATTTACATAACTGTAAATAAATTTATGAACTCTCAATTATTTCTTGTATTTTATTTCATAAATTCGTGACATGAGTAAATCATTTAGAGAAAAAAATATAAAAAAAAACTTTGGTGCAAGGTACATGCACAAATGCGTGATCAAATTTCACTAAATTTATTGCATGTATAAAATATCACACACACACACACGTACCTCATAAAGATAGCCTTACTTAAAACATTCTCCCATTCAAAAAACACAAGTCGCATATCATCTCACTATTATACTATAACAAAATGCGATCATTTCTATCTCCCCATTTACTAACACAGAATACTTAACATCAACACAAAGTTGGAAGAATTAAGGACTTCAATAGTATTATAATGACAATATTTGCTTGCAATATTCACATTTGCGGACAAAGTTATTATAATATATGTAGTAAATATCAATAATTTAATTAAAACAATCTTTTCCATTTTCAATAGTCCTGTATTCAGTTTTCTTGATATTTCTAATAACCAATCCTAAATGTATAAAAATTGTATGCACATACATGTATAAGGCAGCACATGAATGAGAACTCCACACCGAATACCTATTTAGTCTTCTTAAAATCTTATTACAATCAATGATCAAGCAAAATATCCAAGAAACACGACAAATTAGGGAAGAATTTAGTTGCATATGTGTTTAAATGATCTTAAATGCTTGTCTCGTTGCTCTGTCATTTTCTAAGAACCAGGTTTAGGATGTGATTCAGGTGTCTTGCATTTGACCTGTAAATTAAATAAAGTTTATCTCATATATATATATATATATATATATATATATATATATATATATATATATATATATATATATATATATATATATATATATATATATATATATATCTCAAACATAGCTATCATAAGTACATACAGTATATTTTCATACTGCTTGCAAGCTTAAAGTTGACTTTTAAATTCCTGATTCTGAGTTTCATTCAAAAACAGGCAACAACAGTTTGAAAGTGGAACTTGTCACTGATATTCCAGAAAAAAAGGATGCGAAATCCAATTGAATATATGTGTATAAATTATACTAAAATATATGTGTATATATTATATAGATATCAAATATATGATAGAGTTTATTATACCTGCTGTACTGGGTTTACGTATTGTAATGAGAGGAATCGTGAGATCTCTGTCAGCTTTCTCCACCCCACCGTTCTTTTCTTTACCCTCAGGCAGTATCCTTCTCTGGGAAGTGGGTGTGTTCACCTCTAGAGGTTTCTCGACTGGTAAAACACAATTAAATATAATATCTTTTATCCACTTAATTTGTTGGTGAAAACATTCCATCAATGGTTAAAAATGTCAGCAGAAAGGTAAATTAAAAACAAAATGATACTAGTTACTTAGTATATAGATTGATAAGTATATTTTGCATGGTGATGTACTTTTTAAAAAGAACTTAGAAAGATTTGCAATGGCAAACTCACGAGAGTGATCCGTGTGACCTTTCTCGTCAGGAGGATAGACAAATCCTAGTACTTCTTCGTCATCATCCTTATCAGGACTGCCAGCATCCGGTGTCAAACCACCCTCTTCATAAACTAAAACAAGAGACGTTTGTGAAACACGTATGCCCCTCAAATAATTGGAATTTTTCTAAGTCCAAGGGGCATAACTCTGTCAAAAATTGCTTGATCATACCCAAAACAAAACTTGACCTAGATATTCTGAAGATAAATCTGTATACCAAATTTCATTTCAGTATGTGCAACCGCTGCGAGGAAAATGAATGGAAACTTGGTGGACCGACAGACAGCAACAAAGCAATATGCCCTCCCTTCTTTAAAGGGGGGCATAATAATAAAAAACAATCTTATTGAGATATCTATTTGGTACATTTCAGAATTATTTGTATATGTGCAAGATAAGTTAATATCTAAAGGGTCTTGGAATGAAGTCATACTAATCACAAAACTTTTTAAAATTAAAATTCAATCGAAAAAAATCTGAATGAGAGTTCAGAAAAATTATGGTGTCAATATATAATAACTAAAGTATCTTGAAAGAAATATCATACATTTGAATTTTGGAGGGAAAATTAGAAACAAGTCAATATTTATTATCACTTTTAAGAATACTTTTTTTAAAAAACTGCTCTCAGCTTTATACAAACCAATCTTGTCCTTTTTCTTTTTGATCCAGACAAGTTTTCCTTCATGGATTCCGGGTCTTTTTTGGCAGCAACAGCAGTACAGAACCATACAGACACTTATTCCTACAGCACACACCACCACTATCGTCACCGCAACAGTGCTAGACAAATTATAATACAGACACTTATTCCTACAGCACACACCACCACTATCGTCACCGCAACAGTGCTAGACAAATTATAATACAGAGAGTTATTCCTACAGCACATACCACCACTATCGTCACCGCAACGTTACTGGTAAATCATCAGGGTTTCAGTTAGTAATTGGGAGATGTGTACAAATGTTCACAAGGTTTTTTTTGGTTAATTAAGAACTTTCATCCATCCATCCAATACATTAAGAACGTCGTTCCAATCATTAGTTGGAAAATCAACAACTTTCTTTGTATCAAGTTAATTAAAAAGAAAACCATAATCAATATACAATTTTTGCGGCAATTTTATTTTTTTTTTTTACAGTAAACAATTTAAAAATAAATCAGTGACTAAAGTCTAATGATCGAGATGATAATTTGTTCAAATGTTTTTTGTTATTACTTAAAAGCGACAGTCGCTAATGTTCTCTCATTCAACAGTTCACAAACATATAAAAGCTTATTTAGAATTCTTGAAAATAAATAAAAAATACACCAGGTTTTATCTTTCATAATATCTTCCTTAGTATTACTTGTATCATAGTTTTTCCTACAAAAGCGTCAAATGTTTATATTCTCTTATTCGAAAGTTAACAAATGTCAAAATCTGTTCTGATTTGAATTCTTGTTTCTAAAAGATGAACTAATTATATAACTCAAATAGGTGTATGTTATCCCTAGATTTTACTTTTCATAATCAATTATATTCCTCATGCGTCCCATAGTCTTTGGTACCTACACAGAGTTATCTTCCCCGCCGTTTTTCTTGACAATCTTTGGTCTACAGCAGGTATTGTTACAACAGTCTGTTAGTCCTTTGTCCTGGTCAGGAAGTGGACATGTAAAGTTCATGAATACTGACCCATTCACATCAACACCTTTCTTGTCAAAGCAGAGGGTTGGTTCTATATAAAAAATGGATAATCAGGAATTTTATATGTCAGCACTTTTTCTTGTATATACTTTTTAATTGAATCATTAGAAAAATATTTACTTTATTTTAGAAAAAGAACTCATTTATGCAGGTGTAGCAAATGTATTGCCTAAACCATCATATCTGTGTAATAAATCTATGAAGGATGATTTTTTTCCACTACTTCAGACTACATATATATGAATTTGTCTCCCTTCAACTTTATTTGAAATTGTCACCCTCCCATAACTTCAGGCTACACGAATAAGCCAAATAAGTTCCACAATATCAGACTATATAAATTTGTCTCCCATACAACTTCAGGCCCTATGGATTTGTCTTCCATTACTTCACGCTTCTTGAATTTGTTCCCTACACCTATAGGCTTTAAGAACTTGTACCTCACAACTTCGCGCTTTATGAATGGGGTTCTCGTGCAAAACTTCATGGTATACAAATTTGTCTCCACTTCAGACTACATGACTTCATCCCCCCACAAATTTAGGCTACATGAACTTGTCCTTCAAAACTTCAGGCTTTTATTTAAACAATGCATGTTTTGGAGGAAATTTTGTCAATCGACTCGTCAGCGGAGATTGACAATGGTTTTCCTAGGGGTGCCAATATCAATTTTTGTCCTAAAAAGATGCACAATTTACTCTAAAATACTGAATATCTGATTGATAAATTTAAAAAGCGGAAATAATTCTGAATCGGATTTCGTTTCGATAAACTCTTTGCGCTTACGTTTTTCTCAATTAGAAAGCTTTAACAATGATTTACTGACCTCTCAAGTGCTTTTTGGTATTTAGAAAGTCCTTATCTTTCAATAATTTCGATAATTCCGCGCTGCAAACATTTTTCTTCTGTTGTTTTTGCACTCAATCTTATTCGGACTCAAGGTGTTATTGTTGTTTTACGTCCCGTTCGCTATTTTTTTACTAAAATAGAGAGACGTTACCATATATCGGGCTTAAAATTTAGACCTTTTCTCGGCACTCAGGGCTATTAGGCATCTTCAAATTGCCGACGCCTACCGTGACCGAGGCCTCGGTTTTTAGGTCTCACCCGAATAACCCGTATTTTTCAATTCCAAGTGCCGAGTGCTTGGCAAAGGAACAATTGTTACCCATTTTCATCGACTTAAGTCAGTCGCGGCCGTGGAGTTGCCCCGACGACCTTCCGTGACGGAACAAGCGCTGCTGACTGAGCTATGGTGACGGTTCAAGCAGAAATTAACGTCGTGTTTATTAGACTTATTCCAAACGCACAACTGACGTGTTAAGAATTCAACTCTACGCGTATAAACTAACATTATTCTTATGTCACCCCTTGCGCATTAAATTGCTAATGCTAAAGGTAACATTAAAATAAGCTAATGCTTCTACACCAATCAGATTTCAATATTTAACATAAAAGTATAACACATGAATTTGTTCACCTAAACCTCAGGTAATATGAATTTGTCTCCCATATAACTTAAGTCTATATGCATACTTCAGGCTATATGAATGTTTCGAACAATTTCATGCTTTAGAAGTAGTTCCCAACAACACCAGCTACATGAATTTGTCACATAAAACTTCAGGTTATATGAATTTGACCCCTACAATTTCAGGCTAAAAAAATTAGTAAACCCAAAAATTCAGACTAAACAAATTTGTCACTCATATTTTCAGTCTATTTAAATATATTCCCACATCTTCATGCTATATGAATTTGTCAGATGCAACTCTGGGCTACAGTGTACATGCGTTTGTCTCCCTTAACTTCAGTTTATATTAATTTGTTCCCCACGACTTCAGCCTTTCTGCATTTCTAGAAAACGATGTCCAATTTCAGTCTATATGAATGTGTACGTCTCCCACAATTCCACGTATTCCAAAAATAAAGTTCAAACGTTTATATGTCAAATGTGCACTTTCTAGAGAGCATCTGTGTCCAGTTTTATTTTTCTGTTACATAAGTCCAAGGACACCTACTCTCTTTACACAGTTACAAAGTTGATGAAACACAAGGTAGTATGTCTTGTTTTTAATTCATCAATACACTGAAATGCACATATATATCTAAAGATTTTTTGTAAGTTATAATCTTCATAATGACAAGTAAAATCATAAAAAAGAACAACAGTAATAACATGCAAATATACATAAGTGTTCCTGAAAATACATGCAAAGTGTGTTGACCATCGCAGTATTCTGCGTATAGAACCAATATTTTGGATTATGACGCTTATGTCTGCACAGAAAACTGTTTATTACCGCGGCATTTTTTACGAGAACACCACCACTTGTGTTACTAAATGTAATCTGAATACATTCTGCTAAATATAATAAGAAATATTTTTGGATGCACCATTATCTTTGCCACTGTCCTTCCTGCTAATAAACAGGCCTATTACATGTTCTTCAATTACGATTGACTTTGCAATTCATCGGCGAATATTTATCTGCGAGCCAAGCTAATGATTATATACAGACAATAAATGTATAGAGTCATTAATACACTCTCTCATACAGACATTTTCCTGTATAATTCTGAATATCTCTTTTCTTTGCACATTCAAAACGGAGATTTTGTACCCTAGACAATTAAAGTGCCAGAATTCATAACAAAATTCAATAAAGTTTAGGAATTCTGAGGTACCATTACAAAATCGCGTATCACTCAAACGTATAATAAACTCTATCCAAGAACACATAAACTCGAAGTTAAAGAAATGTACAGTTGCTTTATCTGAGAGGCTGCAGAGGGTAATGACAACACTATCCTCTTGTTTGTTAATTAGCAATTAGAATATTAAGAATTTTGATAAAGTTTTCAACAACTCAAAATTAGAGAGACTTCTACCTTATGTAATTGTTATGAATCAGCCATCGTAACTATGACATTAAAATAGAAGTAATGTTTCAAACACTTTGTATTGTTACATTTTCTGCCAATTGCCAAGTAAACAAGCATGGCACAAGGAAGCCAGAATACTCAATCTAATCACTTTCATGATAAAAATGTTGTTCTCTGCATAAATAACACCGAGAAAAAAACTGCAAACCGACCAGTTGCATACAACATTCTCTGTAGACGTATACTCATTTCAGTTCCTGCTACAAACCTTTGTCTGGATATAGTTCTTTATACTCCCTATATCCGTAGATAGAGTTGTACACAGTGACGTTATTTGCTGGTGTTTCTCTTTTAGATTTGTCATGATCTAATGCAACAACTGTCACGGTTAAAATACCTACAAAATGAATTTTAATGTGATAATATAAATTGTAAATTCATACGTAATGCAATAATTCCTAACTTTATACTCCCCTACCAACAACCAAATATCTGGCTTCCATTCGAAGTTAATTACGATCTAAATCGATGAACACATTCACATTGAACCCTATACAAACTAAAACCATGTGTTTTAAGGGATATTATAATTTTGAAAGTGGTATAAATTTAATGGCAATTTTAGTTCTATATTTTTTATGAATTACTCATCTTATGAAATATTCAGAGAGACTCGCGTTTGGGAATTCACTTAATGGAAGGCTTGATTCAAAGTTGGTAGTAATAACATTTGGGTCTATTGATCGATAATCTGTTAGATTTGTAGCGTTTTATCTATGACGCGGTTCCAGCGAATTTTATCACCAAAACAATAGGCGGAATCCAGGGCATCTCCTCGAGTCATCGTGTCACTGAAACAACAGGATCGATTATTTAGGGGGATTGGGGAGTCTGGGTTTTCAATGAAGAGGCTTGTCCTTATAACAGAAAAACCTGTTCGGATATGATAGACAAGGAAGCGAAGTTTCTAGAAAACGATGTCCAAGATCAATTATTGCGAAAAGATTATGCTGTGCAAGGCATGAAAATAAATTATAAATTGTAGCATCAATTGAATATTTTCTATATTGCAAAGTAGAGAGATAGGCATTTATCATACATTACCTATTGTAAAAAACACACTTAAAATTCCTTTCTGATACATTTCCGCTGTTCATTTCACAAGCGCAATTTGTGTTTGTTCTTCTCAAACATCATCTATACTCCATGGCTATTGTTCCTCTAATCAATATCGTGTGCAGCAAATGATGCGTAGTGCTTTTGTTCGGAGGGTTGGATGCGTAATATGACAAGCAGCGGCTACAACTCGTCCTACAGATCTCTGTAAACGTGTGTTCTGCTCTTAGTTTACACTTATTTTAATTACTCAAGCATGTGTAAAATTCAGCTTTACCTTGACACCGAAGATGGCAATATTGTTAAAGAGTAGTTGCATAGCAGAGGGGTGAGACACCATGTCCCTTGTATAAAAATGCCGAACATGACAGCTGTTCCGCAACGCTGGTTTCATTGTTGCTTGTTATTTATTTCTGTCATGTCTATTTTGTCACGAATGTAAGTGTAAAATGCACATTTAAAATTGTACAATTTTTATTTTATTTAATTTTTGTTATATGCATAGAAACCAATTTTTTCCCCAATTTATGAATTGATTGTGCATTATTGATCATTTCATTGAGCATTGAATTCTCAGTGATAAAATATCAAATAGAAATAATAAAGATATGCTTTCTGATTTTTATTTTATTGAGAGGGGAGGGGTCTTAATACATGTAAATAAATTAATTAATTAATAAATAAATTCTAGTAAATAGGCTTAACTCCCTCCCAATATAAAACTAGAGGCTGTGAGCACTGAACTCACAAAATGATACCCCCCTCATATGATTATAATGGCAAAGTCCATGTTTTGCTATTTGAGACCCGAAATAAGTGTCAGATCAAAATGTAAAATAGGAGGTGCACAATGTAACAAAGATTCTGTAAAAGTCTCATTAAATTTCATTCAGTGGTGTAAGAGGAGTTGCAGATAAGAGATTGGTACCCAAAGCGGACGTACAGACAGCTGGACAGCTAGACGGCTAGATGGACACTCCTATCACCATACACCCCCCTCTTTTCAAGCGGGGAGGGGGGTCTAAAGATCAGAATATAATTTTAATGAGCATCTCCTAATTGCATTAGAAGTTGGAGCTGTATCTTTAACAGTGCATTGTGATGATTTTTACGCAAATAGTCGCCCGCGTGGCGCAGTGGTTAGAGCGTCTGTCTGTACATCCGTTCGTCCGTCCGTTACGCTTTGGGGTACCCGTCTTTTATCCTCAACTCCTCTTATACCACTGAATAAAATTTAATGAGACTTTTACTGAATTTTTGTTACATAGTGCCATTGTGCACCTCCTATTTTACTTTTTGATGGGACACATATTTCGGGTTTCCAGTAGCAAAAACATAGACACTGCCATTCTTTCTATAATATTGGGGGACACCAAATCTTTTATCCGCAACTCCTCCTATACCACTGAATAAAATTTAATGATACTTTCAGAATATCTTTATTACATAATGCCATTGTGCACCATCTATTTTACTTTTTGATCGGACACTTATTTCGGGTTTCCCATAACAAATACGGTTTTTGCCATTATAATCATATGGTGAGCTTTTTGTGCGATATGTATGACCTGAAATGACCATAGTGAAAAATATCATTTTGTGAGCTCAGTGCTCACAGTACCTCTAGTTTTTTTTCTGTATTATGTGAAACTTTAATCCCCTTTTAAAATTCTTTTTAAATTTGACCCATTGTGAACCAGTTGCTCTTAAGAGGACAAGTTTCAAGTGATATTTTCCTATACCTATCAGTCATCACCTTCCATATCAAAATGTTGTCATTAAAATATTATCTTTATAATGCAAAAATTTCCTTAAAATTTTTAATTTCCCTGAAAATATATTCCCATGTCAATCCCCCCTCTCTCCTCGTTGTGGCCCCACCTTAGCCACCAAGCCTATGATTTGAACAATACACTGATTCAACATTACACAAAGATATCTCAATTCTATTATAACCAAGTGGCCCTGCTGTTCTTTAGATATTTTAATGGATTTTCCCATGCCACATGCTAACTGATTCCCTAACTGTGGCCCTACCCTAGCCACAGTATTCAAGACCTATACCTGATTTTACGCCACATGAAGACTGCCAATACTAGGTATATTAATAATTCCAATAGTAACCGCTGTTCTTGACAAACTTAAATGCAAACAACATTAAGATACTTGTATATTTATGACTGTGACCCTGTTCTCCTTGAGAAGATTTTAAAATTTATTTCCAAATATATTCCCATATCAAATGTTGACTTCCTATTACACTCCAACCCTACTTCCAGAAGTCATGTACGGAACAGACTTGAATGTACCCTATCCTCTTTAACACACCTGTGTATTTTAATTTTTAAAAGTCTTTGAAGAAATCAATATCGCTTGTTTGAGATTCATTTAGATAGCTAAGATAATATTGCTTTAATTGTTTAGTTTGCACAATGCGTGATTCTTTGGGTGTGCCTGAACCGCTTTAAAAAAATAGATGAACCTTTAATTCATGCTTGACTGAACCATTTTATTTGAATTCATGCAAGAAAGTTCCCTGCACATATACGTGTATTATTTACTTGTAAATATTCCAAAACTCACAAATAGCAGCTTGACTTCCACTAACTTATCATAGAGAATTCAGACTTAACAAAATCATGTTTTTGTGCTGCAACGATGAGCCGAACCATAATGGTAACAGTTTGTATTCCAACATATGAATATTCATTTATATGTCTTTTGGATTATTTAAATGCATGAAAATTAATGCATGTTTATGTAGTCTCTGTTGGTATAAGCATTTTTTTAAATGTCATCAGAATACTAGTCATAGAAAAAATTAAACATTATTTATTAACCCTTGTCCACCTGTGTCTCAGTTTTCATGTACTCTTGATGTTAATTTTAATGATAGTCACATAAATGGGTGGACAGTATAGCAGACTATTTCAGACTTTCTGAATGAAGCTGTTGCTTCAGTTTAATTTAATGCCGATTTCCATTGTCTTCAATATATTACATTGCTTTCAATTTGAATTTATACTTATTTTTTGCTCTCACAGCCGGTCGCTTTCAATTCACTATTTTTATACCTACTTTGATGCCTCGCGGTTATTTCAGGTCAAACATGTGTTTATTTATATTTTGACTTCTCTGGGAACTCTTTAGTCTGTGGTTCCATTTTGTCTTTTTAAATATTTTATGACACTAGTGTTTTCTAGCAAAAGACCCAGCTTTACTGACACATGGAGTATCTTAAATGCCTACATTTCGATTGATTGCTTTAATTCTCAAATTGATGAGGTAAAAAAGAAAAATCACCTCACAGTGCAAAATAAATCGTCAACATGGATTCATAATTACAATGCCTGGTAATCCCCAACGCACAATAAAAACGTCAAACAGTGATTTAAAAAGTAAAAGCCGTAGTAAATACCTGGCAGACTTCTCACAAAACGACTTGAAAACGCCGCTTTTAATCTCTTGTTCCTGATAACTGAATGTAAATTTACCTTTAATATAAGGGTCAACAATGCTACATGTACACATAGATCTTGGTACAGGCAAACGCCTTCCAGATCGAAGCTGTAACCTCCACCGCGCATGCGTACTTATGGAAGGCGCTTGCCAACGAAAAAGCCGATTAACAAATTTAATCCAGTTGTAAAAAATCCCCTAATAATTGTATCTTTACAAATTATTGGCTTTGTTTGAATCCTTAGTAATGCTGTGCCTCTCATTATGCATTAGGCGTGTTTGTGAGATCTGTTCTGTTAAAGGCAATCTTCATACATCCTTGCGTTCAATTTTTCAGTGAGATTTAAAATTTTCTCATTGATGTATATCAAAAGGATTTAAAATGAAGCACATGTTAAACAAGTGGTTTGCCAGTGTTCAGGAGCATTCTGGTACGTAAAAATCGATCTGATTTTGTGATTTACCATGGAAGTGGAAACAAATAAAAGTATGGATTCGACGGTAGGAATAAAAATATTGAAAAAGAATAGAAGCACACCATTTCAAAAAAGGATAGCGTCAATTGCCTTCAAATCGGGAGATGACGTCACGGACTGGATGAACGCTGGAAACAGAGCTACTGCCAGCATCAAGACGCCAAAATATGGATTGCGCAGGCGCCCGCCTAAACTTCCATCGCCGCTGATTCGACTTCCAGCCAGCAGCATTAGTGATACCCCAACGACAATGACAACGGACTCCATTTCACGTTCTACTTACGTAACTCTTCGGGGCTCTAGTATAACGCCATATGCATATCTTAATTCAGAGACATCTCGAACAAAACCAGCAACAGCGGCAGACAACGAGATTTTGTCTAGAAAGGATGCATCTAACACGGACAGATCAACGAAAAGCATCTTGAGTCAAAGGGAAGTTCTGGGACCGATTAAACCAAATGGAAATCAACTACCTCTCAAAGCCCACACTTCGATGGACAGACACTCCAATGGTTCTCTGGAAATCGCCAAAGTTAGCGAATCTGCGCCATTACAACGATCAGAGTCCAAAAGAAACTTGCCTCACCCTACGGTATGTATTGCAGTTAATCTGTATCACTTTATGGTATGTAATGTAGATAAAAGTTTTTAAAAGGTTTTTTAAAAAAACTTTTTTAAGCTGTGTCAGCAGTCATTAAACTGAGTTTGATAAATTAAGCGTGCGAACTTCAGATAAGTGATATAAGAATTGAAAAATTTACTGACTGCAAATAACTGTTTAAGGTCAGAAAGTGTATCAGAATATGGTACTGGAAACAATCTAAACAGCCAGGTAGTCCCCCAATTCAAATCAATTGCTGTTTACAAATACACAGGTAATATATCTGGTCTGCTTTGATAAAATGAACTAGACATGTTAAGTCTTTGAGGTTTCTATAAGTAATCCTGATAGACTCCCGCGGGGATACACAAATCTAATCCCAGTGTGTTCTATAGCTTGTAAAAGAAATACAAGGTTGTCAATAAAGGAAACAGATTTATCCAATCTAGTTCTCTGCAATAACGGATCATTATTGACAAAAGAAATCCAGGTTTCTTTGTAAGATTCAATCATCATTTCTCCTATGTATTTTATTACAGTGGAGAAGTCTCTTTAGCAAAATCTTTAGAAGAAATATTTTTTTTCATGTTTTTTTCCGATTAAATTTCAAAATCCAGCTTAAACAAAGAGCTTCTATATTTTGTTTTGTTTTGATTAGAATTGAAAAAGAAATAATAAATAACAGATTCATTTTGTATATATTTAGACTTCTTCTCTACTCAAAGTTAAGACATGAGAGTTTGGTAAAGATCTATGCATCTAATGTAATATAGTTTCATCCGAACACCGTCCAGTCTACTTTTATATATAGTATACGAATTGAGTTGTTATAATAACTAAAGTAAAAGTTATGTTAAAATCTTTACTAAGAATTAAAAACGATTTTTAATAGGTGTGATGAAGCTTGATTGAGTACAAGAAAACAATTTTAGAGATTAATACATGTATTACACACTAACAATACAAGCCTAGGCTTTACTTTATATACAGTTATCTTACACAGTAAAATATTGTTGAATACGTTACTTTGAGTGCTTATAAATGTTCAGCCTTAGAAAAGATTTATTTTTGTAATATTTAGATAAGTTGATCTGGTTTAATATACCAAGAGATTTACATATAAAGACTCATAACCTGAGATTTGAGGATTTGTGTCAAATGTGATCTAAGTGGTCAGTCTCGCCGGTGTCAGATTAACGTCTTATCGGGGTCATTGGTTAAAATATTCATCTATGATCAGATGGTCACGAAGTCCCAAATGATAAAATTCGTTGATGTATGAACAAAAATTTATGAAATAATTGAGGCTTAACTGTTATTATGCTATGTATTAAAAACTTACAGCTACAATTTAACTTGTCTAACTGGTGTGTCTTAACTCGGGTGCCAATTTTTGACAATTTTCAAAGCGAATACATGTAATCTTTCGTCTATATAACAGGATGACTGACATTTAATTAGTTTTAATTAATTACTAGTAGCATGTGTCGAGCTGGATATACCTCTTCAAAGTGTAGGGAAATATTGCCTATAGATTCAGTGTTTATTGTAATATACCTTTATCTGTAAGATAATATACCTGATAGTTAATTACGCTATCTCAGATGGCACAACACTTGGTTCCCAACTCAGGTAAGAAAAGTTTAAAATCGTATTAAACGATTTAAATACTGTTTGAAAGTTTCTGACCGTTTTGATTTTTAGTCTGATACTAGAATTCTTGCAAGCGTGAAGGCGTAAATCAGAACATGGAAGGTGGCCTTGAATTGAAGGACTACTTTTCCATGAAGTCTGTCTCCCTTAGAAATTTTAATTCATCAAATTGCTTTTATGAGTTATTAAGTCTAATGAACTTAGTATATGTAATTAGAGACAACTTAAAAAGCATTTTTATTCCTTACACAGCACACTTTTTGAGACAAGATTTATTCTGCAAATTGAAGGGGAAATAGTATTGAAATACACATGTATGAAACAAATTTAATGACATTTTAAATAATCAGCTGTTCGTAAAGATTTACATTACAGCAACTGCAAATAAAACTTAGTGTTACAAACTATTTTACTGTTTAAAGGAAACAACAGGATATCAATGTTTAATTATGCATGCGCCTTAATACAACCCTAAATGTGTCTTCCAGTTCACAGTACAGTATTAATGTTAGATCAGATCTTGTTTCTATATGATGAAAGGTTTAGGGTAGGATAAGGGAGGGAGGGGGCCGTGTGGCTCTAGTCCTTTTTATGGTGCTATTTTCATAACACCGAGGTAGGTATCAAATCAATGTAAGCCCATATGAAGACAGAGATTAGCAAACATCGATTTATATATCTTTTGGATTAGCGTGCCACCATTAGATAGAAGAGTCAAAACACGAAGTCCTGCTTAGAAGACGCTGTCGCGGTTTAAAAAATCGGTTTTCGATCTTAAAGTTATTAATCTCGCCTAGATAGAGGGAGGTATTTTCTTTGGTTTGTGCAGTGATCTCACAATTTTCAATAAAAGATCAGCCAATGACACATTCACCAGACTGAGTGTTGCAATACCTTGAGTAGCAGAAAAAGAACGGGTCCAAATTCGTTTAGAAATTAAAAATTCAGTGTCTCATAAAACTTTAAATGAAGTTTGAAAAGAGTCAATTTACTTATTCGTTCTATCGCTACATGGAGTTTAAAATATTTTCACCTCTGTGAAGGATATACAATATTAGTGAACAAAAGTGTACCTTTGGAACAATATATCAGTCTCCATAAATCAAAATGGATGCTAGGGAGGCTTTTCTAGTAGTGGAGAGCTCTAAGGCAGTATTATATGACCCTAATCTCCGATGTCCTGACTGTGTGTTAGAGAAATCACACAGTATGTTCCCGGATCTTCCTTCACGGCATAATACATTCCTCACCACACCTGGATCAAAGGTACTCAACAAATCTGGCTTATTCGTTTTCTGTTTTCTATAAGAAATTTTTATTTATTTATTCATTTATTTTATTTTTTCAATATTTTTGTAGAACTTGTATCATGAACATTTATTTGATGAAACTTCTAATAAGAACATGCATTTAATTTTAAAACACACATAATCATGTTAAATACTACATATTGTTATTATTATACTGGCGATACTAGCAGATCTAGATGATTGTTAACACTGTTGTCTACAGAATAAATGTCTGGAACATTATTATATTGTCCAGTTAAAGTCCAGTAATATCATACATTAAAAGCCAGTTAGGAATTTAAGGGGGGGGGGGGTAGGAAGAAAAGACTTGGATGTCATGACCTAGAATACGCAAAACCAATATAGAAGACAGGGAAGACACGGAACTTATATTACTATTATCGTACGTTACTGAAATGCACTGAGCAATTCTGCAGTATACTGTATGTACACGAATTAAATATATATACTGTTATAAAATAATACGTAAAAAATCTCGAAAACTACTCTGTATAGTTTTGATATAAAGATGCTTTTGGAATCTACCCACATTTGATATGAAACATTTAGTACGTTGAACTAATGAAATAATCGCGTTGATGTTTTATCAATATGAGGTTAGGATTAAACAGTGTTTCAGTTCGATGGATGGGTTTTCATTGCACGCTTAACCATTTGAACATGATAATAAACTCCTGATGTTAATTAGGAAAGTAGATATCAGCTCCCGTTTATTTCTTTTAAAAATTTAATTGGCGGATGTCCCTTTAAAGTTGTTTGAAAGAAAAATATAAGTTCCTTTTCTGAGCTTTTCAAGTATTTGCATTCTGCAAAACATTTTAACAGGTGAAGGGGATCGTACAGAATAAATTTCACGCCGTTTAGGACACATGTTAAATAACCGTCATGTCAAAAGTTTTTCTTAAATCGATTGAAAACTACCAGATAAGAACCCTCGCTAAAAGAAAACATATAAAAACGCCAAGTTTTATATTTTGATTGCAAATACCGTTATCTCTTTGACGATGGCGGTAAATCTTTTTAAACAGCCCAGGCAAACACAAGACATACCAACTGCCGGGGTTAATGGCACAGGCTCGTGTTCTATGGCGGTTTTGGTAGGTCTGAATTGATACACAGTCCCAAGGACAAATCAGAGGAACACCAAGGCTTTGTTGACATCGAAATTAAATCTGAAAAAGATGTAGACATTTATCATACATGTTACCTAATGAATTCAATCAGTTATATCGTGCTTCCTTAACTTTAGATGAAAATTTGTTGCCTCATGAAATGTGAAGTTAACGCACAGTGATCATTGTCAAAAGTCCATTTAAACTATACAAATTATGAGAGAGTCAAGACAGACCTCTGATAACAGGGGTGGGATCAGGTGCCATGGACCGGAGGAGTAAGCATCCCTGCTGACCGGTCATACCAGCCACGTGCCCTTTGTCATAATCGGGGAAACGGAAAATCCGTAGACAATATAATTCAGTGTGAAAATAATGACGTAACAATTTGTATACAAAACATCAGTCAACATTTGACCTAACGACATATTTTATCCGCAAACAAGGTCATTGTATGGAGCAAAGAATTTGCGAAATGTTGACTTTAAACGATAGTGTTGATATCCTTGAATCATCAACTTATTTGCCAATAGGCTGTCTCGTTTTAGAAATTGTAAGTACGTAGAACATGCTCTTGCGTATCGAATCAACAGGGAGGCATAAACTGTATATGCAAGTGATAATGGTATATTGCTACATACATTGTAAGTAAGGGAATTAAAGTCATCAGGTTTATCATAAAGTTTAGTTTTCAGTTTGGCTTTATCTAATAAAATATTTTGATATCGACAATTATGAAAATGTTAGATCAAATTGTAATGATACTAAAGGATAATTTGTATTCTTTCGTTTGGTCTGCAACTCGAAGTTTATGATGATTCTGCCATTTCATATTGATGAATGGGCCTCAGATGAACTTTACTTGAATTGTGTCAGTGGTAGCAATTGGGTTTTAAACAGAACAAATGTTACAGTGACTTTGAATCATCATTGTTCAAAATCAAAAAGAGAAAAATGATGTTGAAGATGAATACATATTTTTAAAATGTCTAACATCATATTAAAGTAATGCTGCTTTAAAAATACATAAAGAAAATTTCTAGTTAAGTCTTGTATATTTTGATCAATAAATAAATATTGCAATTTATGTTTATATATCTATCAACATATTTCAACTCATGAATTAGAACTTCAGTGTCATAACATTATTAAGCATAGATTAAAAAGAAACTTTAGGGCGTGGACAATTTTTATTAAACCTTGGCGTCATTCTGGCTGAAAACTTTTCTATTTTGTCTAGACAGACTGAATAATGATGTTAGCATAGGGTAAAGATGCTGAATCTTCTCATAAAGCCTTGTACAAACCTACAATAAGTCTGAGAGCAGTGTAGACACATACCTAGTACTGTGGACTCAAATCATAATACGGCTTCTTTTGTTGTATAGTGTTTTCTTATTCTCTTAAAACATAAAGAATTTGATTGTTTTATAACAATGTACTTATTTGCGAATGCAGCAGTCAAATATATGTACATGTATTATCTTGTTGACATTCTCTAATATTAAAAAGTATATTTTTAGACCAGAAAAATAGACTTTTAGGAATTTCATATTTTTCTATGGTAAATTCGAGCATAATGAACTAAATACACATTCGAACACCAATCAAACTGGGGAAAATCGATTGCAATTTGGTTCAAGTTGTATCAAGTGTGTTAAACTCCTGAAATATTTATATTGAAATAAAAGACTTTGAGCCTTAATGGGCGGCTATATGCACAGAGATTGAAATAGCGTATTCAAAATATTTGCATAGAGTGATTTTAAAATAAATTCAATTGGCACATAACCCACACGCTGAAAAGCTTGTAAACTGACTGACTATAAGAAAAAAAGAGACCTGCACTCAACGGAATAAATGCTTTAATAGATAAAATTCGAACCATACATCAATTCATAAAACACAACGCTATTGTGTACAGCCGTCCGATAAAGGGTATTTAACATTCGTCACAAACCAGCAGTTTTGAAAACTCTAGATGTATGCCGAATGAGCGTGGAGGATAGTAGCGACCGGAGGGTCTACGTTGTTAAGGGTTGCCGCTTAGAACAATGGTGATTTAGCAAAAACAATGCGGCTCTGATATTGTTCCATTTGTTATCTTATTTTAACAAAGAAATTCATCACACTACGGTTAATAATCTAATCGTTTATTTGTACACCGATTGTATTCAGTGTATACATAGATTCCATGTCTTCTTTTGCAAGTGTGTGATTTGGTTATGGAAGACTCCTAGGTTTGGAAGCATGGAATCACAAATACTAGTAATTTATAAAACATGTATGAAAATGTGATTTTACAGGAAGATAAAATAGTTTTCAGAATGAAATGTGCACAGTTTTCGGATTTAAACTATTGAACAATATACTGACATAGCTTTGGAATATACTTATCAAAATGGAAAGCGGGGAACTAGCTCTGAGTGTTCGTGATCTGTATCCTTCCAATGTGAATTCTACTGGACCGATCTCTACCTCTGGACCAATTACGACCTTCGTTTTAGAGGGGACAAAACTCAAAGTACCGGAGGTACAGGATGTATGGGTGGTAAAATTTGTCGATGAAAGCATGTGCATGTAATTCGGTATTATGAAAAAAATATCCATCAAAGAATTAAAACTTATTAAGTTACCAGTATGCAGAATGGTATATTTCTGTCTATTTTATCAAGAAAAGTTATTCGAGAGTGATTAAAATTTAAAATGCTTAAATCTCATGAAATCTCTTAGGCAGTCTACACTAGCGTTTTCTTCGCGTTCGATGAACTGGAATTTGAAGTACATCAACCTTTTCTACCGTACACGTTCTTTGAACCCCTGGTTCTTACTTAAACCTTCAAATCCCTTTGTTATCTTAATTTTACTTTTACTGAAGAATGGATTCTCTTTTAATATTAATTGCTTCTTGTACTGTTTGATATTAAACAATACATTGTATGTATCAAGTGTCACGTAAATTTTGAATTTACCGGATAGCTGTAAATACAAAATTTAAAACATGACAACTATGTTTTTAAAATAAAAAATTAGCTAAAGGGTAATTTTTCCTTTACTGTCAGGCCTTATTAAGTGATAAAAAGTCCTCAACAGAGCAATATTCATGAAAATTGAAAGTACTATACACATGAAATTAAGAAAGGAACTGCAAGGACTGCAATTTCTTTTAAAAAGTGCATGTATGTGACAAGTCTATATTCAAACTCTGCATTTTAATTTAAGTCAACATTTTCAGCTACCTGTAAATGCATTCATCAAGAAAAAAAAGCCTGTTGTATAATGGCAAGAGAGTATAAAATAACAAACGAAAACACCCGGCCTCTGTCTGAAATCCATAAAATGTAGTTCTAAATGTAGTTCTAACATAATACAAGACTTACCCTAAAACAAGACTTACCTTTGAACAAGACTGACCCTAACATGTTTTTCTTATATTACAGTTCCGTCACATGTCCTATACAAACCGGACAAGGACATCTATGGAAGATGGCGAATTTAATATTAATCCAGAGCCGGTGCCCTACCAACCCCAAAACTTCATGTATGTTAACCTTATTTGTTGGAGGAGGGTGAAAACAATAATATTGAAAGTTTTGGTAGAAAAATGTAATAGATTGATGTAATAGACGATACAAAATAGAAATCTGGAATTAAATGTGTTGCCCATCACTTTTGGAGGCAGTACATGGGAAAGTCATTGTAAAGTAATAGAAATCAAAATGTATTTATAAATAGCTTTTGGCTTCACCGAAAATGTTTCAGTAGTTATAGATGTTTGAAGATGCGTGTACTTTGAAAATCTTAAATTTTCTTATATTTGTCATTGCTTATCAAGAATATTGAGTTGATATAAAATATTTCTATCGCAGTATTATGCACAAGGGGAAAACAAATATTAGGAAGAAAAAAAAAAGTATGAAAATCCCGAAAAAAAGAAGTCAGTTAAGAATGCAAACCTCCTCGGAATTTTGAACAACAGTTTCAAGACGCCCTCAAATAGAGCATTTAAAGTCCATCACAATGATATCTTCTGAATTCAAAGACTCTAAATCTAAAGAATTGTTCATTTTATTATCCAACAATTGTCTATTCAGCAAAGACTTAATGACATGCATAAGTAATTAAAGTCGTTAGTTAGTATCAATCTGAGGTCTTTGTTGAATAGAAGCACACGTTCCTTGTCATGAAACATTATATGACAGGTCTAAGTCCCACCAGTATTTATATAAACTGTTTGGATTGAATGATTTAAATAGATATGTATATCATTTGCAATTAACCTTGAACGTCAAATTCCAATACAAGCCCATTAAAAAGGTCACCATTTGTTAATTTTTTAATACGATGATTTTGTTAAGCTCCATTTACGCTAAAAAATCTTACCAAAAAAAAAAAAAATAAAATAAAAATAAAGATTTGAAATGTCTAAGGAAAGAAAAAATTGTTCTAAGGACAAACAAGTATATGTTATATCCTAAATTTATGAATTTATGATTGATCAAGGTTTCACAATAACTCAAACAGCCATCCCAGAGTATAACATTATGCTCCGACATTACTTTTCTCGGTTTATAATGTGAGATTATCCTATTAGGTTGAGTGATTTTGATACAGTTTGTATAGCGCCTTTCTCTATAATTAGGCAGTCCGAGTTACCCCGGATAGAGTAAGTATTAAGAGATGAGGTGTCAAACATGGAAACGTGCTGGATAGTTCTGTAACAAAGGTTTTCTTCATGCCAATGTACACATGTGAAAGGATTAAGAAGAGAGAAAAAAAATGAACTAAAGAAATAACATTTTCCTACTAATCCTGATTGAAATATTTGAGAAAGACAAAAGATATGAAGTTTGTCATTAACAGAAATATAGTCCTTCATTGCATCTTTAATGGAAACATTTCTTGTAAGCATTAGGCATGAAATTTTAAACTAAAAAGCATGGTTTGATGTTCAATGTATACCTACTGATAAATTGTAGTTATGTTGTTTGTCGTGAAAATAATCCCTAGGTTTTTCGTTTATTCTATGTTTATTTATGTTGTATCTTTTGCGATCACAATTACCTTTTCTTCTTATCAAAAACGTGTAACAGACAGGTTTCATTTTCCTTAAATGACAGTTCTTGTAAAACATTTTTATTTCTAACAGGTCGTCCACATTACTTAAGAAAGTTCCTATACCAAAACGTCATTTAGATTCCTTTGGGGGTTATGAATATTCATTAGGTTCTAAGCGCGGAGTGATACTACACACAGATCGGTACCAGGTGAGGGAATTTTACATCATGTTCTGTATTGCCCTAATTAAAATATAAATCTATGTAATGTTGATTTTGATTGTATCTTTGTATATCATTGTGTTTTAGAGAGACGGTGCTCTTGTGGTAATTGTATATAAATGCGCTAGATCATCATTCTTAGATGTTCAGTGCTGCATGTTCATCTCTACATGCATGTATTTTTAAAAATGTTTTGTTTTCAAGCTAGATCCTAGAATTTGAATGTTGTGATTCAGTTAAACGTTTTTTTTTTAAAGTTAAGCAAAGTGCTTTAAAAATGATAAACTGATAAAATTTAATTTCATTTTTTTTTTTTTATAGTGGGATGCCCCTAAGTCTTTCGAAGGGTAGGTACATACACTGTAATATGCAAACAATTAAATACTTGATATTCGAACCACAGTGAAAGGAATCTGTTCAATCGTATATATGTAAATGTAGCTTTCTAATCATTATTAGTTTGTACTTTAACCCTTGCTTTCAGAATGAGCCAGAGGGACAGACTAAAGGCCGAGCTAGAATACATGGAAAGACTGCGTGGGATAAAAAGGCGACGTGAAATGTTACCTCATCGAGCACAGCTTGACCTTCTGATGGGGGGAAAGAAAGTGGAATTTTCTGAGAGGTTGGGCACTGAAATACAAGTTTTTATATTTTATCTTAAACTGCTGCAAAATACGTGCTACAGTCATAATTTAATTAACGAAGGAAAAATTAATATTTGCTAGTTTTGTCTGACTAGTATTTGAAGAAAATATCACGATTTTCAATGACTGAATGATTAAAACAAATAAAATTACACAAACAAAACAAAAAAAATTAAATATAGTAAAACATATTTCAAATTCTAAGAATTACTGCAATAATAAAATATTTACAGATTTGACATCCAGAAGGAGATTCAAAAATTAAAATCCTTGATCATGCCTAGAAACGCCAGGGATTTATTTCATGGAAGGGGCTTTCAACTACCAGAGTAAGACTTTGCCGATATTTTACAAAAGTAAATGTTCAGCGACAAAATCTTTACTTATATACATATGAATGTATTTCTTATTTGTACAGCATGCACTCGTCAATGAAGCCCCGCCGGCCTCCGATACTGGATTACGATAGTGACGAGGACAGTGAGTACACATCAATACATGACGTCATCAAAACGTCATTTATATGCTAATTTTAGGGATGTCAATTTTGTCGCTAATTCATATTCGAATATTCAATGAAAGTATTCGAATATATTCGAATATTCGATAAAATAAATAAAATCTGGTTTAGTTTAAATATGTATCATCCTACTTGAAAGGTTTAGAGTAGGTATTCTTATATTGGAAGTAAAATTGTATGAAGACTTTTGTAGGTGTAGAATAAGGAATTCCTTTTGATATTTATCAATGTTTTAAATAAATATTTGATTTAAATGTAGAAAAGTAAAATTTTAACAAATTATACAATCATGTGTTTTTATAGTAGCTCCAACTGAGGAACCCGTCGTCTTACCAAAGGCAGGATAGTCGTATACTGTTCAGATTTCAATACGTGCAATAAATTACAATTATCGGCCTAATAAGAAATATGATCATAACCTTTCATACAATGTTTTTAAAATATAAACAAACATTTCCATAGATAATTTTCCTAGGTAATTAACTTCTTTCCCGATAATGAAAATAAAATTCAGGATTATGTACAACCCGTGATAATCAAGTAATTTACACATTTATTCTGAAATTGAGCCCTCTACAAAGTTTAATTACAGACATACATTCAGTGATCAATTAAATTTATTAAGATAAGTATTCTCTTCACGTTTTTTAGACATTCTAAGAAGGTTTGTCTTTTGTTGTCCTCGATTCTATATCCGATTGTATTTAACAAATAAAAAAAAGTATTAAAGTACCTTATGTATTATATATAAAACATTAATGTATAATTCATTAACATCTTACTCAAAACAAAATAATTTAGTAGATATATACGTGAAAGAAATCAGGCGATCAATATTGATCGCTTGTAAATTAAAGGGGATATCTAATCAAAATTTATTAATCACAGCTGTACTTCTTTTAATGAAATCTGAAAAATACCGAATATTCGAATCTTAAATTCATATTCGAATATCAACTCATCGAATGAATATTCGAATGTTCGAATATTCGTTGACATCCCTAGCTAATTTATCATAAAAATGATCTTTGTAGAGCTTGGATTATTACAGTACTTATGTTAACTTTTGTGTTTACAAATGTCTTTGTTCATTTGTGAATCTTCATGCTAAAACTATTTAGTATAATTAGCAAGATGTAGAAAGTAGCACATATCTTTTCTTTTCATTCAAACCTTCTTTTAACATGTAATGTAAATACTTTTATGAGACTTTTTTCCTTAGAATAAGTATTCATCCGAGGAACTTTTGATAGGTACAGCAACTGAATACTGTGAATACATCCGCCATTAAAACTTTTTTCAGCCTCAGTTCCCTCTAGTCATCGTCTTGGCAAGCAGGCTGTTGACCCAGATACTGGGTTACCCAGACCGAGGCTAAGGCAAAATGCCGGCCAACTTCCCAGAATTGACAACAGAAATATGATAGGTACTTATATACCACAATCATTGTGTGGCTTCCCTGTTTCTGATGAAGTGTTTATATAATGATTTATTTTTTCTTGTTTAACCCACAATAGGTATCTCCCGTTAAACCCTAATATCTAATACAGTTCATAAGCTATAACCTTGCTTCCTACATAGCATAGCCCTTCAGAATGCAGTTCATGCTTTTTTTATGTGTTGTAATGTTATGCTTTCGTAAAGTTCCGTTTTGTGTAAACGTGAATTTCTATTAGTAAAACTACAACAGGGACACACATTTATTATTAATAAATATTTATGCAGACAACAGATATTATCTCTCCTTTGAAGCTGAAGGTAGTATATATGTTAAAACAAGTGAATGTAAACAATGTAACGCAACAAATCAAATGTCTAATGCATGGATATGTTTGCATATTTTATTTTCTAGAATCTGCATGTTAACTCCGTTGTCGAACAAAATAATACCCTACTGCCTGTTTGGACGATAATACATATAACCTTGCTGCTTAAAAATAAAATAAAGACACATAATTCTGTATATTTATTGTTAAACATGTTAAAAAAAACTGTTAAAATGTTTCTGAAAATAAAAAAAAGAAAGAATTAAATAAGAATAAAAGCACATTTACAACCCACAAATGGATAAAATATATTACTCTTATTGTGTAATAGTAGCACTGTTGCATGTTTTGAGTAGCACGTGACTGACACGTGACCTGTTCTCCTCCTTCAGGTTCTACTGATTCACCTCTTCTTCTAGCCAGAGAAAAGCGCACTGTAGATCAAATTAAAGCTAGAATTAGCATTCCCGCAGGTTTGATCACATGAAACTCACTTTTTTGATTTTCTTTGCTTCCCAAGCACACTTTACTTCATCATGAAAATCATGTATATATTTAAAAGACAATTATTAATTCATTGACGAATAGTAAATCATAAGTGAAATTTTAAATTCCAAAAATACTGGTTTTATTTTTTGTTGCGTTCGGACTTGATTGTTGTGACAATAACACGAACTTTGATCCATCTAATATCATCCTACCCAGATAGCTTAAGCACACGCCAAAGAGAGGGAGAGTGACCCCGCTGTATTCATTATTGTGTGATACATACTTACGATTTCATTGTATTGGAACCTGAAACTGACCATTTCCTGTAGTTTGTGACGTCATTTCCTGTGTGTCTTCCTGTGTAAAAGCTTGCTTCTGCTTTTGTTCATATGCTGCTTTGTTTCTGTTTGATTTCGAGATTTGCACCGTTCATGTCGAGAAGAGAGGTGTGTGACGTCGTTTATTGTGTGCCTTTTGAGGGTAAGAGCGGTATCATATAAAATATGATACACCGTTATAGAAAAAGAAGAAAAAATGTAAACGATGTGGAATCAATCTTTGACTTTTGAGAACAAGCTGTGTATCGTATCTGTGTATGATACCTCAAGACGTAACATTTCTAACAATTGTATTGCTGTACATGTAATTGAAGAGGACATATTTCCTATTCCATTTCGATTTCAATGAAAAATTTGCAGCAAAGATTAAAAATTTAGGCGGCGTATTTTGTATTATTCGGTCTGTGATTTGACTACAGAACTACAGCGAGGCCGGAGACCTATATCAATAAAATCACATGACATGGCGCAGGAAACACACCGGTTTTCAGAGGAGGGGCCTTGGACCCGTGAAAGCTTTGCTCGCCAAGGTACACTCATTTCATATTTTCCGAGACTTTGAAATAAGTGACCAGTATAAATGTCGTTTACCTCATAATTTTTCAAAGATAACAGTTGTACTGAAGATATGTCTGTTTTGTAAAACATTTGTATAATTCCTCTTAAAAGTCATTTTGTATGTGAATACATGTACATTGTATATTTGGTATATACGACTTTGTAAAAATTGTTGAAAGCCATTTTTTTAATTGATGAATTGTATATAATCTGTATACACACAAATGTCATCAGTTAGAAATCATTATTTATTTAGGAGTTTTAATTTGAGTAACTATAAAATAAAATTTAAGTTAATACCAAATGGGTTATTTTGTTTCCAAGACAGTTTCATGTAGTATTTTTCAATTAGGTCGAAATTTTGGTAAGGCTGAATCTATGTAAAAGTGTTTTTATTGCTAGTTATTTGGATATCATTTTTGAAATCTGTACCTGCATGCTGAGTGATCAAACATAACTAATCTTGCATAATTTTTGGATTTTTTTTTTCTCTTTTCATCTAAACCGTGATACATGTAAGACTGATGATTATTAACATTGCATGCACTGTTTCGTTTATCGGGATGCCAATTGTTTATAGTCTATCTCTTCACACTTCAGATTTTTAAACTATCTTCAACCAGAGACAATTCTGTTGATTTCAAAAAGCATGTTTGAAGGCATTCTTTGCATGACTTGTTCGCGTAACATTAATTTTCTACGAGGTTTCACAGAACTTCGCTTCATTTTTGCAGCATGTCGTGCATGGTTTCCAAATAACTTGGCAGTACTAACATTTATGCCTTCTGTACATTATCTTTATGTTTTCTTTATTTATTATTTACATTTTACGTATTTCATTTTGAGTCTCTTATTGATGTCTTTTGCAAAAGTGATAATAATTTACGTGATTGACTAGAAAATGATATGAAATCATATTTACCTGAGCCATTTTTTATGATATATTCATTTACTCATAAAATTATTGATATAGAATCTGCATAGTGATACCGGGAGAAAAATTTTGAGTTTTCCATTGCCTCCAACCCGAAAAAAAATGTCCAAACTCGAATAATTTTATGTTTTTAAATTTATTTTTCAAATAGCGATAAAGCCAGTTTAGTAATACATGTAGTTATTTTACAAACGTATTTTTGGATAGAAAAATAAATGGCAAGTCCCTTAGAGTTAGAAAAAGCAAAAATTAAGAAAGTCATTTTGAATTCTTTAAAACAGTGCTAACTTATTTGAAAAAAAAACTCTATTTTTCTTGTATGTAGTAAATAAGTTATATTTGCAAATAGTTTGATGTACATGTTTATGTAAGCCAGAGAACTATAGATCACAAATGATAAGCCATAATTTCTAGATTATTTTAACATAAAACTTAATTGGAAATAATGCATAATCATTTTCGGTACTTGTGCATGCAATGCTTGGCGGCAAAGAATATATAAAGGGAATTATGTTATAGTCTAACCTCTAGGCAGCGTCATTAAATGGATTAAGAAATCAATATGTTTCATTAGTTGCATGGTCGCTAATTTGAGTATACATATATATCTAATTAACCCTTCTGCTGATATACTTACCGGATTATAAACACCTCTAATACAGTTAACCCGTTTAAAATCCAACCAAATTCTGCTTGAAGACTTCTTTTTTAAATCAAACCAACATAATCAAATGCCAAGAGGTCAACACGATACTATAAAATGTGGAATTTGCAAGGAGTTCTCAAGTAATTTCTGACACATCGACAAAATGATCGACTCTGAAAACGAAGAAAAGAAGGGCGGAGTGACAGTTACTTAAAGTAAAAACACAATTCTGCTTCAGTTGTCCAGATGTAAGTATTTGCCTCTGTTTTTTTCATGGTTGATCAGAAACATGCAATCATCGCGCGAGTCTTCCAGGGCTACAATTGGCTAGGAGGTCTTCATAATCACTCGTCTAACTATCGCTTTATCTTAGTGTAACATTATAGCTGTATCATAACAATTTATCATGCATGCTTTCCATGTTGCATTTAACCAAAAGATATAATTAATAAAATGTATAATTTAACAAAATCCCATATTTATCTCCAATCAGTTATTGTGTGGCTACTAACTAGACTTACCTGTATATGTATGGCTTAACAACAAACGTGTGAGCCATCAGAGAGAGATAACTGTAAAGGTATCATTCTCTCCAACTCTTCTTAATATCTAATTAGCTACTATAAATTAACTACAGCTCTTCAATCATTAATTAGGTATGAGTCCTGCATATCTGAAGCGGTCACGTACAAACATCCAGTCCAAGATGGACTCTGTGGTCAACAGAAGCGCCACCTTACCGGAAGCGACCGATACACAATTGAAGTAAGTGCTTGATCACAGGATTCAAAAATGCATCTTAATTCTCGATTATTTTTGATAACTAGAGAGATTCCACAATATATTTAGGTGTATATAAAATGTATTCATGATACATTGGAAATTCAAATAATGACACTGCTTATTACAGTGTATAAAAGTATACTAATAATTTGCAAAATGTAAAGAACTGAAAAATAGAAAATTGTGAAACTAATCCATTGATCAGAGTAAAGAAGTATGAGTTCTGTCTTTTATCGGTGAAACATGTCAACAAAAATCTTGCTAAAAGCATGTGCTTAAAATAGACTAATAAGCCAAGAAAATAAAAAAAAAATCCTTCAAAATGCACACGTAATAGCTATGAATATTGCAGACTCTCGACAAGAAATGACGCAGTGAAAAGAGTGGAGATTCCTTCCGGTGGTCATGTACCAAAATCACGTGGTGCAGAAAAAGTCGAACCAATGTTGGACTCGTCGAAGAATCCACTACAAATTGACAACTTAAAAGAAAACTTGTGAGTCCCTGCATATTTGATAATAAAATAACATTTTATTTCATATCCGAACTGAGTAGTAGTTAAATTAGACCAAAAAAAGTGAATAAATTATTTCATTTTTCTTTTATAACAATCAAGAAATCCTAAAAATCTGTAGGAAGTGTTTATCTGTAGAGCTAGGATAGGATTTATAGTCTTAAACATGAAGCAGTAGTGAATTTGAATCGTTTATTGACTTGGCTTGTGATAATTCTCGCATCAGGCCAGAGCAGGATGTCGCTGCCTTGGAGAGAGTGGAATCTCGGCTGTCAGGGAGGTCAAAACTTGCGGACAGTCCTATGAAGGCGCCCACACCGAATCCTCTAAAAGTAATAGTGACAAGCAATCAAAATATAGCTAAAACAATTTTGTTGTTGCGTCAAACTTCTGTGTCTTTTTCTTTCTTTCTTTTGAAATTAAAATAATCGAATATTATACTGCTGACTGCATGTCAATACAGTGTCTATAATTTGTAATAATTATTATTTTCCTTAATTGGCAATGCCATTTACCTAAATCTGTATACTTAATGTAAGATATATTTTTATTTCACCAGGGGAGTGAACTGTCTCACTTACTCCCTGAGGAACAAAGGGATGAGCTAAGAAAAGCATTCCAAAAGTTGGACACAGATGCAGACGGGTAAGCTTACTCACAAATTTACACTAAATTACATAAGCTTTTGAGGCTCATTTATATATGTAAAGAGGATCAAGATGTGCTGATTGTGTATTCTTTTTTCCAGTCATTTAATGTATCAGCAGGTGAAATCACAACTTCCTCCTCAGATGACGTCACAACAGGAACGGTTTCTGAAACAGGTGTGTGTTCACAGTAGCATTGCTGGAATTTGAAAATGTATAGCCCGAGTATCATTTATGTAATAAGTGAAATATTAATGTGCAGCATGAAAACATTTTTCCCTTGGGAAATTGAATCAATCATTCGGGTGAGAAATGGTATAAAGTGTTCTCCAGCAGGTGTAGATCATTATGAGTATTTCAGATGTATGGCATTTCAGGTGTTAGACATTATGAAGTTTTCCCGGTGTATGTCATTCGAATGGCTTGTATATTTTAGATGTTAGACATTATGACGTGTATTTCAGGTGTAATGACATTCTAATATATTGGTTTAATGTGTATATCAGGGCTGTGTTGAAGATCGTAATGGCTAGCCTAGCAGCTAGTCTAGATATCTAGGTTAATTGAAAGCATCAATTATTTGTATGAATCATACCTAGCTGCTAGTTTAGCATATCTTTTAAGATTGTGGCTCTAAGGAAACCGCTACAATCATGAACGTCTTCAGTGTTTAGATGTACTGACATTCTAACGTCTTGTGTATATAAAATGTTTGACAATTCTATTTAAAACCATGACTTCTTGTGGATATCCGGTGTATTGACATGAAGTGTTTTTGCTTATTGCAGGTTTATTGAATTCTGGTATCTTTTGTATGAATTCTAGGGTCTAAGATCCTCGTGCTGAATTCTTAGGTCTTGTATACATCAGGTATTGAGATTTGACGTCTCGTATATAATATAATCAGGTGTATTGACATTGTAACATCATGTGTATTTTAGGTGTATGAAATTACCAGTTCCAGTACGTTCTTTGGTGTGGACGAGTTTATGACCATGTCAACACTTACTAAAAAAGTACAAGGGCTGAAGTAAGGGTTCATTTATATTTAAATAATTGTATAAAAAATTCATTTCATTAAACAAACAAATGGAAAGGCTTGAAGTACTATCATCTATGGAAATGAAACATTCATTCAAAACATTTTTCCTAAAAAGGACTAAAGTTGTTACATGTATATATTTAGATTTCTATGAATTATGAAACACAGTAAAAATGATTATCTTTTATATCTTTTAATTTCAGAGAGGAAGCAGCAGATAGCTTCGGTAACCTTGACTTCTCTTCGCTACATAACAACATCGTCAAATATGTGGTAAGATATCATAGCAAAGGGTCTGCAGGTGTAAAGATTCGGAATACGGTGCTTTGTAATTTCCACTCATAACTATGGGCATATATCAATATTCAGAAAGTGTTTTGATGGTAAAATTCGGAATGCAACATTAAAAAAAAGTTTCAACATCATCTTGCTGTTTTCCTCGCTTATTATCTGACCAGTTTATGGAATAATTTCAGGACTTGTTCCAGTCTGTAGATCGGAATCAGCGAGGTAAAATCTCGCTGGAATCTCTCCAGGAAGTCCTGTCAACGGCGCAAGAAACTGATCTGTCAGCAGACGACAAAGCGTGGAACAAGATCCTCGACGTCATAGAGCCTGTAAGTCACGTGATTCTTATGAATAATTTAATATCATTGAGGTGCAACATTAATATTCATCTGTGTGTAAACTTTTTTTTTTTTACATAAAAATGGTTTACCTTTATCTAGTAGTAAATAAGCGTTCATCTTACTTCATCAATGATTAGTCTCGTGATTTTATTGTAGGAAGAGGGAGTGAAAATTAGCAAGATAGAATATCTGGCCCATATACCGTACTTTCTGACACTTAAACTAAAACCCGGTCCGGGGTCCGTCCCCCATGCAGGCCGATTCCAGTGATACCCTCACTATAAAACGCAACCAACAATGAACTATATATTTTATCATTAAGTATTTCTAATCATTTCTGACAATGGATTTCCCTTTCCAAATTATTTTTCCTGTAACTACCAGTATGTTTGACAAACATTAAAATACTTGTACCGTTGTTTACCAAAGCCAATCTGTGATATCAACAAACACGTCCATTATTTTGTACATTGTGTGTCTTTATGTCATTTAACCTGTTCATTACTATTAAATATATATGTATGTTACATTGTATGCCATTTCATGTATGAAATGAATATTTTCTTACCTTAAGAATAAATTAAATTGAGAAATGATAAGTTTTTGTTGTAATTTAACCTCAAAGTAGAGGAACTGTGAGCATTGAGCTCATATATCCTAGTAATATCCCCGCCCCCATAATGGCAAAATCCATTTTTGCTACGGAAACCCCAAATGTCTATCCAATCAGAATGAAAAACTAGAGGTACTGTGAGCACTGAGCTCACAAAATGATACTCCCCACTCTCATATGAGTGTAATGGCAAAATCCATGTTTTGCAATGGAAAACTCAAAAATATCTGTCCAAGCAGAACATGAAATAGAAGGTGCACAATGGTACTATGTTATAAAGATTCTGTGAAAGTCTAATTAAATTAATTAATTAATTGGTACATGTATAGGAGGAGTTGCGGATAAGAGATGGGTACCTCCAATATAATAGAAAGAATGGCAGTGTCCAGGTTTTGCTATGGGAAATCCCAAAAATCTGACCGATCGAAACGAAAAAAAGGACTATGTTATAAAGATTCTGTGAAAATTTCATATGATTTTATTCAGTGGTGCAGAACGTGGTTTGGAATGGTAGTGTCCCTGTTTTGCTATGGCGAACCCGAAATATGTGTCTGATCAAAACCAAAAAAAATGGAGGTGCACAATGGCATTATGTAATAAAGATTTAAAATTTGTGAAAGTCTGATTAAATTTATTCAATGGGATAGGAGGAGTTGCGGATAAAAGATGGTACCCCTCGTGTTATAGAAAGAATAGCAGTGTCCATATTTTGCTATGGGAACCCCAAATGTCCGTCCGATCGAAAAGTAAAATAAAGAGGTGCACAATGTCACTATATAAATATTCTTGGAAAGTTTCATAAAATTTTATTTAGTGGTAAAAGAGAAGTTGTTTATAAGAGATGGGAACCCAAAGTATGTCGGACGTACATGTACGGAAAGTCTTGTCTTGTTAAATTTTATTCAGTGATATAGGAGAAGTTGCGGATAAGAGATGGGTACCTCCAATATTTTAGAAAGAATAACAGTGACCAGGTTTTGCTATGGGAAACCCCAAATGTCCGTCCGATAGAAACGCACAATAAGACGTGTAAATGGCACTATGTACTTGTAATTCAGATTCTGTGTGAAAGTCTCATTAAATTCCATTCAGTGGTATAGGAGGAGTTGCGAATAAGGAATGGGTATCATAAAGCGTTATTGACGTACGGAAGGGGGAATGGACAGGAGGACGGACAAACCAATATGGCAGTTTGTCCTTTTTTGGTTATTTTGTGATTCATTCAGAAGTAGAATATTTTGAGGTTTTGCAGTACTAGTTACAGTTTTGACCTGTTTTACAATCTGTATAATTCTTTACCAACAGGAATAATCCCAGTGCAGAATGTTATAAACAGGACTTATGCACACTTTAAGATGCTGTATCAAGGACATCTCAAACATGTTAATTCGCTGAAAAGAAACTTCATGTTTACAGGTACAAGAAGGATAGGATATTAAAACGAGACTCTCTGAGATCAAACACTTTTCCTCTGTCCTTGTAACACAGAATAAAAAGTACATGTATTAATAAAAAGATACCAACTGCCATATGATATCACTATACAATAAACTCCACAATAAGTCAAATATATAACTACTAATTCAAATGATTAGACCATGTAGCTCATACTCCATACAGTGTCAATTCTCTAGCACTACTTTCACTTTAAATAATTATTGTAGCTTAACGTAATACCGAGCTGTCTGGAGTTTGCAAGTAGCTCTACTGGTCAAAAACCAGAAGACTCTATACGATAGTAATGTGTTCCTTCGTAGTCAGTCTGTCTGTAAACAATTTTTGAAAACGCTACGCTTCCTAGAGTTTTGGTCTGTTTTTAAGAGACTCGGTATTCAAATTGACTATATCAAAATTCATTATAAATATCAGCTTTTAATTTCGACCAACGGTTTTGCCATGCGGTTACTTAAAATAGAAATTTCTGTGAAATTCTTTATTAACACTAACCTCCTCAGGCACGTAGTATCGGGGAGGGGGGGGGGGGTCTGCCTCTCTTTTTTTCCAAACATTACCTTTTACTGTTGAAAATGTGAATTGAAAGGTCGGGTGCCCCCCTCCTCCCCCCCCCCCCACGCTTTGTTGCATAAATCAATCAGGGTAATGTGATAAAATGGGTACCAATTACACCCTGTTATAAGCACTTATTTTTATATTCATATTAAGCAGAATTTATTCAAAATCTTATACATGAGAACACGAGAAGAAGAAAATATTTGCTGTGGTCTTCAATTCGACATTTAGAGATATCGACGACGTATTTTCAATTAACAATTATTATTAATTATTATTATTATTAATAGTTACTTCCATTCGTATGTCGCCTCGATATATCCCAGTGAGCTTGAAATAAAAGATACTACAGAGTCTGACACATGTGTTTCATATTTGGATATTTTTTTTAGAAAAAGAGTTAATGGTAACCTAACAACCAAGCTTTATGATAAACGTGATGACGAACTTTTCAATCGTCATCTTCTCTTACTTATGTAGCAATCTTATCACCTGCATAAGGGTTTTAGTTGACTCGATACGCAAGAACATGCTTTACGCACAAACTACATGTAGTTCTGAAACGAAGCAAGATATTGACGAACAAGTTAATGAAACAAGAATATCAACAGTCTCGTTTAAAGTCGTCATTTCGCAAGTTCTATGGTCGATACAATGACCCTTGTCTACAAATACAATCTACCATTAATTAAGTCAGATGCTTCAATTCTTTATTCTCTCTAAACTAGATCACTGGTACAAGAGATACATATATACAAACAAAGATTACAGTCAGGGTCAAAAAATAGACAAGTATATAAAGAAAAAGAATGAAATAAACAATATTGTCATATATTCAATTTTATCTATCTATCTATCTATCTATATATATATATATATATATATATATATATATATATATATATATATATATATATATATATATATATATATATATATATATATTAGGGATGTCAAATCGGTCATTTTTTGATAATCGGTTACTCGGACGATTTTCCGATCGAGTACCCGGGTACTCGGTAAAATTGTAAAATACAAATGTGTTAATTTTATTGAGACCAGTTAAGCCCTGTTTAACCCCAACGTTGAATTTTTAACGTTTTCTATGTTTGTACACAAACATCGAGCAAAACGAAAATGATTTTTTGCACTAAATTTATTTCTCAAATAAACACAAAAGACAACAGTTAATGCATCATTAATTAGAAATGGTTTATAGTTCTTGTTTAGGAAACGATTTGATCAACGCAAGAGGAAGACAATCTGTAACGTAGCTTTGCAATGATTAGGCAAGCGCAAGATACTGTTTTTAAAGAAATGGATATTGTCGAGATCGCTAGATATTATTTAATTAATACATGTATGTTGGTTGTTTTCCCCATATACGCTATGTTAACTTTGCACAGCTAATTTAAACGTTTTTTTTTTTAAATCTTTACTTCTTTCCTAATGTTTTTTTTTTTTACTTTTGAAGTGGTAGCGGTATCTCTTTGTATGTCCGAATTCGCTACCGTATGAAAACTAAATTATTTTAGGATAATAAACCCTAATTAAACGATATTCATTAAATACTAATCAATCATTAAAGCTATCCAAAAAACTAACTGATCACAAGAGGTGATAACAGCTGTGTACCAGGAGATTGGTCACGGTAATTACTGTATAAACAAGTACACAGCCACAGACAATAACAGGTATTGACACGGGTGTGGGTGACGCTAATTACAAGGCAAACAAGGACAAATCATTTTGAAGTTGCATTTTTTGATAAGTTTTTGGTAAAAAAAATATATACTTTGTTCTTTGAAATATGAAAAAAAAAATATACATCCGAGTAACCGAGTAGCGATTTTAGTATTCGATACTCGGACGTTCGATCGAGTACCCGGTTAACCGGGTACTCGTTGACATCCCTAATATATATATATATATATATATATATATATATATATATATATATATATATATATATATATATATATATATATATATATATATATATATATATATATATATTAGGGATGGCAATCGATTACAGAATTGCTAATCGGTTAACCGCAACACGTTCCGACCGATTAACCGGTTGATCGTATCAAAATACACATTTTCTTGGCATATTATCTTTTTCCAAAAACCTCTATACACAAAGACAAGGAAACTGAATTTTAAAAAAAACGACGTTAGAATTTAGAAACATTTCGTTTACCTAGATAAAGAAACTACATGTACATATATTTTATGTCATTTTCAATAGACAAGAAAAAAATTAAGAAAATTAACCGATGAAACATGCATGAGAAAATCAGAGACTGATAATTTTCCAGAGCAGATGTCACTCAAGTTCATACTGCATTGACACCATAATCAAAACTAAGTCAGAACTATCACTTAATTTACAATGTTTGTCTTATAATATAATTTGATGGATAACTGCAAAAGATAAACATGCCAATTCACAGTGGTCTGCGGTGATTTGTTTAATTATAATATCATTAAAGAATTACAAGACAATCGGAGTAACGACATGGTATTTAAACAGTAATTAACACTTCACAAACTGACCAATAATACCCCGCGATCTCAATCCGGACAGCCATTATAATTTCCACCAAATCAGCTTATGTGAAATCGATAAATTATCAACGTTTTTGCAGAGGTTTCTTATATAAAAATGGATTTTAAGAATATTGCGTTAAAATTTACATATATCTTATTTTTTCCCAACTAACCGATTAGAGATATTCTAACCGATTACTATCGTTCCGACCGAGTAATCGGTTAACCGGTAACAAACTGCCATCCCTAATATATATGTATATGGAGGATTGACTGACGTTTTCATACTAATTATTAAACCATTATTTACACACTGAAATGTCTACGGATTTCCCCCAATCATGACAAGGAGCACATGGCGGGTGTTACCGGTCGGCAGGGGATGCTCACTCCTCCATGGCACTTGATCCCACCTCTGATGTTTTAGAGGTCCGTGTTTGTTCTGCTCCTGATTTGTATTGTTTGAATGGACTTTTGGGCTTGAGTGCTGTTCGTTGTCTCCATGTTTTATGGATAATTGTGAAAGAAGTTGGAACCTACCCCCCCCCCCCCAACGCCATTCCCCCTCCCAAAAAATTGGATTTGGAGTTTGGATAATTTTTCCCTTTTTTTTTTTTTGATTTATCAAAGTTTTTTTCAGGTAATTTATCAAATGTCAAATTGTTTTTTTCTAACTGGCCCCTTACTTTCAAAGTAAAGGGCCAGCCGTTTTCACCTATTGTGGTCCTTAATTTTTGGATGGCTTCAATGACTGTTTTTCAGTGAACATCGTTTAATATGGTCTATTATCTTCACATCATTTTTAAATTATTTAGTTAATATACGGTAGCGAAATCGGACATACATAGAAATGCCGCTACCCACTTCAAAATAAGTAAACATTCCAAAAAAAAATTTGTTTAAAGACAGTTTCCACAGTAAGTTTAGTGTATACGGGGAAAACAACCAACATATGAAAAAATATTAGACTAGCGATCGAAACAACGTCCGTTCCTTCTCTTTCGCTAGTCTAGTCATCACATACCTGCGTAACAGATTGTCCTCCTCTTGATGAAATAGATCCTGAACAAGAACTGTAATGCATTTGTAATTTTTGATGTATTAATTAATTGCGTAATTTATGTTTATTTAATAAATGAATTTAATACCAAAAATCATTTCCGTTGGAATCCATGTTAATACATTATATATTCATAAAACGTGATAAAAACAGCTTTGGGGTTCAACAAATTAACAGTTAAAAATTAACAAACTTGTATTTACATTTTTACCGAGTACCCGTGTACTCGATCGGAAAAACGTCCGAGTAATCGATTATCAAAAATTGACCGTTTGACATCCCTAATTTTAAGGAGAGGATCCAGTAAGTTGTACGAACTTCTTTCCAAATCTTTTGATTCATTCAATAAAATATGTTCAAAACAACGATACTATACGTGCCTGTTGCTTACACTTTTGGTTCGATTTCAGTAAAACTACGTACATGTACACAAGGAAACTACACTAAGATACATAATTCTATTGATTACTAGTATTCATTCTATTGATAATTCTATCGATTTTGACGAAAGGTGTCATGGTTACAAAGGAAATAAAATTGTGCAATTCTTTTGAAAACACTACTTCTTTTAGTTTTAGATCAATTTAAATACGACTACTCTAAGACGCATTATTCCGTGTATCGGATTTTGATTTTTGAGAACGATATTGCTATGATTTTAATAATACATATGTCTGTGAAATTTTTCCAAATCGCTATACTTCCTACAGTTTAAATCCGATTTCATTAAAAACTGTGCAAAAAGTTACACTCATAAAATTTCATTTGACGAACGGTGTTGTCATGGCTATCAATTATTCTTTCAAAACACTATTCCTCCTACAGAAATGTTCTAATTTCAATACAGTTTGGAACACAGATGTACTACACCATTGATATATATTTTTTCGATGAACAATGTTGCAGTGGTTGATAAAAATATAATAACCAACCAAATTCTTTCAAAATTTTACACCTTCAAAGTTTTGGTCTGATTTCCGTAAAACTTGATCATAGAACATCGTTCTATTTTTCAGTGTTACCATAGCTACCAAAAATAAAAACCTGAAGGCTTTGAGGAGACTGTAGCTCTACTGGTTTATACTTAACAAAAGTAGAGAAAGGTAGCACTTGGACTTGAAACTTTGGCAACAGCAATAAATAAAATATTATAATGATCCTTGGTTTAGTCTCTTTTTGAGTCTCGTTTAATCGCAATTGGACAAAACCTGTAGTAGGCGTAACCCCCCCCCCCCCCCCCCCCAATCGCAATTTCCATTTTTAAGTAATCAAGAAAACACTTCAACAAAATAAAAAACTGATACGTAGAAGTATATTTTTTAATGATCCCATCCTATTTTTGCCTTTTCTTGATTATCTCCCCTTGAAAATGGGATTGGTCATTCATTTAGACAATTTAGAACCCCCTTCACCAAAGGATGCTTTGTGCCAACTTTGGTTTAAATTGGCCAAGTGTTCGTGAGAAGAAGTCGAAAATGTTAAAAGTTTACAGAAAGACGGACAGATGCTAGTAACAGGTAATCAGCAAAGCTTGCTTGAGCTTCTAGCTCAGGTCAGGTCAATAATATATATGTATATATATGTATATATATATATATACATATATATATATATATATATATATATATATATATATATATATATATATATATATATATATATATATATATATAAACACTGATATCTCAAATACCATGGATATGCTGAAGTGATTTGGAAGTCCCAAACACCTAATCAATTACTTGCAAAAATGGCCATAATCAGCTTGTTATTAATTGCTGTTAAATTCCAAAGTTACTGTAATTCAGTGGACTACCTTTGAATTACCTTTGGATTACCTTTGAAAGTTTAAAAGAAATTAAAAGTAATTCCTGTTAAGGAATGAGCTTCTTTTTTAACCATTTATTGAAAAGTTCCAAAGGTAATTGTATAATTTATTTTGAAACATTCCAGTCATGTGAAGGTAATTAATGCAAATATTTGGCTAGCAGCACATACATGTATATTGTATTCAGGTATACTAAATGAAAACCTAATAGTAATTCAAATATACTTATCTTATCCCTAAATTATGCCACCAAAATCTCCACAAAATCTTACTCATGAATGCTAAAAGAGTAATACAGACTAGGTTCAGAACATGAGTTTTAACATTCATATACATGTACATGTATACCCCAAAATGAATCGCTGAATATGCATGCTGCCTATCATTTACCTTAAATAAATGCAAACTGTACATTCATAAACCATCTCTCAGAGAACAATTGTGCATCTGAAACACAATATCTAAGAATAAATTGTAGTAATTAACATGATTAATGCATTTCTGTTTATAAAAGACATTTAATGATTTCATATAGCACCAAACAGTCCATTTTGCATATCAACTAGACCTCATCATTTCAATACACTGTATTTGTAGGTATCTTTGGCTGACAGGTAAAATACAAATAGGAAAATGCATAGAGGGTTTAAATGACTAAAATTATCTGATGATCCGAAGCATTTTGTCAACTTTAAAAAAGAACACAGCAATATAACCTCTCAGCTTGAATTGATCATTACAGTAGTGTTTATCTTACATATTGCAATAGTCCTACATTGCTGTACTAGATAAGAGGCTGAACATATAGCTATGAAATTTCAGCCTTTTTTTACAGAATACTTTCTTTCTCTCTCTCTCTGACATTTTTTGCTGAATTTTAGACAACATGTGTATAACTGTTCAGTCTACTCCATTTACACAGAAAAATTGAACACCCTGTGCTCTGGCATCAGATAACATTTACATTTGAGTTCAACTAGCCTGAGATCAATTCTTACTTGTTACATGTACCAAACAACATACATACAATGTATATACAATGCCATTTACATTTTGATAACATACAAGCATGCAGTTCATGTTACAAGGAACAAGATTATATACCAATTAGATCAAATGTAGGTTCTTTCATGACATATCCTAAAATGAATCAAAACTCAAATGCATCAACTACTATTACTATCATGGTCTTAAATATTTCAAATACTTCAATATTTACAATAATATTAAAACTTGTATACATGAAGGTCATTTAATTACCATGTTTCCTGTAATCAATATGATGAAACCAACTTTTGGCATGTTTGGTATGTAATACTATAATTATTCATTAAAACCTAAAATAAAATTGAACACAAATGCCATTTCCAAGTAAACTTTTGTTACATGTAAATAGTACATGCACATCTTCTAATCAAGTAAACTGCACATGTAAGGCCCAAAAAAATAATAGTCTTGTTTCCTGCTACCTGCCTGAAAATAAAATTGGGTAGATAGGTAGAAAAATTATTTTTTTATTTTATTTTTTTCCAATGGTATTTTTTGGATATGAACTAATACAATACCAAATTAAACATGTCATAAGTCAATATTATCTTTAAAATTAAATTTCATGTCCTTTGATGCACAACTCAAGTGGTATTTTATGAAAGTCCATATTTAAAACATAGAATTTCATCAAATACCACTTGAATATATATATATATTTTTTCCAGTTTTGGAACATGAAATTCCTGATTTTTTTTCCAAAACTTACCAAAAAATTTTAGGGTCGGGTGCAAAAAAATAGGGTTGGTCGGGTAGCAGGAAACATGACTATTATTCTTTTTGGCCTAATTGAAAATGCCAAGTTAACACAACCTTACAAAGTGCACAGAAATGGATCATGTTTAAGGAAAAAAAGAAGTAAATGTCCAGTATTGATCAGAATTTCATTGGGCCTTCTTAAATAATGATCCATGGAATAAACAAACCTGAAATGTTTACTCTTTATACCAGAATCTGTCCTAGATGCAGCAAAATTTATATGAACTTTGTAACTTCCTTGAGTTAGCTGTATCACTGATTTTCATAACTATAGTTATATAGTATGTCTATTGTAATTTCAAATTATATAAATGATCTCACAACAATTAACATGTTAAGGTCAAGATCTAGTAAATGAAGAGTGCCAAAAGATTTCTCAAATTTGAGAAACAAGTTCCTTTAATAATCTATTACAATTATGGCTAAATAAATTGAGATGTATCAGGCTATAATTTTTAGATAAACTCAACGTAAAAATTAACATATTTTAAACTGCCCTTTTCAATGAAAAATGAAGAAAATCAAGTATAAAAATGGGAGTTTTCTCCATCTCAGACAAACAAAATGTATCAATATTGCCTACAGTCTCTCAGTAAACGGTTTTTCATATCTTCTTGACATCTTCTTTAAAATGATATTAAATTGAAAATAGGTATGACCATATCAGGGTTCCTTTTGAAATGATTTCAAATTGAATTCCATGAAAATGTGTCATTTTCTACTTAATTCTGTTATAGTCGTAAAATACGGAAAAATAAGATTAAATCAATTATGACATCATAATGGATCTAGCACCAAAAGACAGACTGAACTCATTTACTAGATCCTGACCTTAATTCTTTTTTTCAACATTTGGCATAAACAATACTCTCAGATATTAGGTGTGTTCACCTGGATCCCACATTGGAGTGGTAGTACATTCCGAAGGCTGACGTAGTAAACCAGGAGGCACATACCCACCACGTAACAAAGGACAGCAGACCGCGATACCACTGAGCGGAGAACACCTGCCGCAAGTTCACTAAAGTCAGTGAAAACTGTGCTGCTGTCTCACTAATTGACTCAAGAGTTGTTGAGTTTAGAGCCCCTGAGATTGTTGAGTTTGAGATTTGAGTTGAGTTTCTACTGAAGGAAGTAAAATACTCTTCTAGATCTTGTCCCAGTAGAGAGGACCAGTTGTATTCACCCAGTGTCTTCTGTAGGAACATCAGGAACAGAAGAAGAACAACAGGAGTCAGATACTGCAGGGTTACCACACAAAGGTAATAGAAAATCCTCGCAATCATTTTTTGAACTTCAGTCCCACTAATTCTTCCACTTTCCTTCTTCAAGTTCTCCACCTTTTCATAAGCTGTATTGAGGTGAGCTTGTAGATGAGTTGGCATCAAACAGAGTCTTAAAACAAACATGATTCCTATCAAAAGCAAACGAAGAATGTCAAACTGGGATTCCTGTAAATGTTTGTATGTGGCCCTCCAGTGTTTTCCACATAAGAATGTTCGTCCTAATGGTTTAATCCACAGTAAGATAATCACTAAAGGTAAGATAAAGTTTAAATGCAATAAAAGCTGTTTAATTCTGTTTTCTTTGGAATATTTCAATGCATCAATGTGAAGTTTTCCATAACGAAGCCCAGGAAAGGTTAACAAGGCTCCTACAATTGCACAAACAAATGCCAGAATGATCTTAAAAGTCAAAAAGCTAACTGGACCTTCATAATCCACATCCTGGTGTTTGAGGAAGTTTTTAGCACCAGTGGAAAAGTTCTCATAACCATCAGCCAAACCAAATTCCAGTATGGATTCATCCACAACAAGAACACCCATGGCTGCCACAAGAAAGAAGAAGCCAAAGGTCACACACAGAATTCTCTCCCCTCCATTCTCCATCTTGAAATACATGGCTGTTTGGGCAAGCAGAATTCTCAGTGCAAATCCCATCACAAGCAGGCACCAAAGCATGCTGATATTGAACTCTGACCGAGGGCCGATGGTGTAGTAGATTTCTGTAAGGAAGTACACCATTCCAGCTGAGAGAGAAAAGTCTACCAGCCATTGATAGTCTGGGTAGAACCTTAGCTGTAACAAATCTACAGCCTCCACTGGAGCTGTGTCTAGGGCTATATCAGTATTACGGGGAATTGTAAAGTTGTTGTCAGATGTCTCTTTGTGGTTCTTCTTGTCTCCTCTTTTTCCTGTTATAAAAAACATCATTAACTCTATTAATTATACAAGAATTGTTAATGAAGACAAAATTTTTATTCTTTAAAAACTTACAATGTATGTCAGGCAAGTAGTATCGTTTTTGAAAGTGGAAGTCCAAAAATCTCTCATATATGTGTATGTGTCATACAATAAAAAGTTTGTGTGTGTGTGGGGAAATACAGAGGTGTATGATTTGTGTACGTCAATGCAGTACAATTTTCTTCTGTATTGTGGTATATCGGTACCAATATATTGGCATATCATTACACCCTAGTTGGGATGCCTGTTGTTCTCAAAAAAGTTTTTTTTTAATATTTAAGAATTTTCCCAACTTAAAAATTGAGCCCCCTCACCATGACCCAATCACATACTGTTGATTTGAACAAACTTGATTCTACCATGGTATAAAAAGTCAATCATTTAAGTTTTGTCTTCACTTAAGCAAGATTACCTAATGTCAGCCTATCCTAATTTTGTCACATCTAATTTTGAATTATCTTTTTTCTGAATGGACATGGCCCTTAATTCCAACAAAATTTCATTCATCCATGGTTGTAATAAAAATCTGGTTGATATTGGGCCAGTGACCATGGTGGTTCTGGAGAAGAAATTAATGAAAATTTGACAATAGGGAATAGAAATTTAGATCAGAAAAGCTTAGCCTTACTTATGTGAGCTAAACATCAATTTAAACATGATAAAAGGCCAATATATAGATTTTGATATAGCAAGCAATTAACATGCATATTCTCAAAAGGGAAGTAAAACAACAAACAATCAATCATTTATCATGTAATATGTCCGACGTAAAACCGTTAGGGCGAGCGCATTTAGCAGTTAACTAATTTAATTTTTGTAAAAATATCTATTTACCGCACAATTCCCTTCACCTCTCATTTTTCACTCCGCTTATAACTTTACATTCTTCAGTACACTCCTTAAAAATTTAGTCTGCGTTTTCTCCATATTGTAAAAAAAAATTAAAAGGAATATCTTTTATCTTTATCTAACTCCAAGTACTTCAGGATCAATATTCCAAACTTCTTGGATTTTTCTGACAAAATCGGAAATACCCGAGCTTTTGAAGTGACGAAAATATGACGTCACATACAAAGTCATTTTTAACGTGGATGCAAACGATCATACTTTTGTTGCATAGAAAGTGCATTAAAGTGCATTAAATTCTTGTTTGAATATTTGTCATAGTAAGTTGTTGATATGCCTAAGCCACCGTGTTGCTATGCACTGCAAAGGATTATTGAAAATTTAGAATTTTTTCATGTGGTCTAATAAAAATTTCTTTGAACAATGTGCAGATTTCAACCGAAATTTCCTTTGTTCGTACACGTTGTCTATAGAGCTCATTACGCGAGCGGGGCTTTGTGCCGCTTGCTGCACTCACGATAATTACGAAATAAGAATTACTTATATGTGGTATATCTTGCTTCCTTACCTTTCCCCCTCCCCTGATAACTGGGGGCACCTGCAGCCTTCCTCAGTTCCTCCTCACTGGGGTGGAGGTATCTGACTAGTCTCCCCACCAACAACCAGCGACCAAAAGACAAATAAGGAGACAACTTCTGCAGAAAACTGAAGATGATGAGACTAAATACCAGCTGTGCTCCCAACACTGCCATCTTGATAAATTTTGTCCAAAGGCAATGCTCAATTTCTGCAAGAAATAATTAAGCTCTGTTTGAACTGGAACTGATATCATGTATCACAAGGTACATACATAACCCACTAAACACAAAATTAATTCATGAACTTGCATGTATAGAGCTTTTTGTCCTATGGCTAATATAATCAATCAATGTTCATGAAGAGACCTTAGGGCTATTTTGGCAATAAGAATATGAAATACAATGAAAATTATACCATTAAGGTGTGTGTCATAAATTGAATGTTTTCATCATTCTTAAAAATTCAATCACTTAACCATGTCACCTATTTACTTAAAAGACGTGGAATTTTTTTCCATTTATTTTGAAAGATGATCTTAATTCTTATCTGAATGAATGTATACATCTTTTCACACTTTATATGTGATATATTAGGATTTTGTTTTCCAAACTAGAAACATTTTCAATAAAATCAATCAGTCATATATTATTGTTCATATAAATCCTTAATATCTGGTCCATCCTCTAGACTTAATGATAACACAAATTTTCCACTCATCCAACGTAATTAAAAAATCAAAATTTCGCACTGTACCCATGAGGTCCATTCATTTTATGTTTAACAGTTTAACAATCTGAATCAACTGATAGTGATCTGCAACCTGAATAACAAATTCCTTAGTTTAAATTCTCTGCATATGAAGAATCTCAGAGATTAAGTGTAAAAGTACAAACCCAACGATGATTCTACAGCTGTTCTATGCTTGCCACTTCAAAACAGAGAAAATTCGCGTCTTCAAGTGAATGAAGCCTACAAGTCCTTGAACCTAATATTAAATAAAACATTAAGTGTACAAGATGCAATTGACAGAACCCCCTCCCAACACACAAACACAGAAAATAAAGGAAACAAAACTAGCATTTTTTAGTTAGGAGACTGGAGAGCTGAGAATCCAACACGGTCACTCTGTCTCTGTCTCTGACACGCTACTCGAGAAGTCACCAAGTTGCGTTCGGTTGTAGTTAACTCAAGCATTAACTTCATTTCTCAAAATATCTCAAATAATCCAAATCAATATAATTAGCTCAATAAAATTTATTAAATAGATGGTCTAGTTAAGTTTTAAATGCTATCATAAGACAGGTTCTTGACATGGAAGTATATAAATAGCCTATTATGTTACCTGATAACTATTTATAGAAAACCTCACTCCAAAATCGCAACTTTTCACCAAGGAAATAAACTTAATCATGATTGTTTAAAATGTTATCATGGTTATTAACTTGCGGTTTTTTCCTCTTTTTTTTTTTTAAAGATAATTGTTGGGAATTTCCCTTTGTTTCAATTAGGCCTACATTTTTAAATCAAAAAGGAACACCATTCTAAAAATAATTCATGTTTTCCCAAGAGATATTTTTAGACACTGTGTTACATACATGTAAAGTATAAAAGGAAGGTATTATTGACGACGCTAACTCATTCCTACAGAACACGAACCAAAAAGTCTTTAGTTGTGCTACGATTTGGAGAATTTCTACTTCAAAATGCAAGGAAATGCTAGCAAAAAGACTGCACTGGAGCAGTTGGGGGTCTCCTTCGCCAAGCCCAAGTACCCCTCCTATTCCGTCCTAGTAACACGAGTCTCTACATTTTCTTCGTGGAACCATTACCAGCCTGCTGACACAATGGCGAAGGCCGGCTTTTTCTATACAGGTAAGAAATTTAAAAAAATTATCATGAATGTTGCTTTACCCCCCCCCCCTTTTCTTAATGTTGCATTTATATACTGATTTTAAGTATAATTAACAAAATACAGAAAAGTATTAAATACGAATGATCGCTGATAAACATGATAAATAATTTTATGTTTCTTTTTGAAAATTCTCGGTTTGCTTTTCTTACTGAAGTGTTTTAAAACGTTTTATACAGAGGAAAATTTATATAGGTTCGAAAAAATTTCAGGCAATGGTGACAACGTCCGCTGTTTTTTCTGTGGAAATGGTCTGGAGAACTGGGAGAGAGAAGATGACCCTTGGGTCGAGCATGCCCACTGGTTCCCAGAATGTGTCTTTCTCATCCAATGTAAAGGGAAAAGTTTTGTTTTAGAAGTTCAACAAATCGTAGCACAACGACAATCTCAACAGGTTTGTGCAAATGATATATATACGACTAGTACTATAGTTCTTAGACAGCAAAATTCACATTTACATGTGCAATGATGTGCAGATGAAGATATAAGTACACGTAGATGTAGGACACTTTGTCATACTTAAGTACATAATATACTTAAGTACATATTAACTGATGTTTGTTAAAATTTATGCTTCAGGATCGGGCAACAAAGCATGAAACAGGGAGTTTCAATCAATATAACAAAGAAAGGGGCGTAGTTAGTGCCCCTAGCTCTCCCGACTGTTCTCTACAAAGTGTAGCCGCCATTACAGCCTTACAGATGGGATATTCTGAGGTAATGGTCAAAAAAGCCATTCGGGACTGGAACTCTCGCAATGGTTCAGTGAGTTTCTCTGTAGCAGACATTGTAAATTTGATTCTAGATTACCAAGAGAGTGACCACGGATATGGCTCACTTGAGGATTTACAGCAGGAGAAAAGCATTTCTGTGAGTGACAGTAGGACAGAAACGTCTAATCTGAATGATAACAAATCTATCGGAAACAATAGGACTACACTTACCAAGAATTCTGATAACAATTCAATGCAAACTGATAGGACAATGTCGCCATTAACTGATAACAAACATGATAGCGAAGATAAAAGTAGTACTGACTCGGGGTATGATTCTGATAGTGAAAATGAAAGTGAAAGGACAGGTGATTCTATTTTGATTTCGGAAAGGGAAACTGAAAAACTTCGAGCTGAGAACAAACAACTGAGAGAAACACTTATCTGTAAAGTTTGTATGGACGACACGGTTAGTGTGATCTTTCTGCCATGCACACACATGGTGACCTGTGCTCAATGTTTTCCCGCCATGAAACATTGTCCAGTATGTAGGTCAGATGTCAAGGCCATCGTCAAAGCTTATTTAGTTTAGGAAATGTTATTGGAACCAGGATTAATTCTATATCTACTCGGGAAACTTAGGATCTGTTTTTTTTATATGCAATTATTGCTCCCACCATTTGACTCATGTAAAAAGTCAATCCATGTTCATATTTAGAAATTTGCGGCATTATTAACGAGTTGAAATGAACACTCTTTTAAATTTTCATTTGTTTGTTTTATGGTTTTTTTTTTTTAATTTTTGGTTTTATTTTGTTTTGACTGTTTTCTTTGGTGAAAAAGAATTAAAAGTTCTGATTCAGAAATCACAATATACTAGATAACTGGAATTATTTTTTCTCTTCAATTTTGAACATATTTCTTTAAGTACAGCGGATCGTATTGTTGTTATTACTTCATATCACTTTTTCCCCTGAAGATTCCCCGATAATCAAATGAAAGAAATCGCTTGAAGAAAGAAAAAAAACCACTGGTGTGTGAAATTTATGAAAACAAATTACAATGTAAGATGAATATACATGTTCCTTTAAAAAAATCAGTCAGGAAAACACAATGACAGCACATCGTCTACACGGAACTTCATAACTATGCAGTATTAAGTAATGAAGTTTACAAGTAACATTAAATCAAATATTTTTTTCTGCTAGCATTAATAACAATGACGTTAATTCCTGAAGGCAATAACAATTAGTATGTATGTATATATATATATATATATATATATATATATATATATATATATATATATATATATATATATATATATATATATATATATATATATAATTATTATTATTATTATTTGTTGCCCGATCTTGAACCAAAAAAAATTTAACGAACATCAGGTCAAATGATTTTGTACGCTAGTATGACCGTGTGTCCTACATCAATTTATATGTGCATCAAAAGATCATTCTAAAAATATACATGTACATACACTGTACTGATATTAAGAAGGTATTTTAAAATGTAATGATAGTGGAAATAATATAAGGATAGTGGAATGTTTCGATTGTTTTAATTTGATTTTTGAAAAAGCTTTAATACTTCAGAAGATTAGAGTACATGTTATCTAGCATTTGTAGAACGGAGTCATATACAAATAACACATGAGCAGGTTCAGATTCTGAAACTTAATACAATTTAATTCTTTGATATGCAATCAAAGCAAAATGTAATTCCTAATAAAAATAGGATTATTTTAGGAAATCGAACACCTACTGAACTTTTTCCTGAAATCATCAAAGATTTCATTGGTGAATATTTTTTTTTCTGCTTATTTCATCAATTTCAGGTCCTTCCGGCTATTTTTCCAAGTAAATTACGCGTATTAGAAAACTGTTATTTTCCAAATTTCAATTTCCGTGTGGGAGTAAGTAAAATATTTAGAACATCACAAATTATTATATATAAATAAATTTAATATTAATACGTTCAACATGAAATATTAATTGAAATGGGTTTGAATTTACCAGTAAATACAAAATTAGAACGTGACTTCTTTCTAAATTTTAAATTTACTCACACCCGATAAATTCGAAATTTAGAGCAACGATGAAAGTGTGAACTTATAAAATAATTCAGGTAATTAAACCCATTTTCTTTACCATCTTTAATATATCGTGAAAACACCAATGAGACACAACATGTAGATAAATACTTATATTCGGATATTGTCAAAACTCATTTCAAAGGGGTGAAAAAAGTCAGTGGCGGATTTAAGGGGGAGGGGCGCCCCCGGCGCGCGCCCCCCTAAAATTGTCAAAGTTAGCGTAAATCATAGTTTTTGTCGAGAAAATGTAAAAATGTCTACTTGGTAGACCTCATTTTTACCCTACAAAATCTCTAAAATCCAGGAGCTTCTGGGGGCTTCGCCCCCTGGGCCCCCACTGGACCCACTGGGGGCCTCAAGGCGACCCCCAGACCCCCTGCCTACTTATTGCCCCCCCCCCCCCAACTTCAATTCCTGAATACGCGCCTGGAAGTTGTTGAAATAACCAGCCGATTTTTGAATACGATAAAAAAAACCCTGAATTATTGAATATGTTCTGTGAAGATAACTCGAAAATATCAATATTTTCTTTGAAAATTAAAATCCGAGAAGTACGTGGGAGGAGACTCAATAGCGTTCTTCCTGCGTTATTAACAGAACACGAGATTTTCAAAAATACCATTTTATCTCAAGACGGATATTAACCAGCAAGTCATTCAAAACTCATAGAATACCCCTTAGGATCATCAATCAGGTTCATTGTAAAAAAAAAGTTGCTCTCAGTTAATCATTGGGGGAAACAAGGGGAATATTTTTGATGACGTCCGCTCTTCGTAAATACAAGATAAATTTATATCTGGATTTCCCCTCAAATTTTTAAAGCTATTTTTAAAGACGACATCGACCGAGAAAATGAATGTGATGGAACGGAATTACGTATACGTATTTAAAGATACATTGGTCAAAACTCAAACAATTAAAAAATATTTATAGTAATTCTTATTCTTATACACTGACATACTAAATATTGAAATATTTTATAAACCAACTTTTATTTTAAAATATCCATTTGTTTCCTTTTTTTCTTAATAACTTATAATATTTTGACTGCAAAGCCTATTTCTTTGATTAGTGTACCTATTTTTTCAAAAGTATTTAAAAAAATAAATAAAAATAAAATATAATGAAAAAGTATATTAACCCCTTTTTATGATGTATGTTTTTATTAATTTTTAATATTCTATAAATATAAAAATAATTACCATTTTTATAATATTTGCTATTAATAATGATATTATAATATAATTATATTAATATAAACAAAATTTTCATGTAAAGCAATATTGACGGTAAATTGACTTGAAATGAGTTGAGAAACCAAATAAGTTTTACCTTAATCATTTAATAAATCAACTTGATTTATGAATAGTATGAAATATCAAGAAATATTCATGCATCAAACTTTTTTCTTTGAAGATTCTCTTTATTGTTGTTTGCATGCCTACATGTACTTACCATTCCCTCCTTCTTGTACTGTAGATGTCCAAGGTCCCTGCCTCATTCTATTCAGCTGTTTTTCCGTATTGTACGCCTTTTTTTTAAATTTAATTTTTTAAGAGGAAATTGGAAGGTTGTATTCAGTGAAAAAGTTTAACAACTCATTTGTTTAATTTGTTCAAATTAGGGTTATTAATTATTTCCAGATCCATTGTTAATCTCTATTTCCACGTTATAGAATCTAGAAATATTGACAATTTTTTTTTTAATCTATAGAAGGGTCCTCTCTCAAAATGGAAATTGAAAATTGGAAAGACCGAAGCATGGAAAGACAGAAGTATATTAGTCAAATTCAATATGTCAAGCACCTTTTAGGTCTATAGCACTTTTCTTGTATCCATGCAGTACATCACAGTGGATGTACGTTTCGTGTATATCTTTATTGTAATGCTATAAGAGGGGTTACTAATTAACTTGTACATTGTATTTATACATATGAGATGCTGCTAATGATGCATTATTATTTTTAAAAAAATGCATCATGTGAAACAAAACAAAAAAGTAATCTTAAAATTTTATTGAACCAGAAAAACACGTTTTTGAGGTGAATGTAATTTTTATTCATAGACGATTTTGGCACAGTGGGTTTAAATGTATACATTGCATTCAGAGTACTAGTATATTGTAGCATACTTTCTTTGTATTGTTAAAACAAGAATTAAAACTCAATACAGAAAAGCCAGACAATTCAATTACTTTTTCAATCATAAATTATTTTATAGAGGAGAGGGGTCCCTTTGAGATTGGTTAAGACTACAAATCTACAAACCAAATCAAACAAAGATGGATATAACTTGGACTAATTAAAAAAAAGTTAGAAAATGCAATAGTAAACTCTGCGTTGATCATCTTTTTTAAAAAAGTTTAAAAAAAAAAAAATAAATCAAAAAGTCATAAGTTATTTGAATTGAATAATTGTAATTATCTCCGCTAAATATATTTTGATATCATATGAAATCAGAAATGAGATTTGGAATATTATATATATATATATTACTGAAAAGCATGAAAAAGATAAAGTTGATCGTTTTTAAAAAACCGAAACTCAAGACTTGGGGATGGGGTAGAAGTTATCTTTTAGCCTAACGACAGTTACTTCCCTTTGTTATCACACAAAGTAGGGGTATTATACATATATATAAAGCTTACATCAGGAAAAATTGAAACATTGGTTCTCTTAAGAGTTTTTGATGTTTGATGATTTTGATGTTTTACAGGTGAAAAAAGGGAGGTGCTTAAAATCTCTGCCTTTAAGGATAATGACGTTTACTCAGGGAATTAGTTGACAGAAATGGATTTATATAAAGGACATCTTAAATTATAAAAAGAAGTTCTAAACACGCAAAATAACCATGTAATAAATGAATATCAACATTTAATAATTTACTATAAGACGACACTACGCATCAACAAATGTAGATTTATGGTAATGCAGACTAAATTTTTTAATTTTCATTTTTAAATATATATATATTTTTTTATAAAGGATGTTATACAAGAGGCCCATGGGCCACAACGCTCACCTGAGTCAATATGGCCCTGCTGTTCTTTGTCAGCAGATTTCTTCTCCTATATTTCTCCTATATATTCATATATAAAGCTTTGATCGCCTGTTCTAGGCATACCCTACCCCAAGGTGCCATGTTTTGAATGAAATTGAATATAAACCTTCTGAGGATGCTTCTATCTTCATATAACTAATCATGATTTTGCTGTTCTTTAAAACAGAATTTTAAATATGTCTAACACCCTACCCTGGTACCCTGGGGGGGGGGGGGGTCATGATTTGAACAAAGTTGAATGTACACTACCTGAGGATGCTCCCATATCAATATGACTGATCATGGCTTTGTTGTTCTTGAGATTGAAGATTTTTAAGGATATTTTCTGTATATGTTCTTTTGTAAAACTTTGATCCCCCATTATGGCCCCACCCTACTACTGGAGGATGCCTTGAACAAGCTTGAATCTACAATATTTGGGGATGATTCCATATCAATATGACTAATTGTGGCTTAGTTGTTCTTGAGAAGATTTTTAAAGAATTTTCCTATATATGTCTATGTATAAATTTGATCCCCCATTGTAGCCCCACCCTACCCCCAGGGGTCATGATTTGAACAATTTGAATCTACACTACTTGAAGATGATTCCATATCAATATGACTAATTGTGGCTTTGTTGTTCTTGAGAAGAAGATTTTTAAAGATTTTCCCTATATATTCCTATGTAAGACATTGATCCCCCATTGTGGCCCCACCCCACCCCCAGGGGTCATGCTTTGAACAAACTTGAATCTACACTACCTGAGGATGATTCCATATCAATATGACTAATTGTGGCTTTGTTGTTCTTGAGAAGAAGATTTTTAAGGATTTTCCCTATATATTCCTATGTAAAACTTTGATCCCCCATTGTGGCCCCACCCTACCCCCGGGGGTCATGATTTGAACAAATTTGAATCTACACTACCTGAGGATGATTCCACATAAATATGACTCATTGCGGCTTTGTTGTTCTTGAGAAGAAGATTTTTAAAGAATTTTCCTATATATTCCTATGTAAAAATTTGATCCCCCATTGTAGCCCCACCCTACCCCCGGGGGTCATGATTTGAACAAATTTGAATCTACACTACCTGAGGATGATTCCACATAAATATGACTCATTGTGGCTTTGTTGTTCTTGAGAAGAAGATTTTTAAAGAATTTTCCTTTATATTCCTATGTAAAAATTTGATCCCCCATTGTAGCCCCACCCTACCCCCAGGGGTCATGATTTGAACAAATTTGAATCTACACTACCTGAGGATGATTCCATAACAATATGACTCATTGCGGCTTTGTTGTTCTTGAGAAGAAGATTTTTAAAGATTTTCCCTATATATTCCTATGTAAAACTTTGATCCCCCATTGTGGCCCCACCCTACCCCCAGGGGTCATGATTTGAACAAATTTGAATCTACACTACCTGAGGATGATTCTATATCAATATGACTAACTGTGGCTTTGTTGTTCTTGAGAAGAAGATTTTTAAAGATTTTCCCTATATATTCCTATGTAAAACTTTGATCCCCCACTGTGGCCCCACCCTACCCCCGGGGGTCATGATTTGAACAAACTTGAATCTACACTATGTAATGAAGGTTTCACCTAAGTATTAACTTTTCTGGCTCAATGGTTCTTGAGAAGAAGATTTTTAAAATATGACACCAAATTTTCACCAATTCTTAATTATCTCCCCTTGGAAGAAGGCGTGGCCCTTCATTTGAACAAACCTGAACCCCCTTCACCCAAGGATGCTTTGTGGCAAGTTTGGTTGAAATTGGCCCAGTGGTTCTGGAGAAGAAGTCGAAAATGTGAAAAGTTTACAGACGGACGGACAGACGGACAGACAGACGGACTACAGACAAAATGTGATCAGAAAAGCTCACTTGAGCTTTCAGCTCAGGTGAGCTAAAAATTTAAGTTTCGTTGCCTTTTCTGGATTGCAAATATTATTTTTGTAAAAACTTATGTATTATCATAAATAATTGGAAGGTATGGAGAAAATCTAAACTATGAACAGATATGAACATTGCATGATCTTGTATAATTTTAACACCAGGGCAATACAAGTTAACTGAGGCTATAAATAGTCTAGAGTTATCATCATTCAATTTTGTTTTTGTAACATTAGAATAAAAATGGGTAGGGTATAGAAACTTGACAGAGGAATTAAATTCGTGCAATAATATTTTAATGATCTAAGACTAGTAACCTTTATATATATTCCATTATTCAAAGAGTCCCATTATACTTGTTCTATTTTGTTGAGAAAGAAAAACTTGGTCATAGTGCAAGCTTTTAAGCATGTTGATGGGATTTTTTTTTCTTAGAAATCACAACCAAGAAAAGTAGGTCATTGACCTATATATACTTATTCGAAAATGAAAAATAGCACCAGTCATATGCGTCTTGTACAAAAGGTTATTAGTGCAATTCTCTCGTCATCTGAGTAAATGCCTTCCTTAAGCAATAAATAAAAGTTTAGATATCTTATTGTTATCTAAACTAATCTTGCCCTAGGAATCGGGGGAGGGGGGAGAGGGGAGGCGATATATAGAATACTATAGAAAACATAGCTACTCTATGCTTGTGCCTCCTCAATAATAACATCTGATGACCCCCCCCCTTTTTTTTGCTTGTCAAGGAATTTTTGGTAGTATCCTCCCCCTTTCAAAAAAAAAAATGAAAATGTTTGGTTGTGTCCCCCAAACTAATTGCTTCCCACAGGCCTGCTAATAACACCATATTAGTACATATCTTAGTATATATATTTAGTATCTCTTTCTTTGGTATTAGTATTGGCTACTCCCTTATACAGTTTGATAAATATATGAGTATATTCAGATGTCTAATTCACGATATTTCTTTTGGGCCTGTATGCATTTTAAACTGTCTCCCAGAACTAAGCCTAAAACATTCATAAGGTCGTCTTTTCCAAGCAAAAGAAAGATTTCCAAACTGTCTATCCCATTCTCCCGACATTTATCCTTTACAAATGCGATGCTAAAGTCTTCCAAGAACTCTTCAAAATGTTGTAGGTAATAGTCTGAAATAGGAAAATAGAAAATAAGCAGATTGAATACAAGAGACAGAAATGCATCTTTTTTAGATTCAGGCATGATTTCCTCACCTTGGTTCTTTTTTGGGGGAGACGCCTGCTGACCCGATGGAATTGCCACCTGTGCACGTGTAGCTTCAGACCCAGAGGACGAGGCCACATTTGATTGGTCTTTTTGAGTATCTGAACTTTGTTTCAAATTACGTTCACTGGGTTTTGGTTTGGCCTTTATAACTACATTTTCCTTAGGCTTTGATTCTTGTATTGAATTTGAAGATTGCGTTGACGCCCTTAGAGATAGTTCTGGAACCTTTCGGATCGTTTTTGGTAAGTTCCATGGATCAAAAGTTACGGTATGTAAAGCCATCTTTCTCCCTGAATCCATGCTATATGTGATGGATGAAAAAGCCACGCCATGCATACCCCCTCTCTTTCGAAGAGGTGGAAAAATGTGATTATCTTCCGCTATTGGAAAGAATGTTATCAAAAGCGAATTTTTCGGAACCTCTGGCCCAACAAACGAATTTCCGGTCACATCAACTCGAAGTCGCTGACGCTCCGCTATGAAGATGTCCTTTGAATCAGAATCTTTAAGTTTTCTTAGACTGGTATGCTCCTCCAAGCGTTTCTTTTCTAGTGATTTCCAGTCTTCTTTTTTGACCAGTTCGCACCAGATTTGGACGTATTCCTCGGAAACTTTCTTCAGAAATGTGATGAGCTTACAATGGTACATAAATCCCAGTGATATGAGGACCTCCATGCTGCTTATGCTATCTACACTTCCGCGCCTAACCCTGGCACCTATATAACTAGAAACAATAATTATAAAATGTTAACTTATAATGAAAAAGATTTATCACACTCCCCTCCACCCTAAAACGTGTTATTTGAACATCTGATAAGGCCAGTAGTCTTAAAAATCTACAGTACTATTACATGTAAGTATAATGCTGTCTAGCTTAAGTAGCAATAACTCCCTCCCCATTCTCCCCTTGAGGACTTACGTGCTAAATTTTGCCACATTTGTAATGATAGTATCCCCTCTTCTTTCTATGGGCTGGTTTTTCAGTTGAGTAACTTTGTCACCATTTATATGGAAATACACATATTCCATATCTAGTGAGTCATTGTCTGTTTCTTCGGCCTCGTCAAGCTTTTCCATTGGTAGATGAACTTCAACTTCCTTGCTGAGTTCTTTTGCCTCTACGTGTATTCCCTTTGTGACAGAGAGAAACTGATATTGTTCTGGGAACATTATTTTTCTTTTTTTCATTTCTTCCACTTTTACTGGAAACACCTGTAAAATAGTATTACATGACTAAGGAAGATCAAAAGTGCTGATGCTGAAAACAAAACCAACCAAAGTTATTGAAATTTTTACAATTTTAATAGCAAACATAAATATTAATGTACCGTGATCTTAAAGTTTTCCGTTTCTTTTACAGCCCCTTCTGGTATATTCAATCGAACACGCCTGTCCGTCCTGTGGATGTATTCACTTCCGGTGGGATTCACAATGAAGTCTCTTTCTTTAGGTGTTCCAAGAATAAAAAATGCCTCCACCTTTTCTGATCGAAACATGACGTACTCACCCTAAATACCAGGAAACAAAGGTAATTATTCCTAAATAATAGCGCATTTTGACACTAGAATGTGACGTCATGGTAAAGTCTGAGATATTTTTACCTGACACTGAGTCTCGGATAGACTCCATTTTCCATCACATAGTACCTTTGCCTGAAGCACTGTGTCAGCTATATGTTTAACAGCTTTGCTTGCAACATAAAAGGTAATTGGTTGTCCAACACCGAGTGTGACGCAGCACCTTTTTCTTTGTCCTTCAATGTCGCTTTCAAACCAGTAAATGTTAGTCTCCATTGTTTGAAAAGTATCTAGCGATGGCATTTTTTCCACACGCTCTTGATATCCCCACGGGCAAGTTATTACACAGTTTATTACAGATTCAGATACACGACCATCAAGCTCTATTCTGATCAGGTTTCTGTAACATTGAAATCTTATGATAAAATACATGTATTTCATTTCATGCAACTACAGGATATATATATATATATATATATATATATATATATATATATATATATATATATATATATATATATAAAGCACTAAAAATGACCAACGACACGAACAATAATAATTGTCAAATTTTCGGGACAACCTGTCCCTTCCTCAGGACAAAGAAAAAAGTTAAGAAGTCATAAAAACAAAGGAAATAGAGAAGCAAAAACAACTAGCACTACTACTAAACCACCAAACACTAAATATTTACAATGTTACATGTTTAATTTGGAGTTTATAAACAGTTGTGAACAAAGAAATCCGGAGCGCTATGAATTGCGTCCGGTCTATCGGGTGTAGTCTGGTGAAGTGTGATTTACATAATTGAACGAATTAATTATCGCTAATTAATTACGGCCAACAGTAAATCGTACATTGTCTTATTCTCTCAAAATAGCGTAACTCTACATGATAAAAAGAAATTAAAGAAAGATTATATGGAAGGACAATTTTGAAATATGAATTTGGATAAATTATAAATTTGGAAATCGGAAAAAAGAAATAAACAAAAATGTGAGCTGTAAATATTTGGGTAGGTTGTTCCAGGATTACTAATACGAATTAACGGTAAAGTTTACACTATATAGAGAGAATGAACTTGTTTGTTACAATCCGGGATTGGGTCTAGTTCACGTTCATCCTGGTGAAGTCATTAAGTTTGTTAATACCATTAGGGCGGAATGACTTCAGTCTGTGCATCCAGAACTTTTCCTTGCCTTTTCTCTGCGCGTCTGTCCATCTTGGATTATGGTCAATAACCACTACTGTCATGTCCTCCCATTTGTGACCTTCAAGGTTGAAATGTTCCCCAACTGGTTCATTGAGATTTTTGGTCCTAATGGTAGAACGGTGATTATTGACCCTCCTGCGGAGATCTCCTGTTTCACCAACATACTGTTTGGAGCAAACTTTGCAACTGATGAGATAAATGCAGTTGTCTGTTTGACAGGACAAATTCCCTAGTATTTTGTAGCTGCGGCCTGTAACGGGGCTGTTAAAACTGTCTGTGTCAGAGCTGTACTTACAGAGAAGACATCTTCTGTCAGAGCAAGTTTTAAAGCCCCCGTTAGGTAATGGATTGTCCAATCTGGTTCTTACTACCATGTCCTTCAGGTTCCTCGGGCGTCTGTATGCAGCCAATGGGGGCTCCTTAAAGACCTCTGCCATTCGTTTATTTGAGTGGAGAATTGGCAGATTCTTTTGAAGGATACCGCTGAGGTTCTTAAGGACGGGATGGTACGTGGTTACCAGAGGGACCCTGCCGCTATTGTCTTTTTCCTTGTAGCGTAATAGGTTTTGCCTGTCATGTCCCGCCATCTCATCAATAGCAGTTTGTACGGTGCGGGCATTGTAGCCTCTCTTGCATAAGTGGGACTTAAGGAGACCGCTTTGTTCTTGATATAAGGCAGGGGATGAACAGATGCGCCGAATTCTGGTGGCTAGACCCTTAGGCACATCCTTAAATGTGTGTGGAGGATGACAGCTAGTTGGCATAAGATACAGATGGGAATCTGTGGGTTTCGTGTGGAGACTGAACTCGATTTCACCTTCAGTCAGGGTAGATGTAGTATCTAGGAATATGTTTTTCGAATTAGATACGTCTACTGTAAATTCGATAGACTGATGAAAGGTGTTGGCAAACGAAATGAATGCCTCGAGGCTCTCGCGACATTCCATCCACTTCATCTCTATATCGTCAATGAAACGCAACCAGCTAAGGGGCCTAAATGGTGCTTGAAGTAGCAAGTTGCGTTCCAGGATATACAGTGTTGTTGGTTTTTAGTGCTTTATATATATATATATATATATATATATATATATATATATATATATATATATATATATATATATATATATATATATATATATAAAATAGAACGTATGTTTAGCATACTTTAACAGTTGTTTTATATGATATGTACGTAGTCTATAGAGGTTTCATGAAAACAATACGGTATATACATGTATGATGTTGCAGGTCAGGGACAGACAAGTAATCCTGCTAGCAGCGGCATCAAAAGACGATTTCTAATCAGTACACTGAGGTATTTCATCGTCAATACTCTGCGGTATTTTTTCTTTAACAGTATTTAACACACTCAAGAGAAAAATTATAAATCTGTAATGTAAAATCTTTTGTTGATGGTAGAGATTTAGTGCTCAGATACAAAATTGCGAACTAAACAGATGGATTCCTAAGGTATATAAGAAAGAAAGAAATCATAAAAGGTAAAATGAGGTAAACCAGAGTGGTATATTATTACGAGTTTGTAATTTATAGTTCTAAAAATGCGTCGTGCATACGAATTTTTAAACTTTTTTGGCTATTACATGTATATAATGATATACATAGTGCTACGTCTTTCTGGTCATGCTGATTATTTGCTATTTCATGCTTATAAGTTCATGCTTATGCTATATAGAGATTCTCAATGCTTTTCTTCTAAAGCTGATTCTGATTTTCGCTACAGAAAATGGTCTTTGTTCTATTTTATAAACACTGCTATCTATAAATGTAGTACAAATAAAAATGGACGTACACTTACCTCTGAAATCATAGGATCTAATATTAAAATAGTGTTTTATTACACAATTGAACAGGGCTATTTACAAGATAAGATATACTCAATCTATGTGTAAATGGTAGGATTGGATTTAACATTAATTTTATCTTCAACAGTCTGTGAAAGGTATATTTTAAAGAAGATGGGCGAACAAGAGGAGCAAAGTGCCTATAGTGCGACAAACATGAAGCTGAAAAATTAAATCTCAATTACATGTATAACAAAATTTTCCTTCATCTAACATTTAAGTACACTTCATATAAAATATCCATAATTTGCAAAGATCTCACAAAGATTGAAATTATTTCACTATGAAATAGCATACACACACACTAAAGAGAGCAAAAAAGATCATTTTCTCATACTTTAAGTTAACACAATTTTTCGATATGAGTGGGTCTTCGCTCCATTTTTTTTTTTTTTGAAAGTTTATCCTCAGAGCTTGCGTAAAAACATACATTTTTTGGAGCAAAGACCCACTATACCTTAAAAATACACTTTTGTGACACAACATTTATTCGCATCTTCACCAGGGCAGGTGATATTAAGTCTCCTCCAAAGAAAAAAAAATGTTTGTATCATCTGTCCTTAAGTCAAGGGTCATATCACAGCCATGATTTAAATACCTCTATTCGATCATCAGGAGCTGTGTAGCGTAGTGGTTTGCGCGTTACTCTCACAGGAAAATTTTATTACTAGGGGTTCGAACCCCACGAATACCACATTATTTTTTAATAACAAAATAATTTTTGCCGAGAAAATTTTCCTGAAAAGAGTTTTATCAAAATTTCATAAATTTCAATAAAGATAACTTAACTCTAAATACTAAAATCACAAAATGAATACGATTTTTTACATATCTGATGCTATAGACATTCTGCACGGCTTGTTCACCCATCTCCTTTACATGAATGACAGTGAATTTTATCTTTTGTGACATGAAAGTACAGATGAACATATACTGTCGTTCTAAACCATAGATTGCATATAAATGCAAAATGTATTATGACTTTGTACAAAGTTAGTAGTATATGGTATATTTGAAAATTGACATGATTTACTTATATATTTACATACCAGAGGCAATACTACATTTTTATTTCAGTAGGACTCACTTCCTTGAACTTTCCAGAGCTATGTCCATCAGTAAGTTAATTTTCTGAGTTACCACGGTTACACTGCTCTTCAGTGTGTCCAGAAATCCGGATTTATCCTGCTCCGTTTTTTTAATTATGTCATCAACAGCAGCCGATACTTTTTTGTTTTCATTTTCGAAGACTGTCGTATTCTAAGATTTGTAAAGACACTATGCACATGAAACAGAAAAGAATTGATACCCCAACTGACAATTACTCCCTGATGACAATTATGTATTTAGTTTTATTGCATCCCCTTGAGACTGTGTTTTATATGAAAATGTTTGTCTCACCGCCCACTGGGACAGGCTTCCCTCCCTGACGCTCTCGTCCGCACACTCCGTCCAAAAGGACACGATCTGTAGACTCTGTGTTACTTGTTCCTCTATGACCTGTTGCCTGTGTTAAAGGTTAATCATATTTATTATTCATTTAATTTACTTGCTCGAGAGCTTTCCTTACAAAAGTTGGATATAGAATTCTTTTTATTTGCTGACCAACTTTTTCTGAGTATAGTATTTTGCTATAGTAGATTTTCCTTTAGATGCTGGTTGCCCCCCCCCCCCCCCCCCCCACACACACACACTTTTTGTTGCTGAATTTAAAGGTCGAGCACTGGCTAATTCCAGAATTTGAACAGTTAAATAGGGTTTTTTTCTGTAGCTCGTCAGATAATTTGAGAAGTTGGAACCCCCCCCCCCCCCCAACTTCTGAAACCGTCGTTGCTACGGGCCTGCCATCATTTTATACGTACAGAGAAAAATCTGAATGTTTAGCACTAGGATAGTTATGAAATGCATCTTTAAGTGTTAATGCAATTTTAACTTGTGACCAACGATGTTTCTAAATGATATTATTTATGCTACAAACCACATATCTGTATTACTATTAAAGCTTTAAATACTGTGAAAGAGATAATTTGCATGCCATCTTTTCACCTGAACTCGTTTAATTGTTTTTGAAATTCCATACTGCCTTTTAGAATCAACCTTAAACAACATCTCTTCTATGAAGCAGAAATTCTCATAGAAATAAAATGTCACCTATATAACGAGTTCAAAACACCAAAATATAGGCTGAAGTGCCGGAACAATTAGAGTAGAGAGGTACATATATGTCATATATAGAAAGACAGACTCGGTGTAACCTAGTGATGTGAAGTAGGTTTGCCATGGAATGAAACGGATAACAAACATAAATCATTTTTGAAGAACATTATAGATAATTTTGTTGGTGTCTGTATGATGAATGCAACAGTGCAGCTACTTATGTACTTATGTACAGTGTACATTGAGCGAAGTATATGTCATCAGGATCGATTCATAAAATTGTAAAAGTTTTGATCATCTGTGTCGAGTGATGTCGATTGAAAAATAAACAAGATGTGTTTGTGAAACACTGATGCCCCCGTATGGCAGCTTATGTTGAAGGTTAAAGTTTCTCAAATGCAAGTCAAAATCCAGGCCAAAAGATAAAAAATGTTGATACCCAAAGAAAGATCTTGTCTCGAGGAAAACACGTGTGAAATTTGAAAGACCTAGATACAACTGTTCAAAAGTGATGGTGAAGGTTAAAGTTTTTTAAATAAAAGTCAAACGTCAAGGTCAAGGTCAAAGTGGTTGGTATCCAAAGGAAGATCTTGTCACAAGGATTACATATGTGAAGTATGAAAGCCCTAGCACCAACCATTCAAAAGTTATGGCCAAGGTTAAAGTTTTTCAAAAGTAGGTCAAACTCCTAGGTCAAGGTCAAAGGGTCAAAGTGGTTAGTATCCAAAGGAAGGTCTTGTCACAAGGATTACATATGTGAAGTATGAAAGCCCTAGCATCAACCATTCAAAAGTTATGGCCAAGGTTAAAGTTTTTCAAAAGTAGGTCAAACTCCTAGGTCAAGGTCAAAAGGTCAAAGTCGTTGGTATTTAAAGGAAGGCCTTGTCACAAGGATTACATATGTGAAGTATGAAAGCCCTAGCTCCAACTGTTCAAAAGTTATGGCCAAGGTTAAAGTTTTTCAAAAGTAGGTCAAACTCCTAGGTCAAGGTCAAAAGGGTCAAAGTGGTTGATATCCAGAGAAAGGTCTTGTCACAAAGAATACACATGTGAAGTTTGAAACCCTAAGCACCAACTGTTCAAAAGTTATGGCCAAGGTTAAAGTTTTTCAAAAGTAGGTCAAAGTCCAAGGTCAAGGTCAAAAGGTCAAAGTTGTTGGTATCCAAAAGAAGGCCTGGTCACAAAGAATACACATGTGAAGTTTGAAACCCCAGGCTCCAACTGTTCAGATGTTATGGCCAAGGTTAAAGTCTCATAAAATTTTGCAAAAGTGGGTCAAACTCCAAGGTCAAGGTCAAAAGGTCAAATATGATGGTACCCAAAGAAAGGTCTTGTCACAAGGAATACACATGTGAAATATGAAAGTCATAGCTCCAACCAATCAAAAGTTATGGGCAAGGTTAAAGTTGACAACAGACAGACAGACAAACAGACAAACGGACAAACAGACAAACAAACAGACAAACAGACAAACAGACAGACAGGACAAAAACAATATACCCCCGGGATCTTTCGATCCGGGGGCATAAAAATTCGATAGCAATGTATCAAGCATGCTGTGGAGTTCTGTAATCTAAATGGCTTTGAATTTTAGCGATTTTATACTGTTTGCGGTATACGTAACCGAGCGTACTCAAAATAAGCAACCTTCATTGCATTGGATACCCATTGTTAATCTATATCTAATCTAATCTCTCTCTCTCTCTCTAGGCTATTGTATTATAACAAATATGAAGAAGTCGAACTTTATTTTTTTATCAACTCAGTTTTGCATTCATCAGTAGATTAAATGATCATCTTCACTAGAATTTATGACATACACTTGTTCTCTTTCCCTATTCCTTCCATCCCCTTCTTGAGCCAAAGTATCCAGGGCACTGTTTATGACAACGAGCGACTCCAGAACCGGGAGGTAGAACTCGGACAGCACACTGGGATCCGATTTGTTCTGGAGTTGGTATTCACGTGTAAGAAGGTCCTGTAATGACAATGAAATGAATATCTGCATTTAATTATGAACATGATACCATAAATTTATAGCTTTTGTTTTTTTATAAAAGAACACACTCAGAATTTTTGATTAAAACATACCAGTTTTGAAATTTATTTTGGAGGATTTGTTATTTGTTATTTGAATGAAATCCATATCCTTTTAAAGAGATAAATACTATACATCATACATATTGTACTCTATATAAAGTCGCGAAAATACGTTGTGGAAATTACAATACAAAATTTAATTTCTTGTCATTTTTTTTCAGAACGTTAAATTTGTCATTTTCTTAGAAAGTTAAATTAAATTTCTTGTCATTTTCTTAGAAAGTTTTTTTTTTTTATTGGCAAGGATACTGCTAGTGTTTTTATGCCCCCGTAATCGAAGATTTAAGAATCAAGACCTTCCCTTTGGCACCATTTGGCCTTGACCTTGATATTTTACTTACTTTTGAAAAACTTTTACCTTCGCCATAACTTTTCATCTGTTGGTGTTATGATTTTCATATTTCACAGGTATATTACTCTAGAAAAGACCTTTCTTTGGGTACTAACATTTTTGATTTTTTGACCTGGAGTTTGACTTGCATTTGAGAAACTTGAATCTTTGACATAAGCTGCCATACGGGGGCATCAATGTTTCACAAACACATTTTGTTTTTAATCTGTTAACAAGCTGTTTATCATTGTTTGGAAATATTTCTATTCCCCTGTAGTGTTTTTAAATTAAGAAAAATGATATTCGATTTTGTTTTGAAAATACACACAGAGACTGAGTTTGTGCATTTTTTTAAAAATAAGATTTTACCCATACTGAAAAAGGACCAGTTCTGATTCTTTGTGATTAGATCTTTGAGTCTTTATCATTTGTTTATCGTTCAGCTATGTACCAACTTGTCTTGGCCCCCATTGATTTTTTAGGCCTTATCATCATTTACAAAACGTGTATTTAGAGGCGTGTATTGCAGAAGTTTTACAAAACATAAGTGACAATTTATTTGAGTTTACTATTACTTACCTCTTGAATATTCATGTTTGCTTTCCTTTGTAAATTGAAAGCACTAAAACTCCAAATCTATAGGGATGCCTCTGTCAAACAGACAGATAATCGAACAATGACGGACAATTATAAAAACAGCTCATTCAACTAGGAAGTTTAAAAGATATTGGAGATATATTGGCTGATCATGACAAACTTGGCTTTTAAATGTGCCAATATATCAATCAATACAATTGTCTGCAACAGCTACATGTAATGACACAGTTTTAAAGATTTAAGGATTATTCATCAAAATTTATCTTTGTTTGGCATTTATGTCTAGTACACATCGCCATGTGGGCTAATGTCAACTTTAGGAAACGATTTTTTTCTGTTGGACATTTTACTTACGCACTGTAGATTCAGCCCAAACTCATGAAATTGAGAAAATGATGTTAAAAGTTCAACAATATCACAACGAATGCATACATGTTATTGTATTTCCTAAATTTCATTTAATTTAGAGGATTAGAAGTGGACCTTTTTTATATCTTGTAGAGCGAACAATAATAAACGTTGGACACGGGAATTTCGCCGTAATAACCAATAATGAATAAAGCCATATCATAACTAAAATCATTTTAGATTATTAAAAAGAGAATTTTTAGAATAATTTATTACCTTGGATAAAATAATTAATTTCATTTTTAATTTCTAATAACTTTAACATCTTGAAAACGCCAGTTTCTTTACGACATCTAAAGAGTCAGATTTTATAGTACCAACACCGTGCGCAACGTATGCGCAACAAGGTCTACCCGAATTTGTAATAATTCTAACAGCAGGGTTCCTGAAATGTCTTTGAGAACCCTTTTTAAATCGTGCATGGGCTTCAGACTGTCAAATTGTTAGTTGTTTTACAATTAGCATCTGCACTGTTCTAAATTGTAAGCGGTTACACATATTGCAAATGCACTACACGTACATCACTAAAATGTAGGCGTATTAAGTAAACTGTGTTCATTTATTTCATTAACATTCTAAACGATAGACTCAAACCTCCTGGTTTTTATTGCTGTAAACATAATTTGTATACGTGTTACATATTCTGCTTACGCATATCTGTATCTTGTTTGATAACAAAGAGATACTAAAAAACTGGTAACCTGATTATTTCCTTTACTCCTTGACATTCTATAATAAACATGTAACTCTTGATCTAATTTGAAATGCTCATAATTATGCCAAGTTGAGGGGTTTTAAGCCTAATGGTTGGGTTAAGGAAGCTCTAAACACTGCACACTAAAGAGTTCTATTAGAAGGGTAGTTTTTTTTTCAGTTGGAGTGACCTTTCCTTAGAAGAAAATTAGAATAAATAGGAATTAAGTTAATGACACAATTTGTATTGTGACATGACCCGGCGAGTTTTCCTTTGAAGTCAGCCGTACAATTACTGCGATACAGAACACATTTAGTGGGCGTTTCTTATGCAAATGAGCAGAAACTGTACTGTATCTGCAAAATATCAACGATATACAGTACGGTTTATTTTTAGCGATGACGGAAAACTGAATCCGTATCTTAAATGATATAGATCTAAGAATCCTTCAAATCACATGTTAGCGCTGTTAGTATTTATTCAAAATTTGGGATGAATTAAGAATAGAATTTTACAACGTAAAGTTACCAGTGGCGGATTCAAAAAAAATTAAAAAGGAGGGAGTGGGGGCAGTACACAAATGGTTTTCTTCGAAAAAAATGTCAAAACTGGAAAGTCGGGGGTTTCGTGGGGGGTAGATTCATAATCAGGCCAGACACTATATGTGCATGATCGTTTCATGTTGATAAATTATAAGTGTATACAAGTTTAGCAAACATAATTTACGAAAGCCAAAAAGAAAAAAAAAAAAACTCGAAAGGGGGGGGGGGGGGATACCGACGCGCGCGAGTGAGTGCTGGATCTGCCTTTGGTTCTTCTACATTTTGTTTCAAACATGAAGGTAATATGCCCCCTTTATTACATCTGTTTATTTCAATTTGGAGCCAAGAATTTTGTATACACATGTATGACGACCGGTCGATGACATTGTCGGACATTTCTCTCAGAATACAACCTCCCGAAACATTTTTGCTTCAAATACATTCCCATATATGATTCTTATGTATCAAAATGTTTTGCACTAAATTCGTAGCTTAGATTTTTAAAAAAGTCAGCAAGAGCTAAATAGAAAAGAAAAAACCTACGCAATCAAATGTAGATTAAATTTTGGGAAAACACATTATATAATGCATCTCATAAAAATAATTATTTAAATTGATAGATACCTGCACGTCCACCTCACTCGGCATTTCAGTTGCGATTGCTAAAAATGGGGTACTAAATCAACTTTCTGCAAAATCATCTGATTGGTTGAGAGATATATACCCAAATACACATGTAAAGAGCAAGAGCCACTTAGGGCCTTTTTTGGCCCTGAGAATTTCTGAAAAATCGAAACTGCTCAGTTTTGGTTGAAAATGCAATATTTATAACTTGGACCCTTGATGACCGTGTATCTATTGAACATGACGTAATTTTCTCTCTAGTCAATGCATTATGACGTCATAAAATGCGTCATTTTTCCCAAATCCTGTAAATTCCCCTTCAAATGGCCAAAAGTTGAGATATTTTTTCAATATTACATATAGAGCACACCCTCTGATCCAAAATATGCAATTACATAATGAAAGATCTGTTTCTGAAGATCACAAAACATGTTTTAATTTTTGGATCGTGGGCTGTGCTCATATTTTAATTCTTTGCTGAAGGTAGTCAAATACGCACGTTTTCTGCAAAATTCAAGAACATTGCATTTTCTCAAAGCCTGTTTTCCAATATCTGGATACTCAAAAAGAAATTTTGTTATAGAAAATGAAAGCACTAAGTCTCTACTTTATTTTAATATATGAAATGGGATAGAGGGTGATAGTCAATTAATTGATATACGGACAGGGCCATTTTATGCATAAAGTGAACCTAACTCTTAGCGAGGTCATAAGAAAGGTCATGTCACAAGTCATTTAGAATACTCGTTCCCTACTGTATCGGAGATACAGGGCGGGGCCCGGCTCGAGCTATGATCGCTCTCGCCTTAAGCCCCGCCCTGTATCTCCGATACAGTAGGAAACTCGTACTCTAAATATAACTTGAATTAAATATTCTTAATGTTATATTAGAGCAAGATTAAGTAATTGAATACATTAATTCTAGTTAATTTTCCAATGTACGCAAACAACAGTGATTTCTGTTCACAAAATTTCAATATCTTTCAGCCTTTTTCCTGGAGAAATAAGGCAGATACCCTATGATGAAAATGAGTTAGATACACTTAATATTTTCCCCTTTACTTGATATTTTTCTCAGAGTCCAAAAATTATTTTTCATTAGTATTTAGAGCTTCCTTAATATGTAAAAATATATTTTAGAAAGGTAGTTACTGTAAATGACCCAAGATGAATTAAATAAAATCAAAAAGGATACATCGAAGATATTTATTAGGGCCATAGTTTTGTAACGGGTCAACATGAGGAAGAAAGAAAAAGAAAAACAGGTGGATTATGTCCCTGAACATTTGTCGGAATACACTCGTTACTAAGGCGACAATCAACACCAATGTCCATGTTTTTTTTCACATATACTTGTCGAACATTATGGCCGATAATCACCATTTTGAATAAAGTAAATATACTGTATTTAAGGAATTATTCACAGAATACAGACAGGTTTATCATGTTTCTCATACGTTTCCGACATGTGACACGCGCCTGTCTCCATGCAGAACATTGTTAAGCCTCTTTCTAAAGCTATACAGAATCAATTCTCATCAAAGAGAAAGAATTAAGAAGGGTCAACTGCATATCTACATGAGAGGACAAAACAAATTCCCCCGCCCAAACCCCAATGCATTTTCTTCATTTTCGAATGGACGAGTAGTTCGATTGAAAAAAAAAATACATATCGATTAATCCTGTACAAACCTCAAAGACCGACGTCAAGTTTTTCTAAACCTTTTCAGAAGAGTTTCTTCTTAAAATATAGATGACAAAGGGATCAAAAAGAAAGTGTGAAGGAACAGTTGACTGTGATATTAAAAGTATGTACTATATAATACGCATGTACTAAGCTTTATAAAACGCGGGTTTAATAGAGGTGACAAAAGATACTGTAGTTTTACTGAAATTCATGAATCTTGTTCGTACACTGACCCTGATGCCCATATAATTGAACTTTTGAAGGAATCAATTGGTATGTGCTTGAAATATCTTATATAGATTGATATTCACATCTTCAAAGGTGCGTGTAATATCGTCGGTTTTCCTGATTTTATTGAGCCATGATTCATTTGTTGCTAACTTCATATAGATTTTATGATTGGAAAAACAGGTTTGTTAGCATTAAATATTGTTAAAATAATTTTATTTTCTTCAGCTGAATAACAATCCAGTCAAGTAATATTAAATCTTAAATATTTATTTTATGATTTTAATCTAGAAAATGCTATTCATAAAGGTTTCACGGGTCGACTTCAAAAGGGAAAAAAATCTACTGTTAGATTCTCATAGTTGCTTAGTCGTGATTTATATCACTATGGATGTTGTTTATAGGAATGATTATCAATAATGTGCATTTTCTTCTTTCAGACACCTGTTTCTTTTAATATAATCATGTAAATATTTTTACTGATATATCTTCTTGTGATATGAGTTAGAAAAGCGCAGCTATAAAAGTGAATATCTTTACTATAGCAGGGGTTAAAACGGTCGATCTTCTACGAATAATGTTGCTATTCATAGTTTTAGGAATTTTTTTTTACAAAAAAAGTGTATTATCTACTTTCAGACACCATTGTCTTTTCATATACATACAGATATTATTGGTCAAATATTTTTACAAATGATATCTATTAGAATAGCGCAGTTATAAAAGTCGAAGGAGTATTGGATTTTTGTCATTTGACAAAACAGGTTACAGGTAAAACACTGTCATTCACTGAAATGATGAAGTAAGATACGTTAATGTTAGACATGGTGCCTTGCTGGCTTTTCTTGTTTCTTCTATTTAATTCTAGTGCAAGAGAAATAGATGGCGATAATGGCCAGGAGAAAATTACAGAATCCTGGAGCTGTAAAGAGGAAATGTCTCAGATGGCTCCAATTTGTTACTGCGATTCTGACTGTGTTTTCTATAGAGACTGCTGTGGTGACGTAACAGACTCTTCTTACAGCGCTCTCAGCTTAAACCCAAAACGGGAATGTCAACGTATTGCTCCCAAAAATTTCCCCTCATTCTGGACTGTAACATCCTGTCCGGGAAGAGAAGCTTTCAAAAGAGACGCCATATCTCTACCTGTTGTTAGTGAGGACGGAACCGTGTTTGCTGACGACAATATTGCGCAATGTAATAATGTTTCGTCTTTCTTGCCCATGGATATCTATGTCATTCTTCGCTATGATCTTTGTGATGTTGATTTGACATTTTCGTCTCTTAAGAAACCATTAATGAATCTCGTCATGTCTATCGTAAAATCAAATTGCAGATTCATATTTTCTCCTAAAAGTGACAGTCGCGCATTCCCAAGACTTTGTGTGGATTTGCGACAAGAAGAGATGGCAAAAGACTTCAGTAGCAAATGTAACAATTACATGAGGCCAGAAAAGATATCCTCCGTGATTTATAGAAATGCACACTGTTTCGAGGACATGCATGGTTATCCGATGCCAGAAAATGCTACAGATATGGGTATTATTTATAAAAAGCTTGTTGAAATCGGAACATCTCTTTACATAGGATTCATGGATAGTTCCAGTAATCACTCGTACCAAGATAAGGTAAGTGAAAATATGTGCAAGAGTGAATAACTGAGTCTTACTGAGTACATTTAAAGAATTAATTATGTGATACATTTTTCTTCTTCTTTTTTTTACAGTCGATTTGCCCATACAAATTTAGAGATCACTGTCATACACGGTTAATAAGAAACTGGAATCAACCTTTAGAAATGGAGGTCGATTCATTATTTCCCATTGATGAATATCACATAAAATACAGCAGTATCTACTTTGTCTACAACCTTCTTCAGAATAATGTTAATTTAACATTGGCAGAGAGGGTTAATATTGACAGGATTAGATGGAAAAGTTCCAGATGCCAGACTATGGTCATCACCATGTCTGTAAAGAGCACCGGAGACCTGAGCGAAGAAGATTACAACAGAGTGATTACTTTTATCAACTTGTTCAAGTTGTCTTCATTTAGTAGCTTAATAAGGATGGGAGCCAATGAATCTTCCAGTAAAATAACCACCTCATTGTGTACAAATCCCTCGAAAAGGAGGGAAATACTGCAAAGAACTAGGGTACATTCATTTACGATAGTGTATATTTTACGCATAATGAAATTCCTCGGTAATGCTGATGAGATAAATACTTACTGTCAGAATTTACTTGTTGAGAGCAAAGAAAGATTGAACAGAAAGTACGTAGATGTATATTTGACGAAGTGGAGCTGCTTGAGAAACCCCAGCACTGACACGACTTCCGCCGGAAATTACGACCCTCAGTCTGTGTATATCACAATAACCGTGCTAGCCGTCAGTGGAATAGTGATCTTTGTCCTTTATTTCACATCACTTAAGGACGCCAATGTGCTAGATAGATGACATCTTCAAATTTCTTCTTTCTGGGTCCCATTTACCTCTCCTCCAAATGTTCTTTACTGAAGATTCATATTATTTTTTGGAAATCAAAATCCGCAACATTGGCCAAAAATACAAATTTGTTGATATGTAAATTCACGGCTTGTTCTTAAAAAAACCACAGTATCTTCTTTCTCTCTCTCTCTTTTGTCACTTAAATGTTTTTATTGATGTTTATTGATTTTTTATATTTTTATATCCATTGACATTCGTTTAGATTTCGTACAAAGTTAATAATGAAAATATTCTTTTATTATTCACTGCATTTCAAATTCTCTATTGTGTAAGTATTCTATTGACTGACGAAAAAAGAAAAAAAAAGTTTACTGACTTTACTGTATAAATTTCCTTAAGGTGTTCAAACTTTCCTTTTTTCTGATCAGAAGCATTTGTAAATAAGGAAAATCGAACCAGTTAATTAAATGTTCATGTAACTATCTTTTAAGTCCATGAATCTTATGACTTTTCATGAAATTATTACTATTGCTCATAATCTACAGCTCTTTATAAAACGTCTTATTCAAGTTAGAATTGACATCGATCAGCCAAGATTACCCCCCCCCCCCCCCTTTACAACAATATAATTTCCTGAAACAGTACTAATGAAAGTCAAGAAAAATGGATCTGCACCTTGTCCCCGCGTTTCTGTCATTTTGGTTGCGTCATTTCATTATTGATGAATTTAAAAAAGATGGACAGATGAAAAAAACAATTATAAAAGGATTACTATTATTTTGTTAAGTTTTGTGTTTTAATTACATAATTTAAATAAAACTAATTCTCATTTATTTCCTTAAAGTGTTGTTTGTGTTTGCGCTGTCACACCTCTCCCAGCAATATCCCAGTCTGCATTTAGAACACTACCCGGTAACCTTTTGTACGGGATTGTTTTAGATTGAGTTCGTCATAAGTAAATGTGATTTAGTACAATTTTCTTTTCTGCTTGAACTTTCAGTAAGGCGTGACATTCTCGGCTATACTTAATAAGCGTCTCTCAAATAGTGACCTAGATTCTCATTGGTTGGCAGATTAGCTCATCAATACCGAAATTTACACAGCTTTTCATTCACAGGTGAAATACACATGGGATAAAAATGGGTCAGACGTGAACGAGTGACGCAAGGAACCAATTACATCGTCTCTTACAGTAAAGAGGTGTGCCTTGTGTCATTTCATCGTTTGTTAACAACAATCTTAAGTTGCTAATGTTACTAATTTCTTAACAAATGAGAATCTAGATCGCCATTTGAGAGACGCTAATTATGTATCGTCGAGAATGTCACGCCTTACTGAAAGTTCAAGCAGAAAAGAGAATTGTACTAGATGAAGCTATTCAAATCGAGCTTTATATTTGTCACATGGGCCATAGAACGTAAAGAATCCCAACATGCATTGTCTGAGTGCAAAGCAAATATGTAAATGTTGGCACTTTCTTGCCAGGCCCGTAGAACGCGGGGGGGGGGGGGCATTTTTTCCGAGTATAGCATTTTGCTATAGTAAATTTTCATTTAGATGCAGTTTGGCTCCCAACATTTTGATGTAAGGTCGAGTACTGGCAAACTGCAGGATTTAGACAGTAAATTACCTTTTTTTTTATACCTTTTTTTTTAAATCTGCTTGTCAGATAATTTTGGGAAGTCCCCCCCCCCCCTTTCGGTCAGTTTAGTTTTTTTTTATGGCTCTTCAGGTTTTTTTTTTGGGGGGGGAAGTTGCCCCCCCTTTTTTTTTTGAAACCGTTGACCGTTTTTATAGGCCTGCGTGCTGAAATAATATGTACGGGCAATTCTTATACAAATAAAGAATGACAGGCTATATATTTTAGTTTGTATATTGTTTCACAACATACATTCGTTACAGGCAAAGACAATAAGGATATTGTTTTGTGTAATTGTAATCAAACATTAATATTAATATTCGAATATAGACATTAATATTTTGATTAGTTCAAAAATGCTGTTTGAAACAATGTCAAGTTTGTTTGATCAAGAGTATGAAGTCATCCTTTTATATGGTTCTTTTAGCATGGCATAGCAGGCACATTGAGCATCTTTTAATGCTTTGACATGAAAGTGTGTATTTAAGTATTTGAAAAATAATAGAACAGGTATATCTTGTTTTGTCATCATTGTAAACTACATTTACTTCTGTTTTTGTGATTGACCTCATCCATTCAGTTGCTCTGCTCGGTCTGAGGTAAGTGACAGGATGTGTTTGGGGAACATTAGCAAAATGTCACGATAAAAACTATAAAAGTAATTTGATAGAAAAAAAAATGTTACTCTTATGTCTACATTTTTGAAGGTTAGTGTATGATCTTAATCTTTCATCTGACCAATAGCTCCGAATCATTCCTCTTGCAAATACTTAAACTGCGTTGAACTGCGTTCCACTGCGTTGAATCTTTCTCAGTTTTTATGATATATAGATAAACATGAATGCTGTAAGAAGTGATACTTTTACAACATTATATTAGAGGAGGACTTGTCTTATGTATTGGTTGAATACTTACTGTTATCTCTGGTCTAGATAAAGGTAACTCAGTCACGACGGCCTTCAGGAATAATCTAAGAATGGCGGGACTCGTGTTTCTAACTATTCTCTCAATCGTTTGTAAGTACTGTTAAAATAAATAATTTAGATGAAAAAGAATTCAAACATTCCTACAATTTAAATCTTACCACAGTAAGAAAAGGAACAACGTTTCTTTGGTTCCCTTTTCGTCCAAAGAATTTTCAAAATTATCAAAATTCTGTTTGGACACTTATAATGCTAAACCAAATATTTCTTATAAGATTTAAAAAAAAATGTAAGCGAGTCATTGTAAGTGTAGCCGTGATTTAAGTGTGAATTCATATATATAAATATATTGACTGCTTTGAGTGTGATTTCACAGATTCTTCACTATCTTTCAGCACCTACAGGGAATCCAAAATTGAATTTCAACAGACATTGGTCATTACACACCTTACACTTAGTAAATCCTAGTATTTTTGAGAAAATTTATTATCCTGCTTATAAAAGAGCCGTTCTCACTCTATCTTCAATAGATACAGGCATATATAAATCTGTATTGATTTTTAAAAGATCTGTTTTAATACGCTGTACGATTTAAACAGAACTTGCAGATATTAACTACATTCTAACACTGTCTAATTTCTTGCCGCTTTATTGTCATCGCTTGTGTGTTATGATTAATCCTGATCAAGATAACCACACCAACGAAATAGGAATTTGCGAATGATAAATAGTATCGATTGATAAAATTTACTAACTGCATGAAATAGTTTCTGACGTAGCTAGGACTGAATTATACTAAATCATAGTACAGTTTTTCTTGGAGTTTTACGACATTCTCCTTACAAAAAGTATTATACAGCATAACTAGTTTTGTCACTTAGTAAATGAATGACCTTGTGTCCAGTCAAACGGTGTTTTTTTTATGCCCCTGTATCGAAGATTCGGGGGTATATAGTTTTTGCCCTGTCCGTCTGTCTGTCTGTTTGTCTGTTTGTCAGCAAAAACTTTAACATTGCCCATAACATTTGATTGGTTGGGGCTATGGCTTTCATATTTCACATGTGTATTCCTTGTGACAAGACCTTTCTTTGGGTACCACCATATTTGACCTTTTGACCTTGACCTTGGAGTTTGACCCAGTTTTGCAAAATTTTATCCAACTTGAAGCTTGGCCATAACTTTGGAATAATCAGTTCTAAGGCTTTCATACTTCACATGTGTAATCCTTGTGATAAGTCCTTCCTTTGGACCAACAACTTTGACCCTTTGACCTTGACCTTGGAGTTTGACCTACTTTTGAAAAACTTTAACCTTGGTCATAACTTTTGAACCGTTAGTGCTAGGCCTCTCATACTTCACATATGTAATCCTTGTAACAAGGCCTTCCTTTGGATACCAACAACTTTGACCCTTTGACCTTGACCTTGGAGTTTGACCTACTTTTGAAAAACTTTAACCTTGGCCATAACTCTTGAACGTTGGTGCTAGGCCTTTCATACTTCACATATGTAATCCTTGTGACAAGGCCTTCCTTTGGATACCAACAACTTTCACCCTTTGACTTTGACCTTGGAGTTTGACCTACTGTTGAAAAACTTTAACCTTGGCCATAACTTTTGAACAGTTGATGCTAAGCCTTTTATACTTCACATATGTAATCCTTGTGACAAGACCTTCCTTTGGATACCAACAACTGTAATCCATTGACCTTGACCTTGGAGTTTGACCTACTTTTGAAAAACTTAAACCTTGGTCATAACTTTTGAACGATTGGTGCTTAAGTTTTCATATTTCACCTGTATATTTCTTGTGAGAAGGCCTTTCCTAAGGCATCATTAATTTTGACCATTTGACCTTGACCTTCATTTTTGACTTACTTTTGAAAAACTTAAACCTTTTCTTTATCTATTCAATTGTTGCTGCTAGGGCTTTCATATTTCACAGGTATATTCCTCGAGACAAGACCTTACTTTGGGTACCAACATATTTGATTTGCATTTGAGAAAGTTTAACCTTTGTTATAAGTTGCCATACGAAGACATCAGTGTTTCATAAACACATCTTGTTTCTACTGGAAAGCGAACGGGCTTGTAGTTTTGCTTGGGCGAGATGAGAAAAGTATAAAAACAATATTCAAGTAGAATTCAAAATAAATTCAGTCCTTATTCCCTATTCTGAGTAACATTATGATAATAAATAATTATTATTTATTATGGTCAATGTTTTAAAATGCCAATATTTTTTGAAAATCATTTTACCTTTATTGTTTTGTCACATGAAAAATTATACAAGAACTAATAAGTTCAACAAGAAAACATTGATTTTTTAGTTACTGGAACATCAAATGAGCTTTTCACATGTTTAATACAATTATCTGTATTTCTTTTACAAGGACAGTTGATAAATAGAAAGTATATATAAGATCTCTGTCATTGTTTGTAATGTACAGATGTTGTGTTATTGTTTGTAATGTACAGATGTTGTGTTATTGTTTGTAATGTACAGATGTTGTGTTATTGTTTGTAGTGTACAGATGCTGTGTCATTGTTTGTAATGTACAGATGTTGTGTTATTGTTTGTAATGTACAGATGTTGTGTTATTGTTTGTAATGTACAGATGTTGCGTTATTGTTTGTAGTGTACAGATGTTGTGTTATTGTTTGTAATGTACAGATGTTGTGTTATTGTTTGTAATGTACAGATGCTGTGTCATTGTTTGTAATGTACAGATGCTGCAGATCAAGTTAAGAAATGTCATGACGTAAATGAGATTGCGTGCCAGAAAATGTTTGCCAAGCGGAGGGATATGTGTGACGACCCCTGTATCGCCAACATCTGCAAGGACACCTGTCGATATTGTCGTAAGTTTCTGTGGACATTTTTCAGGAAACTACGATTTTTGTATATCAGTGAATAAAATTTTACTAATGATCAAACTTAAATGGGATTACCTTAGCATAGGCATATTACTTTTTTAAGTATAGAAGACAACTTCTTTGAGTTTGCATTTTTTGAGCTTTTTCTGTAATGAAATGCACTTTCGAAATACTAACCAAGAAGTAATAAAATCAAATTCATAATTAAATCGTAGTCATTTCAAAGCTACACATTTTTTTTTTCAAAATGTTTTCCAATAAATTGTAATTCAATCAAAATTGATGGACCTTTTTGAAATCCATTATGACTTTCAAAGTTTTTCCAACAGTTCAAAAGTACTATTTGGAAAAGATTAACATATAATTAATGAATGTTTTCGCAACAGTGAAATATTGTTAACCATGAAAATAAACGATAAACAGGAAAATTTAAATCAAACATCTAGCTTCATGATTTTTTTGAATTTGATTGATACCTCAAATCAAGAATGTTGAAGGATTTACTTTCTATCTCAGCTTCTTAGTGATTAAGAAACTATTAGAAATTGATACAAGAGATCAAACTCTAATGCTGAGGTCAAGAGACTTCTTGATAAATATCACAAAAATGACAAAACTTTTAATTGCTACTTACACTTCAATGTAAGAAATGTTTAGTTATTTTGGAGGGGTTGAATCAGGCTAATCAATTTCATTTGATGCCGCAAAGAGTAAGTGCATGGTCATTTAGCCTTATACTAAATAAAAGTGGTTATTTTTTCCACTTAGATAAACGATTACAATCGATCTTTCATAAATAATAGAAAAAAGTTTTACAATAATTTCAAGTATTTGTTGGCTTTGTAAAATAAATTTGTTTTATAACAATTTGTTGTGTAAATTTAACCAATTTTATTTTTGTACATCTACAGCGGTACTTCTAATGTACAAAAACTAAAATAATTTGAAATCAGACTTAAATTAATATTTCCTTTAATCAGTTGCATGCTACAGCTGTATGATCAATTATATCTTTATTCTAGCGGTTACATGTTATCACTGCAACGAAGAAAGTACACCGGAAGGCTGTACCAAAGTCCAACAATGCTTGACGACAAACCAGGTTAGAATAAAGTGAAACATGAACTCTGAAATAGATTTATTTTGCTTTTTGTCAACTTCTTATAATTTCTTTTGATTTCGCACAGCTTTGCATAGCAGCAGAGAGATATACAACAGATTTTCATTCAACTTACACTTCCGGTTGCGCAGAAAAAGAGGTACGTCATACTTAACATTTACCTTGCAAATGCTTGTTTTGCCATATGTTCAAATCAGAATAAAAGTCATATAAATTGTATGTCCATCTTGTTCAGCTCTGCCACAGTCTTTTCGGTTTTGATTCCACCAAACGTGAAGTGGAAGCAACGCTCAACGAAAGATCGTATCATTTACATGGCGGATGTTGTGACTCGAATCTTTGTAACATGCATGATCCTTCTAATGTGACATCAACCATAGACCCATCAAGTCGTCCACCGAAACCAACAGGTAAATACACTCAGACATTAGATATGATATATGATCTAACTTTCTAAAAAATTCTGTGACGTAACTAGTGTTTCTGCTCCTTAAAATAAAATGAGGCTATGCTGTTTGCATTTTGAGCACTGGTTGTGCTGTTTTTAAATCCGATTATTACTGCGCAAATTGATGATTTTTCCCTGCTTGCCTCGATTAAGTTGAGATGAGCTTATACTATACACCTAGCTGTTGTCGGCGTCATAATGGATTTCAAAGCTGAAGGAGCATGTCTATTCTAAAGAAACTGTAAGTCCAATCCTGACCAAATTTGCATAGTCGTGGCATCTAGGAATACACTTTTTTTTAATACCAGACCTAATTCGGATCTTGCATCTAATCTAAATTTTCTGGATGATAGAACAGGTTGAAGTTTTCAGTGCATGTTCATTCCCAGTTATGACCTACCCTGACAATACCCATCATGGATCAAATTTGTATAAATGATGGATTTGAGATTGCACACTACCAGACCTGTTAAGTGTTTCATATCCTGCATCTGGCCTTATTTCTTCGGCATGACTTTCACAAGTTAAAGACTTAGATTTATTCCTTAGTATAAGCCCTGTCTTGACCTAAGCTTTTATATTGTATGAATGATACTTGTACACTACTAGAACTGCTTCCAACGCTACATCTGACCTATGTTTGAATAGATGAAAATTTTAAAACCAGATTTAAAGTATAACTTTAAGACCTAATTAGGCCAAACAAGCATTTACGAGTGGAATGTGTGTCGACCGTGTAAGCCTTTAAATATTTTAGCTGAGCTGAACCAGTTATATTTTTTCTTTACCCTGCGCATCAAGCAATCTGTTGGCAATATTATATTAACCAATGAGCCCTTTAAACAGATTGTGAAAATCATGGCCACTGGATTCATGAATCAGGCTCTAGGGGTGGAGTTAAGTTGACCATTTATTGAAAATGCGTTTATCCTGCCTCTGAAAAAAATATTGAAATTTCAATGGTTGAGAAGAATATTGTATAAAACCAAATCATGCTGTCCACTTACATGAAATTGGTAATATGCCCCCTCCAAGTGACTTACTGACCACATATCAAATCAATATATACCCCCTGCAGTGCCCTACTGTCCAAATATGAAATTCTAAATGTTGTTTTTACTTGAACTCGCAAGGAGCCTAATAACTGCCGTCACATAAGCATCAAACGATATCAAATGTAAACAATTGTTACGTAACGGTTTGCTTGACTCCGACAACCGACAAAATGAATTGGAAAATCCTCTTCAAAATAAATTCGTTATGTAGACACTTACGCTTTACCCATTTTTTCAAGGACCCTATATATATTTTCGTAGTACCCCTCTAAGTGTCTAAAACCTAATAATATGTATATCTTATGAAATTCTTTTCTTACTCAATGACATCTAGCAGGCAAATTGTTTGCATGATTATCCTTTCACCAAAACTGCAAAATTTATGGCCTATTAGTCCATGTTTTAGACCATAGAGTGGGACTTTGTCGGTCGTATCATAAAATTTTCTTAATTTTTGAAAAATTTCTTTTATTCTCTGGCACCTAACAAGCAAAATGTTTCAATGATTATAATTATCACAAAGCCCTTTATCAACGTTGTATAATTTAGGCCCACAAGGCCCATGGTTTAAGCCTCCGGTGGGGCTAAGTTTGTCATTTATTGAAAATATGGTATTATTCGGTTTAAAATCCTCCTTTTAAAGGAAAACCTATATATTTTTTTTACCCATAGGCTTCTGGCAGACAAACTGTTTGCATAATAATAATAATAATAATAAAGACTTAGCCCTTTATCAAAACTGTAAAAATTTATGGCTCCCTTGTCCACCAGGGTCAGGCCCATGCAGGTCGAAGTTAAATTGTAAACTCATTACTTTCTGTAAAATCTTCATTTCTAGCGGACAAATTATTTGCATGAGTATAATAAGCAGTTTAAGCACTCTGCAAAAATTCATGCTCTCGGATCCAGTAATCGAACCCCAGGGTTGGGCTACGTTTCCCTTATAAGGAAGGAAATGAAAAATGCGATCTAAGTACCTTCTTAAAATGTATTATTTTTAAAAATCTTTATAACAAAGTAACTGTTTACATGTAGGAAAGGTAATATAGATATCCATAATGGATAGGTTTGGGTCCGCACACAGTACCATTTATATCGCATGTATCAGCTGTGTGTCACGTGACTGGTATAAAAATAGAATTGATAAGCTGAATGTAGAAAATGACACTAGTGCAAGGGCATACGCATGTTTTTGGAGAGAAAAATTGTTACACATTAAAAAAGATTTACATCGGCTACCCGAAAAGTGCTGGGAGCTAGTTTGAACTGCTTCGGAAATGCTCGTAATTTTGCTGAAAATGCGTACAATAGCTAAAAATTCCAACTTTGCTTTAATTCTGTCATGAATAAATATAATGCTACACCGACCATAATCAGCTCCCAGCACTTTTTAAAATATACATGATATATGCAATTGATATTCCGTATTTCAGCACAAACAGTGTAGTCTATGCCCTTGCACTTTTGAGGTTAATTAGGAATATAATTATCGTGTTAGCAATATTCTTGACATTCTCTGTCGTTGTGCGGCTCCATAGCACCTAGATAAAATAATAATCTACATATGTGTTTCAAATAAATTATTGACTTTCAATTTTATTGATTAGATTTAAACATTTGCGATGGTTTTATATTTATTTAAGCATTTTTGTAATTATTAAACCAATGGATCCACTCCTCTGGATCACTTGTACTGCGTCAAATCAAGGTTAGTGACGTCATTTCTGACAAAAGATTTGCTATCAAATGTTCTGATTTTACATTCTTTTATAAATAATTGATAAAATAAATGAATGCAAGTTTTCATTTATGCATTATCATGTAGTTAAATAGATTTTTGTTGCTTGTGAAATTTTTAATGACGTCACAATGAAACTTCCCATACAGTGCATCACAAATGTGAACTCAGGCCTTCCTTAACGTAGCTGAGAGGACATAAGCGAGATGAATATTATAATTATAATAAAGTTTTCACCAAATGAAAAATTTTGTTATTAAATCAGAGTTCCAGATCCAGGTGGGGCGAAAGTGACATTGTTATTTGACACTCATGATAGTCAGGTGACCATCAAGGCCCATGGGCCTCTTGTTATTAGTAATCGCTGTACTCACTCAAACAAGGTAGATAAAATACAACAGGATTTTCTTGTCGCATTCTTTGTCATATTACAATTGTTCTCTCAAAGCTCTTCAGAATTGTTGTTGTTTTTTTCTTTGTTTTGTTTGTTTGTTTTTTTTTTTAATTTGAAAATGCTTTAATTTTATTGCCATAAGGAAGTCGTTATGTATGGTATCAAAGCACGTGGAAGCAAACGAAAATTTGTGTTTGACAATTTTTTTTTAAATTTTACTGCATACTCCAGCCTTTTCAATTTCTATTAATTTCTGTTACGATTTTTTTCTCAGATCCATGGAACTGTTGAAGTTAAGCACTATTGAATAATCATTAGTTGGCACCACCGTCCTTCGCATATCATTGTTCACGGATAGTAGTTTATTTACATTTTGAAAAAGGGTTATTTTTTTACGCAGCTTTAAATATATTCATTACTGCTATAGGAACTAATCCCTTACTTGGCAATACAACACACCAAGAGATAAAGGTCTGTGAAGAGAATGATCTGGATACAGAGGCCTGTCGTCTGCTCAACTCTACAGATCCCACCATCTGTCAGAACAACTGTATTGCCGCCACGCTATGTCCATCTTTCTGTGGAACTTGTCGTAAGCTCAAATTTATATCTTACAAGTCTTAATGAACTATTTTTAATTTACCTTGACCAAAAAGTCATAGAAATAACGAACTGTAAAAACTTTACTTACAGTTCATTGTAGAGATTGTAAATCGGTTCCTGATCCCGGTTCCTGCAACAATACTACATTATGTAAGAAAAATCAGGTATGGTGTAGTTACCGTTTTTAGTTTGCATATAATCATATTTGCATAACAGATTCTATGCTTAATTTTATGTATTCCACAGGAAAAAATCACAGGGAAAACATATACTTTTTTTTTTACTTTGATTTTTTCTATTTTTTTTTTTTTTTTTAAATTTTCTGATTTTCTTTTTTCCTAACGATGACACGGTTTTATAAGTAACCTACAAGGACGAGGTCAAATCTTTTTAGAATCTGTTATCTTCTTGGATTGGGTTTATTGACCAAAAATTACTATACAATTATTGCTGGTTTTTGAGGTCAATACGATGATTTAGACACCAGAGGAGTACAATATTCACCGAACCCGAAGGGCGAGGTGAATATTGTACTTCGAAGTTGGCTAAATCATCGTATTGACCGAAAAAAACAGCAATAATTGTTTTATTATATGATTCAATGATTAAACGAGACACACTCATTAAGCAATCCATGCGATTTACTTGTTCACATCTACTGAAGTACTAGCCGAATATAAAGAGAGAAACGGGGTTATAAAAACAACCAGTTGTATTATTTTGGAATTTTTAATTCTAGTTTAGGTTCAGTGTAAATAAATGTCAGACATATGTATAGGATAGATTCTGAAAAGGGGACATTAAAAGGGAAAATAAGACAACTGACCTGAAAAACTGACTAGCACCTCCCCCCCCCCCCCCCAAAGGAAAAGAATTCTCCCAACTCAGAATTTTATTTAGTGGGATATAAAGGTCCATAAACGAGGGGAGGGGGGCTTTCATTGAAATTTTTTATCCTTAAAATTTTAATTAAAAACTTTACATTCTCAAAAGGTGCGGAGAGGGGCGGGCCTCCTCGTAGTATTTTTCTAACATTGTTGGATCTCAGCCAATCAGAGAGATGGGAATTATTCAATCATATAATAAAGTTGATTACTTACCAATAAGACCTGAAAATCAGCTCTAAATATAGAGTTTAAAGCAATTGAACGTAATAGAAATATTATAGTAGTTTTCTGGCTTTTACTGCTTAATGCTACATGTATATATGCAAGCGAAAATTTCATAGCCTGCATCTTTCTGATTGAGCTTAGTCCTAAAATTGTATAGGTGATGGAGTGTCCTAATAGCTTATAAATACAACTTTCTACCAAGAATTATTATTTGTAAATCAACTCCTGAAAGGCAAAATGAACAGTTCACTCAAGGCATGATTACGTGGCACCGACATCAAGATATTGCTTCCTATTAAAATGTTCTTATTACATTTTGATTGAGTGTTTCTTTCTTGCTGATTTATGTATGTGTATTTCAAGTTTTTCTAGCAAGTGAATTAAATCCTGTTTTGATAGCAAACATGATTTGAATATTTATGAATTTGGAAATAGGAGGACCAAACCAACTTTCAATCAGGACGTAAAAATTATTCTCTTCAATGTGTAAACCGACAGAGGTAAATCAAATCCTTCTGCTCCCAGAATCAGTATAAAAATATATGAAAAAGAAACGTAACAGGAATAATTATTCAGGATGTGGGTTGTGTTGATTTTCAATCCTAGGACAGGGTTACACTGTAGCAACCGCTAAGATAAAACGCCGATTAATGATAGAATTATCATTAGGCGTTGAAATGCAACACTTAATGTCATAAATTATTGCATTAAAAGTTGACATTCTCAAACGCTTAATGATATAATTCTTTCATTAAGCGGCGATTTATCATTAGCGGTTGATAATGTCAACTATCAATGCAATAATTTATGGCATTTAGCGTTGCAATTGCAACGCTTAATTATATTTCTATCATTAAGCGGTGTTTTATCATTAGCGGTTGCTACACTGCACTGAGACAAAACTTTGCTAAAACGTACAAACCTAAGACCCGTGATGCAGTATAGGTGCTGGAAAATGTTTCCTCACTTCTGAGTGGCCATTTGTGTCTAATATAGGTCTTAATAGGCAGCCTTCCAGTGGCTGCTCAATATGGTGAAATATTCTCAAAAGGAACTTCAAACAAACAAACATCAAGCTGTTGTATCGACTAAAGTCTGTCAATCAAGTTAACAATATCCTTTATTGAATTTGATTAGCAAATCATTGATTCGATAAGTAGCAATTCTGCAATCATGGTTTAGTGACATTATACTATCATATTATATATTAATACCTTAATTGTAAAATATCTGTCGAAGATATTTTCATACATGGGTACATTCTTTCTCAATTTGACATACCTATTTTTATTTGCAGCAATGTGTAACAATTGAACGTCTAGATTCAAACTTACAGCTATCTATTGTCTTGGGATGCATGGACTCAAAGGTTGGTATTCACTGCATTGAATTTATATTTAAAAGAAATAATACCAATAACCTATGATAATGATGTTTTAGTTCTCTTTTGAAAATTTATCGAAATTTCAAACTTTATTATTGTTACCCCGTAATTTTCAATTCAACTAAGCAGGTAATCAATTCTCGTAAAATTTTTAGTGAAGCAGAAAAAGTAGACTGATGAAACCAATCTTCATGGATAAGAATCTTAAAATTCAATCCTACATCATTTAGAGAAAAATTGATATTCCTAGGAATATCGGAAGGGCTTTCAGTGTTAATTTTTGAACATTGAAAAGATCTAACATGTACTACATTTACTTATTATGATTACAAATCTGATGGTGTCACTTTTATCATGAATTTAGGAATTATGAATAGAAATAATATCGTATTGTGGAGGTTTCCGAGGAATGTTCAAGAGTTTTCAGTATACGTTGTATATTCAAGTTATAACCATACAAACGATTATCTTAGTGATTTCATTATCATTTGAAATGAACGATGTAGATAAAGATCGTAGTTGACATATTTGTAAAAAATAGTAATGTGTTAAGCTACGGTAGAAATTCAATACAACATGTAGTACAAACTAATCATATTTTATTTTACATTGAAATATTTGTTTTAGATCTGTACTGCATACTTCAGCGGCAGAACAGGTGGTCAGGGAGGTTTTGGTAAGCGTCAGTTTGGTCAAACCACACTCAGGGGAAAATGTTGTGACAGTGATATGTGTAACGAACATGGAATTCAATAAAGAGCACTGAAAAATAAATGTATATTTTATGATAGAAAAGAAAATATAAAAGAAAATTTTGTTCTTTTTGTAACAAAAGGGATCACTTAGTGGCTTCTTCCTTGACTGAATTATGACCACAACAAAACAATTACACATAAAACAATTCAAAAACCTTATATTAAAAAAACGTATATAAAACAAAGTCTGTAAATTTATTAAAATTATTTTGTTTACACTTGAAAGAATGCATATCCATTTCATACTTAATCTTTTTTTTTACAAAGATAAAAAGATAAAACATTATTGATATATAAAATACCTGAAATACTCCTACATTTAGATATTATACTGGACGAAAACGCGCACAATTGCGGGGAATTGAATTTTTATTACTGGCAACGGAACAATTTCAATCTTAGTAGGTTACTTACAGTTACATAAAACAAGAAGAAATACTTCAAATAATCCTTTGTTAAACATCCCGCAGTTACTGTCTGGGCAAAAATAGATATACATCACCCCTTTTTTTGGTTTATTGTAAATATTTGTGTTCCAAACCTTTTGTATGTTGTTGTAAAAAATTCTGTTTCACAACTTATTTATAGGCCTAATATCTAATACTTACGTTTAAAGTTTATAAGTATAGATGTTTTTAAATGTTATTTATTCAGCCTTAATGCACTCGTGTTCTAATAATGTACATTGATATATGAATATGTCATGCTACAAAAACATGCTTAATTAAGAAATTTTTTGTGTCGCTTATAAATTTACCGTTGTAATATCTTAACTATAAATTTGAAGATCGATTTCAAATCTTAAGACTTAACATACATACATGGTTTTATAAATATTTACCGATATATATGCAGTTAAAGTTTTCATATAAACACAATGTAATGTTGAAAAACGTATTCCACTGCAAATCTTAATGTCGCTTCATTCGTTGCAAATTTCAAGATGAAATTTTCTGCCGTATAAGCATTCCCAATAGATTGCAACGAATGTTTAAAAAGTTTTTTTTCTATATAAAAAGAAATCATACCACTTCTTGCAAAGATATGCATGGATCTTTTTTCATACGAAATCATAGCATGACGCTGAAAATTAACTTTCGTAACAATTTTGTTTTGAATTTCACGCACAGAATGCAGATTTCAAAAAAGAACTGAAACTTATCTGAAAGTGACCACGGAACCTTATATCATCGATTCTTGTTGCGAGTCAGCTATTTCAGACCATTACAATTTTGACATAACAAAATGAATTAGACAAAAACAATTGTCTCTCTTCAAAATTTAACCTCCGTAACGGTAATTCAGGAAAGTTTTTGCATTAAAGTATAATGAAAAAATATATTATCATGGGAGCGAAATGCTTCATATTTTTGTTTAACATCCTAAAACAAACGTTAATTTTAAGCTAACATCGGATTCAAGCGAGACTTCATGAATCATACTTTAGCGTTCTATACTGAACATCAGAAAAAGAAAAATTGGTCAATTTCAGCTTTATATACAAAACAATAAGACCTGATCAAGCATTACATGTAACTTCCGTACCTTAAATCAATGGTATATTGAAATTGTTGTGAAAAGCTTAGTGGACAAATTCTTTTTTTCAAGTTCACTGATATGTCCTTTAGAGAATTATGAGGTTCATTTTGCTATTTGAAACAATTAATTTTTTTTTCATGTTTTAAACCCTGAATTGGTCCTTTTATCGCAGATTGACTGATATACATGTACTCGCTGAAATCAAGGTATGCACAAAAGCATATTTCTAAATAACCACAAGTTTTTCCTAAAATAAACTCTGTTAAGTAAATTTCCCTTGTCAATATAATAGCCACCATTATGTATAGTTACATACAATATGCTCTAATTTTCCTTACTTCAACACTAACAAGCTTAATTGTTAGATGTATCCTGTGATCTTGGTTTCTTAACAGAGGAATAGATGTACGAATTCTCTCTGGTAAGCTGATTACTCGATGATTTAGTTAGCTTCCTTATGGAAACATTAGAAGTGTCTTCGTTATTGTGTGTTATCATTGTCTTGTTTATTTCCGCATAAAGAAATTGTTCTGAACCTGTTGTAGCCTTTCCCTTCCTTACCTCTGAATAAAGATTTAATTTTTCGTTATTTTTGGGAGGATAAGAATCATCTAATAATGATTTCATGCCAATTGATTTGGGTTTGTGTATTTCGGAATATAAATCATCAGTTTTCTCTTGTTCTTCTATCTCTTTTTTCTCTGCTTCTAAAGATACATGTAGTTGGCTTGAATGCTGAATGCTGGGAACAGATGCATAAACGATTGATATGCCATTTCTATAATTTGAATCAATATTTAAATCGTTATTTCGAGATTGATCGTCCTTGGTTGACTTTGCTGAGTTCTTTTTGCTGAAATGCACTTCTGTGTCTGATTTTCTAAGTGAACCTCTGTAACGAAGAATTACAACCCAACACAATACATGTATTTGTATTTCCGAAGTGAAAAAAATGTAGATTATAACATCATCTGTAACTGTCCAGCTTTTGTGCAGCAAATAAAATTCTCTTACCTTAGTTTTCTACTCGACACATCAGCAACTACAGTAACGCTAATGAAAATTACAACTGTAACTGGCACAGCTATGTATACAAGTTTCATGTCATCTGAAAGCAAGGATAATTTTCTATTTCTAATATTCAGCTACTGTGCATACATTAAAAGTCTTTAGATATTTTTCTTTTGAATTTGAACAATTTTTTTTAAAAAATAATTTTTCCGAAAAAGTTTCTCAAAGAATACCTTTTTTATCTGATCCTTGGTAATGCTAAACATGATTAAATGTTATCAGTGATAAGTTATTTTTTGTTTTAAACATACTTGTAGTTTCAACAGAGTGTGCGTTGTCCTCAACGATTGTCTGTGTGTCTGATGTATTGGAGAGACCACCAGTAGACAGAATGGGGGGTTCTGTCTTGATTGAAGAAAATTGTGTAGTTATGCTTTCATCTGAAAATATTTCTAAGCTTGAGAAAGAACTTATAATTCAATGTCTTGAGATATGAATTTTACAGATTGAAAACCATTGGTGCCATTGCTAAAACAATGAAGAATTTCCAGTTTGTTGCCCTGTGTGTAGAATTAGATTTAAAAATAAGTTTATAGATGGCAAATGATAAGGTATGCAAATTACGAGTTCCATTTTAATTGAAGAAGCAGTATCTATGTATAAAAGTATAAACTGCCTTATTTGACAGGAACTGAAGAGCCAGGTAGCCAAGATCCTGGGTTCTGTGGACTTTCTGGGAAATCCCCTGGGTCTGTTTAATGACGTCACTGAGGGAATTTCTGGTCTGATCAATGATATTTAATATTTTTAATTGCAATACCATTTTAAGCTTTTTTCTTTGATTTCCCTTTTGGTACACATAAACCGTATATCGATTTTAATGCAAGCACCTCTACAGGCACATTCATTTTGTTTTGCATTTAAATCCCCAATGTCTAGAATGTGGCAACATTTAGCAATTATGAATTTCATTCATACATAAAACCTTCATGTTCCGTTTCTTGGATCCTTTTTTATTATATAAAAACAGCGAAATAGGAATGATAATAAAGGGGCATTTGAATAATGTTGCCGAATTTTTGAAAGTTTTGAACACGAGGATTTTTTTCCACAATATCAAAATAAAAGCAAAATAAACATTTAAGGATCATAAACATAAACAGTTGAAACGTATTAGTTTCTGTGGGTATTCTATCATTTTATAACATTTTTGCCTACCTTCAGTAATATCCTTGGATGCCCGTGTAAGACTAAGAGTGGAATGTTCGAAAGAGACAGGGTTGGTTGTTGATAATTGCATCAACGTTGATACATGAGCATTGTCTTCAATAAAGTTTGGATCGGAACACTGGATCTGAATTTTACCTTAAAGTTTTTTTTTACTTCAGTAAACTGTAACTTCCAAAACTGTCAATGTTCTGACAAGTTTACACTACGTTGACTTACGAAAGAATAAGAAAAAAGATATACCCGTACATAAAATGAAATAAGAAATAAATAACATACCACCAAATCTGGCAAAAATTTGGAAAGAAGCAGTTGTTGAATTCAAGTTGTTTACTAGTGTGAGGATGACAGAGGTATTATCATTCAGTGAAATATCTGTGTTTACAAAATTGCATTTCACATTTTCGATACTCTCTTTTCCTTTAATTTCGATGTTCATTCCACAGTCCATAGTAGGAGGAGGAGGTCTGATCCTTATGTATATGGTGACTGGTGCCGTCCAGTTAGCCATTGATAGTTGACACAAACATGGTAATTCTGATCCCTTGGAAACATGTAGATATAATTGTTCATCAATTGATTTTCCAGCTTTGCAAAACGTAAGATCTGAAATAATTTAGATGAATTCTTCTAGTAAATTTAAAAAACAATGAATAAATTGAAGGGGAAAAAGTTATGCTTCGACGGAGGGATGCAAATTTTCCTTTACCTGTGTGATTTCCGGCGAAGCAGATACCTGAAAAGGTACATACAACATGACTTTTGCATTCAATATATGAATATTCATTTACAGTAGATATGCAGTATTTAAAAAGAAAATTGTCCCTACAAAAATCTCGCACCTCATAAAAAGAGTAGCTTGTTAACATGAGCTTTACTCCGTGGTTTTATAGGTCTGATTTAGCAATGACATCTAATAAATAACCAATGAAAATCATGAATATATTCAAATACTTCAAACAGGTAAAATTTCTTACCTAAGTAATTCAAAATAAAACTATAAAATAAAATGTCTTCCATCACAACAAGGAAGTCAAGTCCAAATACTCATTTGTCCTTTAATGATCAAACAAGTAACGTGATTTTTGAAGGCATATCAAGTTTTAGTGTTTACTTACGCAAACGTGTAAAGCCTCTGGATAATTGAATTGAATTCCTGTCTATTTTTAGTACAATGTAGTTACTATTAAAGGTATGTTAATTTTGGAACTAACTGCTTGCATGATTCTACTATATCATAGACATACTTTAATGAAAATGTGCATTTGATATCTATTCCTGATACAATCGACATTACATTTAGTCACATCCTATATTTTCAACGATTTACATTGTAGTTCCTCCATTTATGTTTTGCACTGCCCGCGTGGAGCAGTGGTAGAGCGTCTGCTCCAGAGTCGCGGAGTACGGAGTTGATCCTTACGTCGCGGGTTCGAATCCTACTGTGGGACGTAAAGACCGGTCCTTCGGACGAGACGTATAAACCGAGGTCCCGTGTCGCAGTAGATGCTGGCACAAAAAAGATCCCTCGCTGCTCAATATACCTGAGTGCCGAGCATAGGTTAAAATTTGCAGCTCTTCACCGGCAAATGGCGGCGTCTCCATATGAGTGAAAAATTCTCGAGAGGGACTTAAACAACAAACAAATGAAGGAAGGTTTTTAAAACGACTAGCTGTCAATTTGGTTGATGTTATATGACTTAATAATATGCAGATATTAGATGTAACTTGTTAAAGATTAAACAAAACAATTATAACATCTTAACTTATATAAAAAAGTATTAAAGAGACACCGTGACGGAAAAATTGGAAAAATTTAAAAAGTAGAATATTTGCAAGACTCATGCAAATTTTGTTTAATTCTTGAAAGTATGGGTTTCATAAAATTATACGTTTCAGAACCTAATAAAATCTACTTTTACAGAGAAAAATATAATTATCGTATGCCCCAACAAGAAAATATTGTTCGTTCCTTCCTCAATGCTTTTACGCATGCGCAGAAAATATAAACAAAGCAGCATGGCTTCAAGTCCGAGGAAGCAGTATGTCGGCAGACCGAAGATTTTGACAGAATGTGAGAAAAAAAAAACGACTTAGAACAGAGCGAAACAAGGCACCAGTATATAGGACTAGAATATACCTCGGTGACCAATATGACTGATGGATGCTAAAAAAAGAAGAACTCGGTGAAACGCATGCTGGACTAGCCAAAATCTTGCTCGACAAGTTTGCTAGTTTCCTTTATTTTTTGTAATATTTTCAAAGTTATAGTAATAACAACAAATTTAATACTTTGAACATAAGTATAATCTGTTTTGTAAAGAAAATCCATTTGAACAGAGCAATGCTCGTATTTTTGCACTTCAAAATTTGCTGGATTTTGTCTTAAAAATCGTAAAAAGCAACGAAAATATAGCTAAATGCTATGAATATGTGTAAAAGTAGTTTATGTATATCTTTTATTTTAGATAATTGATTTTTGGCAAGTGTTTGAATATATTTCATATGACCAGTATATATATGCATGGAAAGAAAATGTCATAATACACATGTGTTTTCAAAATATAATCTATTGTATTTATTAGACTTTCATCAGACAGTGAGAACAGAGTCAGGTTCAGCTCCTTATTCGCTTCAGGAAAACGTTTCTTCAACACCTATAAGAAAACTGAGAGATCAAGACCTTCATCAACCAGATACTAGTATATCTGAGATTTCTTCAGCCCAAAGGTAAATGTCGAGTTGACTTGGTTACGAGTCCGTCTGGTTACGAGTTCACTTGGTACCTTGTTAATGCACGGTTCTGTTTCTTATTAAGTGAGAATACATATACAGAAGTAGCTAAGAAGCCACTGATGCAGCCAATACAACTGTCATAAAGTAACGAAGAGTCTCCTGGGTAAATTCAAATAATTTTGCTTTTTTTTATGATTTTAAAGCTAAGATGTTGCTTGGATAATAAGATATTGAGCTATACTGAATGACATATCACACAGGCAAAGGAAGTTTTCAAGAAAATATTTAATTATTGTGAAAACAAACTGGTGAAAAGTAAACATTATTAGTGTTTATTTTGTTATGAAATAATACTGGTGTATAGCTTAATAACAGTCCAAGTCATAAAAGAAGAAAGTTGTGTACTGCAAACACTAGAGAATCCTCATTCATTGATCCATTTGAGTAAGTAAAAACATAATAAATTTCATTATCTTGATTAACTGAATAACATCGAAAATGATTTTCATCAGAACTCTGCTGAGTGATGCTAACATGTTGCAATTCGAATTTCTATTGGGAAATTACTAAGACATTCATATTTGGTTTCGGTCCACTCCACTCCCCATTAAGGAGTGGAATGGACTGAAAACTCTTGGCTAGCGAAGATGTAAGACTTATGCCTGTATTAATGGATAATGACATATCATCACTTCCTATTCCTTCATTTTTCATTAGTTGATTACATGTATACCAGCTAATTTTTCAACTTTGAATTTGCAGTTTAACAATAAATGTGACTGAAGAAAGCATCACTGATTTGGATTCAGAGGAAGAATATGAACCTAGTTTTAATGTTAATCTAAGGTAATTATTTATGCAAATCATATTTATAAACATATTATGTGTAATTTTTCATGATAAACATGCAATAAGTACAACCAAAAGCAGGTTCTTTTTGGAAAATATTGATTAGAAAGATATAAAATGAAAATGAACATTTTGAAATACTGGTAGATGTGCAGTCAGAAAACTGTTGAGATTCATCAGGAAACTTGTCAACAGGGAGGTCAACTGAGGCCTGTTTTTACAATGGGCACTCACAAATTTCTGTTAGAGGGATAAGAAATTTTAGCATAGACTTGCAACTGCGCACATTGTTGAACGTTTCTGAATCTAGAATGGACTTCAATTATAATAAGCTTAAGGTTCAATTAAGCTTTTCTGATTACCTTGTGGTCCGTCACCTTTAATTCATCTTGTGTCTTTAAATTTTCACATTTTCTACTATTACATGTCTTACATGAGAAAATGAAGAAAATTTCAAAAAATCTTTTCAAGAGAATCAGGGATACACTAAATCATATCAATATGGAGATATTTTATGCAGTGTGGATTAATATTTGGAGATATTTTATGCAGTGTGGTTTAATTTTTTTTTCAAATCATGGACCTTGCGATTAAAACGAGGCTAGAATCAGGGATAATATTTTTTGTAAATAGTAAAAAAATCTTTTAAAAAATCCCCATCCCCAGAACAGGAAGCCTATGTAAGTCCTTGATCATCTGGTGGGATTGCAATATGGGGAGGGGGGGAGGCTTGATAACAGTAAGGAGAAGCAGGGCCAGGGTGACTCAGGTGAGCATTGTGGCATCTCTCTCCTACACTGTGTAAGAATAATGCTGCTACATTAAACGCCAATAGATCTCAGTATAATATTGATATGAACTGCCTCTTTAATTTAAAAATCATGACAAATAAGAATAAAATGCTTCTTATTTGTCAAAGAAAGTAATATTGTAGTATCCGTTTCCATTTTAGGCCAAGCAACATGTTAGGTCTAACGGAAGTGACTCTCGAAGAACAAGAGTTTGGTGTAGAGGAGACAGAGGGTGATGAAGCAGAAGATGAACGGGATATACAGGAGGAGGTGGGTTCTGGCATCATACAGATAAAAGATGAGGAAAATGTGCAATTGTTGACTCAAGATGAGACCCGTCCTGTTTACAAGAAGTGTCTGCTGAGGGTAGCCAGCATCAATATAGAAGACAGTTTGTAAGGTGAAAGGTTGCACAAGTCCAGTGAGTCTACACACAGAAAATATAGGATCAGCGCTGTATACAGTGTATATACTGGGTAATTCACCTTGTTTCCCAGAAAACAACTGAGTTTTCATTTTACCATAGAAATAATGCATACGGACATTTTAACATTATTTTTAGCATTTTAAGGAATGTACCAATAAGCATGAAGCATATAGATGGTGTTTCCAACCAGTGCTCGGTAGAAGACTTCATGGGGGTGATCTCCAAATTTCTTCAGCCATCCTAACATCAGGAAATAATTTTGCAAAGTGTGCGCTATTTGCAAAGTTTTGAAGCTGTATTTTTCAAGTTGTTTAAAGTTCACCACTATTCAAAGAAAATACATTGTACCCACCATCAATGCCTTCTGGAAGGAGCAGCAAAGGGAAATCATTGAAAACTTGCAAGGACAAAGTATTATTGCTTTAGGTTTGTGTATTTTCTATTCACAGGGAGATTATTGTTGTCTTCTGAAATAAATACTTTTAGCAGAATGGACAATGAATTACACTATTTTTCTCATTTATTTTTCAAATAGGTGATGGAAGAAATGACTGTTATAGAGCTCAATATTGAACATACAGTGTGATGTACAACTGTACCAAGAAAATAGTGTCACTGGTAACAATGGACAAAACAGAGACAGGGAAGAAAAGTGTAAATATGGAAAAGGCATGTTTTTTAAAGGCAATGGAGGATTTAGAGGAGAATGTTGTTGAAGTTTCTGAAGTGGTAATTCATAACTGATGCACAACTGCAATTTGGAGCAGTGATGAGTGAGTACTAGTAAATGATAGTCTCTCTCTCTTTTTCTCTCTGTTCATTTCTCTGAGTATTGGTGCTACTTTTTTCTGACAACTTTTGCAGAAAACAGGTTTCCAGGAATCAAACACTCTCACGCTAAAAACCTGATAAAAAATATAGCCGTTGGACAGAACAAGGAATGCAAACCACAAATAGAATTGAGTAGGCACATCATAAACCACTTTTGATATTCCTGTTCCTATGACACAGATAGGGACAGCTTTATGGTGAGTATCATATTAAATAAATGTACATATATACACCAGGTATTTTGAAAATCGTATAATTCGTGACATTAAATTTTCTCAGTTGCCTAATTTTTCATTTATCTATAAAAGCTTGATAAAGACGCAGTATTC